ATTTTATATTTAAATTAAAAAAGCTAAATAAAATTAAAAAAAAAAGTAATTATTAAGTATATACTTAACTTAGTAAAGCAGGGATTCCCTTTACGCTTAGCTACTATAGTAAATATAGCTAATTTTTTGCGCAATAAGCGCAATTTAGACTATATTAGTATAAACTAGCTTAGTATATTTATTAAGCGCTAATTAGAGCTTAAAGTAAAGTTTAATTATAAATATAATTATAAAAAAGCTTCCTGTAAAGATTTTAAAGTTATTTAAAGCTAGTTTAAGCTAATAGCTAATATAAAAGCTAAATATAGCATTTAAAACTAAAATATATATAATTTTAATAAAATAGGCTTTATAATAAGTATTATATTTACTAAAATAGTTATTATAGCTTTATTTTTTTAAAAAATAGAGGCCTGAGCTGCTATTGCAGCTATACAATTGTAGTTAAATTCAAATATTGTAGCCTATTAAGGAAAAGCTTCTACGGCTCTAAAAACCTTAATAATTTAATTAACTATATAGCTAAGTTTAATAAATTGTCTAATTAAATCTAAATTATACCTAAGTTATACCCGAATTATATCCGAATTATATGCAGTAAACTGAGTTCAAATCCTGCAATTACTAACAATAAAAGCTGTATTTTTCTTCTTTTTTGCCAAATTTGGTCACCTACTTAGGTAAAAATCCAAATTTTTGCAGCTTGATTTTTCGTGACTGACTTTGGAGGGCCTCTTTGCCCTCGCCGTAGCTGTCGATAAGTAATAGTTATTTAAAGTATTAATAGCACTAAATAAGCTATTTTACTTTTTATTATTTTTAAAAGCTGCTACTACTTTTCTGCCTAGTATAAAAAAAAATTTACTTTAAAACTAAATTATTATAGTTTTTAAAAATAGCTAAATAACTAATAAGCTTAAATTTTAGTAGCTAAAGTACTTTAATACTTATATAAAAAAGCGTATAGTTAAAAAGTATTAGCTACTAATTATTAATAGTTATAAGAGCTATAACTCTTTTAAATTTTAATAATACTATAAAAATAATAAAATTATTATTTTTTATATACTTCTTTATTTATTATACTTTTTATAGCTATTTAATATAAGTTATTTTGCGCCTTTAAAGCAGGCACATAGCTACTAAGCTAAAATTTTTATATATAACTAAATTATTTATATTATAAAATTTAAGTTTTTACCTTGCTTTATACGCGCTTTTACTATAGTAATTACTTTTAATAATATTTAAAAAAGCTTTAAAAGTGCTAAATTAGTTTTATTTAATTTAAAAAAAATTATAATAAGCTTTAACGTCTGCTTTTATACTTTACTATTACTTACTATTAAAGATAGTTTCTAGTAGTCCTAAATACTAAGCAATACTTTTAAATTTAAATTATAATTAATATTTATAAAAGTAAAAATTTAAAAGTATATAAATAGCTTACTAACTTTAATAGTTAAAGCTTTTAAAAAGCTTATTAAAGGCGCTGCTATAGTAGCGCATAAGCTAGTATTAGCTTAAAAAAAATGCTAAGCTTAAAGCAGCTAATAAAGCTATTATATAATAAAAATTATATAAAAAAAAGTAAATATAGTAGAAAAGTACTTTTATAATTAAAAATAGTTTTTAACTATTTATTTTAAAAAAGTTTAAAGTATATAGTAATAATAAAAAGCTAAAAAAAAAAGTACGGGCTAATAAAGAGTATAAAGCTATAAAATATTATAAATAGTACTAAAAAATAAAATATAACTTGCGTATGTATAAAAAAAGGGCAAAAGTAATTATAAAATAGTAAATAATATTATACTACGCTATATAGAACTAAATAGTGCTAATATAAGCTATAATAAAGTAAAATTTAGTAAAGGCTTAGTAAAAGTGCGTTATGCACCTATGTGCATTACTTACTTATAAAGTATATTATAAAGTAATTAGCTGCTAGACAATGCTAAACTATAACTAAAGTTAGGCTATTAAAGATAAAGCTAAAAATACTAAAAAATTAATACTTTTAAAAATAGTTTAAGCAAAAATACTAATAAAATTATATAAGCTTTTAGTATAGCTTATTATATAGCTAGGGCTCTAAAAGAAGTATAGTAATAATAAAGTTTTTTTTAATAAAAAAAATAAAAAAATTAGAACTAAATAAAGCGCTTTTAAAATAGAAAGATTTAAATAAACTATTTATTTTAGTAGTATTTATAGCTTTTGCAGAGGCTATTATACTAATAAAAATAAATATAATTATAATTATAAAGCTATAAAATAAGTAGAATACTTAAAATTAGTTTATATTTAAAATATATTGCTTAGGCTAGCTTGCTTTAATATACATTAATTATATTTTATATACATTAAAAAGCAAGCTAGAAGTTAATATACTAAGTAAATAATTTATTAAAATAGCTTTAAAAAATAAATTATAAAGTAAAAAAATAATAAATAGTACGCATATTAACTAGAATATAACAGAAAATATAGCTATAAAGCTTAAAAGTTTATAAAAAAAATTAGTTTTATAATATTAATAAAAGTAGATAATAAAAAATAGTAAAAAATAGTAGAAGATAGTACAAAACTGTATATATAAATTAAATTACTTAGTATATTAGTTTTAATTTTAACTTAATTTTTATAAAAAATATATTCTATATTTAACTTTTACAAATTATATTACTAGCCTGCACTCTATTACTAAAACGCTAACTATTTAATAAGTATTATTAATTTAGTTTTTATAACAATATAGAATAATAAGCCTGCAGGCAGTAGGGTGTATATATATAAAAAATTTATATTAATAGTAATACTAGCAACTTGCGCAATACTAGCAACTTACTTAAATTAATAGCTACTTAACTATTAATAAATATTTATAACTATGTATAATTGTCTACTACTATATAATTTAGCTAGGTTAATTTCCTAGAACTTGAATACAGACTAAACACGATTGAATTTTCCTAACAATACTAAATATTTTTATATAATACTAAAATATATTCTAGCATTTATATTTTAAAAGTATAGGCTATGTCTAGATTTTTTTAATAAAAACGTAAGTAGTTTAATAAATTTATAAAAAAAAATTAATATTAATAAGCTTGCTTTAATACTTTAAAAGTATATTATTTATATTTAAATAGTATTTTTAATATATCTAATATAACTTTTTTTAAAGCATTCTAAGTAAGTACTTAAATAATTTTTTTTTAAAGTACTATAAGCTTACTAAAGTATTTTTAATAGCTTAAAAATATATATAACTTTAAAGTCTACTTTTTATTACTTTTTTATAAAATAAAAAAGTAAGCAAAAAAAGTATATTTATAGTAGCTATAGTTTAAAAAAAGTTATAAAAAGGCTTATAAATATTATATTAAATAATTATAAGTTATTTAAATTAAATTAAATAGCTATATTATTACTAGCTTTAAATTAAGCTTAAACTAAATAAAAGTAGGTAAGCTTTTTATATTTTTACTTAAATTTAAACTATTTATGCATTTCTAGCAGTTTTTTATTTAGAATAGCTTTTTTTAGGCTATTTTAGGCTACTAAAAGTTTATTATTACTTAAAAGTATTATTTTACTTTTTAATTATTTTTATTTTTATATATTATTATTTTTTTAATTATATATAAATAAAATAATTTTAAAGTCTTCTTTAAAAGTTTTTTAAATTTATATTATAATTATAAGCTATAATTAAAGTAAAGCACTAGTACAATTTTTTAATAGTATTTTTTAGCCTTTAAATAATACTACTTAATTACTTATTTTATTAAAAGCTGCTATATAAGCGTATTATAAAAAAAGTAATTAAAATATAAAGTATAAAGCTATAGATAAATATAGGATATAGTAGTAAGTAAAATAATAGTATATTATAAGTAAAAAATAAACTAATTACTACTATTTATAATAATTACTTTTTTTATTATTATATAGTTTTAAGCTAACCTAACTAAGGTTAAGGGCATGTTTTATTAGGCCTGTAGCCTAATATTTCTTCCTTTACTAGTAGAGGGGATTTACTAGTTTAGACTATTTATATTTATTTTATAATACCCTATTTTATTATTTATATAAAACTCTATAAAATAACTAAGCTTTTTTTAAAAAAATTATTTAGTTTTATTATTAAAATATTACGTAAGTAAGTAGAGTTTTAGTAAGATTTTAGTAAAAGTAAACTGTACACCTGTATAAACTATATACCTATAAAGTACGTTATACTATCGTGCATAGTACTAATTTTAGTAGAGTTTTAGTATTATAACTAACTTACTTAGGCAACTAACTTGCCCGTGTGGTATATTATAGTAAGATTAATAAACTAAAACAGTACTTAGAATAGTGTAGAGATCGTAAGTTGCAGTGCTGCAAAAAGAGATAAAATTAATATATTATACAGGCAAGTTAGTTGCCTAGTTGAGTTAGTTACAATACTAAAACTTTACTAAAATTAGTAGTTTTTTACTATTAAATATAATGCTTTAATACAATAACGTGCAATTTTTTTAAAAAAAAAATTAAATATAGCTTGCAGTTTAGGCTTTAAAATGCAATACAAATTTTTTTTAATAAAAAACTGCGCGGATTTATAGCGTTTTTTAAACAATATTTAATAATTAATTAAAAAGAAAACTTTTATAACACGATATTAGGCCTAAAGCTTTTTTTAATAAAAAAAAAAGTAATTGCTTAGTATATATTTTACTTTAAAAACTAAAAATTTCTATTTTAACTAGCTACTATAAATAATATAGCTAATACTTTACTAGCTAAATATAAGTAATTACTTATTAGTAAGAACTAGGCTAGCATATTTATTAAATAATATTTACAGCTTAGTATTAGGATTTTTTAAAAGTATAATTACTAAAAAATTTTATATAAAAATCTTAAACTTATACAAAACTAGTTCTAACTTATAAAAAATATAAAAGCTAAGTATAATATTTAAAATAAAAATATATATAATTTTAATCCCGCGAAGACAGGACCTAATGTGTTATTAATAGCTTATATTATTAATATTTTACTGTATATTGCGTACTTTTATTTGTAAAATTGCTAAGCAATAAATTTTTAATTTTTAATATAACTTTTTGCTAAAGCGCGGCTTTTTTAACAGTTTCTAAGCACATATTTAAATATTTAGTATAATATTAGCCTGCTATTAAGCAACTAACTAATACTAGGCCTTTAAGCAACAGTAACGCTAATAATAATAATAATAATAATAATAATAACAACTTTTCCTGCAATATTAGCTTTAATACTTAACTACTTTTTTACTTTTTTTTTTTACCTGCGCAAGCTATTGTTTGTAGTATATCTAAATTATTATTGCTTATTTTTTTATTTTATTGCTATATTGCTTGCTTTTTTTTTACGTCTGCCTATATACTAAGTTAACTATTTTAAAAAGCTATATTTTCTAGTTATTATACTGCTAGTAACTGTAGTTTATAAAAAACTATTTTTAATATTTTATAAATTTTGTATTATTTTTAATATTTTCTGCAAGTTATAAAAGCTTATTTTTTTAGTTTTTAATAAAGGTAGCCTAGTTACAGCTAAAAAAAAGGTTAAAGTCTTGCATTATTATATAATAGCTAATTATAAAAAAAATTGTATATTACTGCTACTTAGTTATAACTAGCTTATTATAAAGAAATGCTAGAAAGGCAAGATTAACTAGGCATAGTAAAAAAAGCTTATTATAAAAAAAAAATTAACTTTAAAGTATTTGTATACTTTTTTATAGTACTAGTAGTTACTATTTACTAGCTTAAAATAGTAGAAAAGTAGTATTTTGTACTAACTAATAAAAGCTGCTTTAACTAGTAATATAGTATATATAAATTTAATAGCGCATTGCTAGCTAATATATATAAGTTTATTTATTAGCATTATATTATTTATAGTTAATATAAATATAAAAGATAAAAAATTTAAAAATTAAAATAAAAATAAGTTTTAATTTATAAAATAAGCGCGCAAATGTATGCTTTGCTGCTTATATATTTAAATTTTTACTATTTAAACTTTTAATTTTTTGCTTATATATAACTATAAAATGCGCGATAATACAATTATATAATAAATAATAATATATAATTATAAGCTTTAACTGCAAGCTTTATTTTATCTGCTTTATAAAAACTATATTTATTGCGCAAGCTATTATTAATTGTAAAAAAATATTAGCTATTAAAGCATAAGCTTACTACTAAACTAAAGCTTGCTTAAATTTTAGTTTAAAAATTTATTTATGCTTTAATAATAGTTTATAGTTAAAAATTAAAGCTGCTTAGTAATACTTAAATAACTTAGTTACTATTAAGAACTTATAGTTTTATTACTATAATTTTTAAATAATAACATATTAGGGCTGCTAATAGTAATTATTAAAAAATTTTTAATAATTTATTTAGCTAATTTAGTATTGTATAAATTTTACTGCTTTAATACTATATTAAAGTACTAGGTATAGCGCCTAAACTGTAATTTTTATACTAATTTTTTTTACTGCGTTGTATAATCTGCTCTGCCGTTAACTTTACTTTCAATTATAGAAATATATAATTTTAATAAAATAGGCTTTATAATAAGCTAAATATTATATAAAACTATTATTTTAAGTGCTAATTATTAAAAATAGCTAAAGATAGTACAGTAGGGTAATTAAAAATAAGTAATAGTAATCTAAAGCATTAATATAATAAAATAAATTATTTTATTTTTTATTATTTTTGCAGGTAAGAACTACTTTTTAGCCTAATATAAAAAAAATAGCCTATTTTATAATTAAGTTATTGCGGTTTCTAAAAATAATTAAATAATAAATAAATTTACTTTTAAATAATTAAAGCATTTTAATAAGTATACTAAAAAAAAATTATTAATACTTATTATTTATTTATTATTAATAGTTATAAAAGCTACACATTAGTCTAATTCTAATAGTATTATAAAAAATAAAAAATTATTACTTTTTATATGCTTTTGCATTTATTGCACTTATTATAGCTACTTAATATAAATTATTTTATATTTTTAAAAAAAGTATATAAGTATTAAATTAAAAAGCTAATGCGTAATAGCATTAACTATATTACTAAAATTAAGTTTTTACTATACTTTAAACTAGTTTTTAATATTACTATTATAAAAAGTAATATTTTAAGTAGCTTTAAAAGCGCTAGTTTAGTTTTTTTTAATTTTAAAACTATAATATTAAAACTTAATATTTAATTATATATTTTACTATTATTTACTATTAAAAATAATCCTTAAAAGTTAAAAATACTAAGTAATATTTTAAAATTTAAATTTTAATTAACGCTAGTTAAAATAAAAATTTAAAAATATTTTAATAATTTTTTTACTTTAATAATTAAAGCTTTTAAAAAAAAAATTAAAAAGTGTAGCTATAATTATGTATAAATTTGTATTAGCGCAGAAAAAAATTATTAAATTTTAAATAGCTAATAAAGCCGCTATATAATAAAAATTATATAAAAAAAAGTAAATATAAAAAAAAAAAAACTTTTATAGTAAAAAATAATTTTTAATTAATAATTTGAAAGGAATTTAAAGCGCATAATAATAATAAAAAAATAAAAAAGTAAATATATACTAAAGTAAGTAAGCTTTTTTAAAAATGCTATAAATACTATAATAAAGCTAAGCATAATACGCAAATATATAAATAAAAAATAAAAGTAATTTTTAAATAAATTAGCTTATTATAATTTATTATTGTAGTTTTTTATAGTGCTGTACTATTGTGCATAGTACTAATTTTAGTAAAATTTTAGTATTATAACTAACTTAACCGGGCGACCGACTTGCCTGTGTAATACATTAGAAAAACATAGAGGTAATAACAGAAGTGGTAAGGACAGCAGTTGCGAAAGGAGAGCCGAACAGGAACGCTTTCCCATCATCCACAAGAAGGCCTTCCAGACCTTCACCAATCACATACAACAACCGGATGCTGTGTCCTGCTCGTATCGCCAGTCTCACACACTTTGCTGCCTTTCTCTCCTTTCCCCTTTGCCTCTTCTTCTTTGCATGATATCGCATCTCTCCCATTGCACCAGAGCGCGCCAGCGTCGTTGCCATTGTTCTTGTATTCGCAATCCATGCCCTCAACTTTCATCTTGTACGAGCCTCCAGGCCATGGCGGGTTATCCACCAAACCCGCACCGTCCTCCGCCGGGAAGTTGCCCACAGCATCTTTTTCGTTGCGGCAGAGTGCACTCACGCCTATGTCCGCCGTGTAGAAAACCCACGCATTCAGGTTGCCTATGGGATCGATGAAATTCTGCAGGAGGACTTGGAGCGTCTTGGTCTTGGCAAGAGCTGCCAAGTCGCTATACCAAGGCTTATCAGCCAATAAGCCACTCCACCCGATAAGCTACCTCAACTAAAATTAGCTATTTATAAAAATAAAATTATAAAGCTACTAAGAAAAATTATTATTATAAATTTTTTTAAAGTATTAGTAAATAAAAGCTTGCAATTAATTTATACTATTTAAATTTTTATAAAAAATTAATTTAGTAGCTATGCGCAGTAGTTTTAGGCAAAAGCAGCAATAGCTATAATATATTTAAACTATTACTTTTAATATTTATAATATAATAATACTTTACTACATTTAAATTTATAAAATATAAAATTATTTACTTATATTTATTTATTTTATTATAAAATTTTTATAAAATTATAGCTTTTTTTTTTTATTGCTTTTGCGCGTATATAGTAGTTTATTTTTAAACTACTACTACGCGCTTTTTTATAGTGCGCTTTTTAGCAAGCAACTATACTATTTTTATTTTTTTTATAATTTTTTTTTTATATAATATTATTACTGCTTTTAGCTTTTTTATTTTTTTTTTTTAGAATTATTTAGTTTTATTTTTATATTATTTTACTATATTACGCGCGCAAGCTTTTTAAATAGTTTTTAAATTTTAAAATATTATAATATTATAAAATTTTTTGTATTATTAAAAATTTAAAAGTTTATTTTTATTTTTATGCTTTTTTTTAATTAAAAGCACGTTACAGAAACTTTTATTTTTATAATAAAAAAATTTATTTTATACTTAAAAAAAATATAGTACAAAGCTTAACTATTTAGCTTTAATTTTTACTTTATTTTTTATAATAATTTTAAATAAATTGCAGAACTAGTTCTAAGTATTTTTATTATTATTTTTTTTATTTATTAATTTTTAATTTTCCTATTGTAGTTGTATTTTAAATTATTATAGTATAATATTAGTATTAAATAGCTTAATGCCTATAGCTTTAAACACTTTTTATATATTTATAAAAATAAATATAGTATTATAAGTAGCTTAAAATAATAAGAAAAAGTTGCTTTTATTTATAAAAATAAAATTTTAGCTATAATAAAAGTAATATGCAAGCTTAGTTAAATAAGTAATTAAAAAAAGTAAAAAAAGTATTATATTTAAAAATTATAAACTATAAATTAAATAAAAAAAAAATATTATTAAAAAAATTTTATTAGCATTGTAAAAGTTTATAAAATTAGTAGTAAAGTAGCTGCTATAGCTATTAAAAATAAAAATTTTATAATTTACTTATACTTTGCTTTTTATACACTAATTAAAAACTTATTTAAACTAAGCTAAACTAATATTATTATTAAATTATTTAAAAAAATTTATTATAAAAAAAATTTAGTATTTTTTAACTTTTATATTGCGTAATTAAGCGTCGCAAAATTTTTTTTTTTTTTTAAAAATTATATTTAAATTTACTGCACTTTTATTTATACAAATATATATTAAAATTATTATTTATTTTTAGTTACTATCCTGTAAAGCTGCTATAATTTATTTTTACTTTTAAAATTACTTTAAAAAAACTTGTTTAAAGCATAAAGTAATACTAATAAAAAATTTTTTTTTATTTATATTATAAATATAGCGCGCGTTAATATTGTATTCTTAAATTTTTAAATAAAAAAAATTAAAATATAATTTATAATTATATTTAGTATTAGTAAAAAGCTGTTTACAATTAATCTTAATAGTATATTTAAAAATAAAAATATTATAATATTTTTTTAAAAATTGTAAAATTTATATATTAAAAACTTCCTATTTTAAAATTTTAAAAGCAAAATTTTTTATTATAATTTTTATAAGTGCAAGCCTGCATTTAAATAAACTTTATATATATTATATAAATTTTAATTTTTATTATAAATTAAAATATATCTATTATTAAGCCTTTTTTATATTTAATTATATTTTCTTTTAGTATTAGCGCACTAAAATAGTTTAATTAATACTAAATATTTTTGCAATTGCATAGTATAAAAATTATTTTTTAAAATTTTATAAATTAATTACTATAATTGCATTTAAAATTAGATTATTAGTAGTAAATATATTGCGGTTTAAAAAAATTATATTTAGTTTATTTTAATGTTAAGGTAGCTTATTAGGTAGAGTGGCTTATTAGCTGATAAGCCTCGGTAACTATTCGCGCCTGAGCTCTTGTGGTCTTCTTCTTTCGCACCGTTCCATACCACACGAAGGTCATAGCCGTCCGGATCCTTGGCCCCGCTCTGTATCCAGCTCGACTTGTCGCTGATGAGATATTTCAGGATTTCTTGCACCCGCTTGACGCCTGTCAAGCCGTCCCATTGCTTGCTAGTTTCTGCATGTGACAGGTATGTCGCAATGACGCCTGCTACTTGAGGTGCAGCTGATTCTACCATGTCAGAACATATTACATCTGTATCGCGTCTAGGTCGACTTACCGAAAGATGTGCCCGAGATAGTATTGTCCACTTTGGTGACTTTAGTCATCGCTTTGATCCTGGAACCAAGTGCATACACGTCGACGAGGGGACCGTACTGCGAGAAAGGTACGCGTCCCCGATCCCTGTTGCTAGCGCCGACATTGATAATGGGAAGGTCGGGAGTCTTCAAGATGCTAGGAACGGTGTCGATGAGCAATGCGCCTTTCTCGGGTGGCACTGGATCTGCCTCGTTCCCGGCAGCCACTACCAACGGCACCCCAAGAGCGAACAGATCCCTTATCGGCTTGTTGTAAAGTCTGTCCAGTTGGAAGTCGGCCGATATCTTCGGCACATCCGAAGCCACAAAACCCTCGCCCATAGATCGTGATGTTTGAACAACGCTCTTCAATTCGCGGCCCTTGCTTTTGATGTCGGCTGTGACGAGCTTCAAACCTTCGTACCAGTCCATAGCGTCAGATCGTCTATGAACCTTCACTGGTATTAGAATAGCCTAGTTGTCCGTCAGCACTAGCACACTACTCATATTCCGCAGTAACAAAGCATAAGCCCTTCTCCGCTGGCAAGTCTGCGAGCGAAATCATAGACCACCGGATCGCAGGTAGATCATCGAAAGCGAGTGGCTAAGCATTCGGTAGCCACGAGGAGAGGTAAGGAATACGACTGGAACCACACGCGTCCTGCGATAGCCTTGATCGTATGTCACGTACCTTTTTCGCCACGCCAAACTTCTTACCAACGGCTTTGGACGCCGTGTTGGTGCCGTGGGAGTCAACCTTGAGTGGGGCATCGTCGTCCCCTGCTTTTAGTCCTTCTGAAAGACTGGCTGGGGTTTGGATGATATAACCGTTCTCTGTTATGAATTCTTTGCCCATGTCGTCCTATTTCATGAGGTCAGCGTTTGCCATCCTGGTCACCAAGCCATGCACTTACACTTTCAACATCTATGTTAACACCCGAATCGATGACGTAGACGTATATGCCCTCACCAGGATCTGGGATGTGAACATAGTCGTGCTTGTCTTTCACATCCATGCCTCTATCAATGGCGTATTAGCTTCAAAAAAGCCTAGGTAACTCGATCCATACTTACTCAAATTGGCTGACATATACCAGAGAGTCGTCGGCGGCCTCCTGCTTTTCCCACTTGCCAGATCTCGCATCCAGCGCGCTTCGCCTCGCCGTTGATATGGGGGTCGTGAGGGTCTCTTTCTCGTCACTACGCGGGAGAGCTCTTGAGTAATTTAGTCCAGGATCTTCAATCACTTTGCCCACACCCTCATGGTTTTCGACCGCCTTCTTTGCGTCGGCATCCAGACTTAGACCCCACCAAGCTGTGATCTGCCCGTTGTCGCTGAAGTGATATATTTCTGAACCGGATGGAATTTTGGATCGTAAAAACTCGTCGGTGGCTTTGGTGTCAGTGCTCCCATCAGGCAACTTGGGGAAGACAATGTAGTGAACCTCCTCGTCCCGGCGGCTTAGTCGGCGACGATCTTGACCCCGGTGTACCAGACGAACCGACTCGAGGGCTTCAATGTTTTTGGTGATGTCGTCGCCTTCCGATGTGATGGTCCATGACGCACCGTCGTAGCCATCGTTGATGACCACGTTGTCGTCGCCATAGAGGTTCTTTAGCTGCGCTTGGGTTTCGGCGGTCTTGGTGTGATCGGTTGCTTCTACCGTATAGCGGGTGCCAGCGGGAGTGCTGATTAACTTGTCAGAGGGATCGCCCAAACTAGTCGTTGCCAGGATGGATTGGGTGCATAGTAGGAGAATAAAAAGGAAGTGCATTGTTGATTGTGCCAGTAGTAGATGATGTGAAGAAGGTTTGGTTGTGAGGATAGCGAGCGTATCCCAGAAGTTCTTATACCTCACTGGCCTCCGTAGGTAGATCTGACGTGCCAGATTGCTTTGCTAGCACTCGCAAGGTATCGCAAAGGCATCATTGAGCTGCGCCGAATGTCTCATCTCGCAATCCTACGGTGAAATCATACCGAACTGTGCCATCACCGCAGAGCCGGTTGATACCAATCGGCGTACACCATGAGCGAAGTCTACCATGGGTTTGAAACAAGTTCAGATCATGTAGAAGAAGTTTTCGTCGTGCTGACGCCTCGCTCAACCGTGATTGAGGCGTGGAAACACAACAGACATCGAGATCAAGGAAACGATTACCAAAAAAGACAGAGGATTGAGGCGTAGGCCGCGAGGATGTTCTTGAAACACGATTTTGAGGCTTAGGAAAGAAAAGCAACATACTCATTGGATGAGCTCGCCATGCTCTGACAGAGCCGTGGGTTGGTGGTAAGAATTACGTCCGAGAAAGCCGTTCGGACATGTCGGTATGCGGCGTGGTTGGAGATGGTCAAGAAGCGGGGCGAGAACGGCAGGGGCAAGTGACGTACAGCTTGCTGTGCCGCAATCAGTCAGCGCAACCCGATAATATCAAAACGTTCTCATCGATCTCCAAGCTTGTTAAGGAATCGATGAGCTGAGTGAAGATCAATTGAAGACTACGTTCAGAATCGAGGGCGCCCTTCGAGACGTGCTAAGATTTGAAGCGTTGTGGGGCCGTGTGGTACTTTCCTGGCCCCAAGAGCTGTACAATCTACAGGGCTTGCTGCAGGATCCTTATTGCTCGAAGGAGAATCCTCACCACGCATCGATGCTGGAGCAATGTTGAACAGAAGAAGAAGTGATCGATTGATGTTTATTCTATGTGGGGGGAGGCTATGTTTATATACAGAAGGGAGTGAAACCAGAGTAAGCTAGTCCGTGTATGGACTAGCGTGTTGGGCACATGATGAATCACGTGTTGGGAATCCAAACCAACAAGCAACGCCATCTGGCCGACAATGTCGATCGCTTTGCACTTACTGCTACCAACATCTACATGTGGGCATCTCTCATGCCATCCACATCATCTAATGTGCAATACGGTCGCGCTCTAGACGTTAAAAAAGGCTACAAAGTTTCTCTTCAATCCGAGGCCATCAACTCTACCATGCATGTCAGAGACCTGAGAGTTGGTTTGGAGCACGCAAGCGTGGGTTCTTTTCTCACCACCTTTGTTATTTCCAAGGATCGGAAATACATGGCTTTCGTTAGGAAGAGATTTGCTGCGATATTGGGTACCATGGGAGAACGATGATGAGGTTTGGAACCATGGTTGGCGACCTTCTCGAAGCCTATTCTGGAAGAATTAATATAATCACAAACATCTCCGCACTTAAAGTACTTTCACAGAACCAGCAATAGCTCAACTAGGGCGTAGGCGCTTTGAAAATCCTCTTAAGATTTGCTGGGGACGAGATAAAAACGTACCTGTTTCGATTACAACAAGGTGACAATCAGGAATTCATTACAAACGTCCGATGGACCTTGGGGGATCCAAGCGACCCTTGTCACGCAGACAGCACGTCCTCCTCTACATTCCTGAAATCAAAACAAGCGGCAGCAATCACCTCGATTATGGGCTGCTGGAGGGATATATGACATTGATTCTGACACCGGCGGCAGCTACCAAAACCCACATGCACTGCCAACGATGAATATTTGGAACTGACGTTCGCCGAATATGGAGGTGCGATCGCTGGGCTTCGGGAACACTGCTGGAACTTTACACGCTTACGCCGACGCGCTGCCGTTTACAAGCCACAGCGATGGACGCACAACACATCCTTGCAGTATCGCCGGAAGGTAAATTCTGCTTGTTCATCGCGGACCGGGGCCCAGCAAAATCGCCAAACGAGGAAGTAAAGCTACTATGCATGGACAAAAGAATATTGACATTGTGGCAATATTCGGCTGTCTTTAATGTTGAAGGTGAACAGCGCGCGTCAACTGAATCTCACAAGCTTGGCTATTTCCTACAATAGCGGTGGCCTACATGCGTTCTCCGATGACGAGACCATGTTAGTCCTTTGCGTTCCTACTAAGCCAACCTGGTCTCTTTTGACATTTGACCTGAAGGCAAAATATATCACCGGTTCGATGAGGAAGCTATCTTACGCAAATCTCCTGCGTGGTGCGCACTTGACTAGCTTCTGCTTTCCCAAGACTCAGGATAGGCAATTGTGCCTCCTCGCAGGAGCATTCAAGCTCGCGCTAAGGCTGGTCTTACAAAGTCTTTTTAACGGACATTGGATCCCTTGAGTCGACCGAATCCACAAGCATTAGCATGGATTGGATCGAAAGCGACACCTGGGTGGTTGATAGCGATCCCGTAATCCAAGCTACGACCACAGGGCTGACGACGAACTTTCAAAACCAGCTGAAACTGTTTGAAAGCGCCCAGAAAACCCTCAGTAAACTCACGAGCTATAAGTATGACCCAGAAGTCGTTACATCGCCTGAACAGCCTGTGAGTAGGACCACGACATCGATCACATTTGACCCCACCAAAAACCGCACCTTCATCCATTGCTTCATCTATCGACCCTTACCCAACGTTGAGAAGCTACCGAAATGGTCGCAAACAATGACAATGGAAGTGTACAGTGTCGGAGATCCCAATAGCGGGCGGTTGAAGGTCTACCAGGGCCCAGATGTCGAAGTCGCTGCGGAAGGATACCTCGCAAGTGCGCTGCACAAAGATCGGCTCGCTTTCTCATTTTCTTCTACGCACACATACCAGGCCAGCTCTACCATACTGTGTGTGTGGAACCTACACTATGCGGAGCATGAACAAGATGAAAGCGAGCATTGTCGTGGTTATGTGGAACACAAGCTTTGTAAGTGGACATATTCCTGCCATGCGACAGCATTAACATCCATCAGCTAAGCGCTACGTTTCAAACCTCGCCTTTTTCACCAATGCGCGATATCTCTATGGGATCTCACAAAGATTCGTCGTGTTTCAATTTGATGTCGAAGCAGGCGCGACACTCCAACGGATACACTTCTCCAGCCTCAACTGTTCACACATGTGTCTGACTCCCAGGGCTGATGGTTTAGATGTCGTTGGCCAAGCAAAATCTGGTGTCTATCAAGTCAGGTTGCCCACTGAAGCTAGAGCCAAGCTTAACGTCCGCCAAACTTTCGCAGGGCCACACATACAGCAAAGGTACGACAAGATTACTCTTCTGGGAGGATCTGGAGAGAGTGGCATTATGGCTGTGGTATTAACAATGCATAATTGGATTCGGAAGGAAGGATCTACAGGTAGTAACACCTTAGAACCTATTATCTTAGTCTCCTCTGAAGGCGATGTTGGGGAGTGGGAAGAGAAAGACTTAATGTGGAGGCACGTAGTTTAAATCTAAGTTAAGATAGCTGGTATTGTGTAAACTTTACTGCCTTAATACTGTGTTAAGGTGCTAGGTATAGCACCTAAACTTTGATTTTATACTAATTTCTCCCACTGCATTGTATAATCTGCTCTAGCGTTGACTTTTCTTTTAAATAAAGCAATATTATCTACCTCTTAATATCATACAGTTAGAAGGATTTCTATGGCGCCTACGCCCTAGTTAAGCTATTGCTAGTTCTGCGAAAGTACTTTAAGTATAGCTGAAGGGACCTAGTATATGTGCGGTTATAGCCGGCTAAGGTGGACAGCTTTGTTGTAAAAGCCCCTACCCTGCCACTACCCCTAATTAGCTCTAATGTTAGACTTCTTCCGTAGCCATTTAATGGACGTACTAAAGAAATAAATAGAATTCACCTTTACCAGGACGGAGACGCATATTGCAGGGTTAGCACAAGTGGTATGCTCTGATTGCTATGCAATTACATATAAGGGAAGTCCTAGCTGCCATATTTCGGATCCAGCAGCGCGTGTATGCACTCGTTCAGGAATGGTCTTAATCCCTAGCTAAGTGATGAGTATTCTGGCCCGGAGTCTAGAACTGAACACGTACAAGTGTCTATTGAGGCATCGTTAAGGACAATAGCTTATGGGAGACTTCTGCTAGTTGATTGAGGTTGATTTTTTTTTGAATAAGCAGTTGCCGAAGTGATGCATACCTAGTGACGCTAGGGCGCCGAGAATAAAGCGAGTTAGGGATAGCATCTTATAGTAGCCTTGATGGCGTACCGGGGCAGACTCGATTTCATTTGAACAAGATTGAGTTCGTTGTTGTACATTCTTCTATGGCTCAATGTCGGACAAGCAATCTCGAATGCCAGTTGAACAAACCCCAGCTATGGGAGGCGAAGCTACCACAAGCGTGTGCCGCGGCCATAGCTCCTGTCGGAAGTGAGGTTGGGCACCATTTTAGTCAAGTTGGGGAGGGATACACGTATTTTGTGGAGATGGTCATCAAGACCTCTGGTGGTACGGACTCAAATGTTACGCGGGGGTTTGGGATACGCCCGCGTAGGTCTCTAGTCCGTGTCCAGTTCTAACCAACCCACCATCTACACACGTCGCAAGCTTCATCGTGACATTGCTTGGCACATGCTTGGAAGACGCGCAAGTGGCAAAGACATGAGCTTGGTGGGTTTACCGACTTTGGTAATGTTTGCGTGCGATCAGCAGCCCAAAGCCTACGCCTAGCATCTTCAAGATACATTGCAGTCGCTATCACGTTCACGAGAGACGGATTAGCTTTGTGGGGCTATACGAATGCTCTTTGACAATTACAAAACGGTCTTGAGGACTCGTAGCCCTACACGTGAATTCTGGCGATCCATGCAGTGCGCCTAGGAAATCCAATGGCGGCGAGACGTGCGAATTCCCGTCCCGTCGCACAAGATGACCCGAAATGACTCGCAGGCGATGAAGCCAAATTAGCTCCGCGGCCACATGAGCAAGCATGCACCTGTCCAGGGTACGCTGACGAGGCCTTGGACGCAGACAGCAACAGCAACAGCATCGTGGACGCAGGCATCGGACTTGAACACAAGACATGGACCATGCGTGCAGAGTAATAAGATGGTGGCCAACGGCGGTGGTCAGTGTGTTGGAGGTGGAGCGGGCGGTAGATGGTGGAGGTTCGGGACAGTACGCGTGGCTCGCGAAGATCTACCGTTTGGCGCGGGCTCCACATGCTACTATTCAGGCCAGCTGCCACAGTAAGCTGCAAATGGGAACGTAAGACAGCAGAGAGAGAATTGCGTGCGGCGAGAGGGTTCTATTGAAGTATGGAAGTGAAACATGTCGTGTCGACGGCATCTCTCTCTCCAGTGCAGGTGTCAGTCAGGGAGTGATGCCTGTCTTGGAGGGACTCTGCCATTGCTACGCAGGCGGCTTACCGATGATTGCGACGACGACGACGACGACGACACTGTTGCCAATGCGGGCTGCTGGTTCCCATTAACAGATTGCGCAAGCTGGCGCGCGAATCTTGGGTAGTGTGGGTAGAGAGAGACGACACGCTTAGCGGCGCGCCCCTGCGTTGGAGGGGGCGCGAAAGCGGTTTCCTGTCGGCCATGACCTGCCATCAAAAGCGCATGGCTGCAACAAATAGGGTATGCCATCCATCCCAGACTGCACGCGCGCAGTGTAGTAGCAACAAGTCCCGTTACGGCTGCTGCTGCTGCTGCTGCTGCGAGACTGGGCTGGCCGTGTGTCCATGTCGAGGTTGCGATAGTATGAGTGGGAGCCCACGCACGCTGGCCGCGCAAGCTGGTTACGAAAGCGGTAAGCGCAGAGCGTCGCACTTGCCCCCAGGCCAGCGCTCACCCATGCCATGACTACCCTCCAGTCCCTACCGACGCTCCTCCTGCTCGCTCAACACCATCATTGACGACAAAAGACGTCGTTCTGCGCTCGAGAGCCGCCTGTCCTGCTGCTGCTCCTTGTACGCGCCCGAACGACGACGACCCGACTCCCAGAATACCTGCCGCTGCCTATCCGACGTGCTGCGCCCGCCGCTGCATCATCGCGGCTGTGCACCACTGCCATTTCGCCGCCGCCTACCCAGTACCAGACACCAAAGACTCGCTCGACCCCAACCCACGACATCCACGCCTACACCATCCAACCTCACCACTACCGCGAGCAAGACCCGTACCCGTACCCGTACCCGTACCCGCACCGCTGCAGCTCGCAACTGCCCACCATGGACTCCTCGATCCGCGCCTCGCGAGCGCCTGCCACCAGCATGGACACGGACAAGCTGGCCGCTGATATGACGGAGCAGTTTCGACGGGTACTTAGCACAAAGCGCATGCACGAACTCACGTCGCGCTCATCGCAGTCCCGCTCTGCATCGCCAGCGCCGCGAGACTATGGCACACCGCAACCACCGCCGTCGCACACTGCCCCGCCCACGTACGCATCCATCAAGAACATCCCCCTGGTGCCCGAGGCTCCGCATGACGCCCGATCCCTGCGCTTCAAGAACATGCTTCACTCGCTATCCAACATGCCAGTACGGTGGGAGAACCCCGGACTGCTCGATGAAGCCCTTCGCGTCGTTCCCCTGGAGCAGATCTACAATGAAGCTGAAGAGGAAAGCCAGATCCTGCAAGCCGAAGCCGAGAGTCTCGGTTCTGGGAAAAAGGCCGCATGGGGCTACCAGGACTGCGTTGTCAGGGCACTTCTGCGATGGTTCAAGCGATCATTTTTTCAGTGGGTCAACAACCCACCGTGTTCGCGGTGCTACTCTCCCACCGTAGCTGTCGGCATTACCGCACCACTACCTGACGAGCAAGCACGCGGCGCCACCCAAGTCGAGGCGTATCAATGCTCGCATGACGGCTGCAAAAACTACGAGCGATTCCCCCGATACAACGACGCCTTTGTCCTGTTGCAGACCCGCAAAGGCCGATGTGGCGAATGGGCCAACTGCTTCAGCATGCTCTGCCGTGCTGTCGGATCAAGAGTACGATGGGTCTGGAATGCCGAGGACCACGTATGGACCGAAGTCTACTCGGTACACCGGAAACGATGGGTACATGTAGATGCTTGCGAAGAAGCCTGGGACAAGCCCCGGTTGTATACCGACGGTACGCACTTTCTCATAGACATGCCTCATCATTCAATGACTAACTGTTCTCTCAGGCTGGGGCAAGAAGCTCTCCTACTGCATCGCCTTCTCTGCTGATGGCGCCATGGACGTCACTCGACGATATGTGCGCGACCAAGCCAAGCACGCTGCTGAGCGCAACCGTGCACCAGAAGCCGTTCTCCTCCACATCATGCACGAGATCCGGGCTCTGCGCCGAAACAACTTGTCCAAGCAGGACAAGTTCCGTCTGCAAGGCGAAGACCTCCGCGAAGCCAAGGAGCTCCGTGGCTATGTCATCTCCTCGATTGCACACGAGGTCAGCAAACTCAGTGCCGAGGACATCATCAGTGGCCAAGTCACGCCCCGCCGACAGGACCCTGATGCCCAGAAGGCGTTGGAAGGTCGCACAAGCGGCAATTCGCAATGGATACGAGCACGAAACGAAGGCGGACGAGGCCAACCCAATCAGCAAGATCCTCGAAACCAACATCCCCGATGAGAAGCTACAAATCCCTTTCCGCCACTTCACACTCACTTCATGCGCTATCTACCGACCAGACACAGCTCCAACGAAGCCGAGCCAGATGGCAAAGTGCACTCGGCTCCGCCCTCGGGCATGAAGGCCTCGATGGAACTCAAGATGCCATTTTCACTTCAACCCCACAACCTTCGTCACGCGAGAGCCACTCGCGTTTGTAACCATAGAATTTGGGCTTCAGCGACTTGCAACACATTTGCACCGGCGTTCTAAGGAGCAACGTACAGTAGACACTAGTCTTAACCTCTAATGTCTGCACCAGCCTCAGCAGAGGCATTTCCTATCGTTCACGCAGCATTTTGGCAACCCGAAGAGCGGGTTATCTCTCGTATGATTACTGCATATTTCGCTTCTATTTTCTGTGCACGCGGTGGGGGTCCGCGCGGCACTGTTCATACCATTTTGCATTTTGGAATCACGCTCGCGGTATCTATTTCTTATGTTTGTTTCTGTTTTGTTCATGACCATCTGGTCACTCTATGTACGACGTGATGGGATTCACGTTTACAAGTGGTTTCGGCATTTCTGACATGCTGGCACGTTCTAGTTGTAGAGATGGGTGTGTTTGTACATGGTGGGGATCTGCGAAAGAGATTTATTACGTGTCTGACTCTTGAGGGGTCGACGCGCGTCCGCGGCGTCGAGCAGGGCCAACGAAGAGCAGGCTACGGCACAGCTGTGCAGATGCAAGATAGAACAATCCAGCCAAGATTGGCGATTTTCTGCAAACAACACAAATCATTTTCCGACCTTTGGTGACTTGGTCATGTCTACATGTATATGATGATTGTGGAAGGGGTGCGAATAACCAGGGAAGAGAGCGTGGGGACGCGCCTCGGGTGTACGCGTATTCACAAGCACGTGGCATAGCCTGTAGTTGGAGGAGCCTTGTCGAACTCGTTGAACTCGATCAAATGAGAGCATACCCTGCAAACAATGATCCCCTCCTCCACTCCTCTATCTGTATCTCTCCCACTTTCCACCATCATCTCCACAATGGCCGACCGTCTGCACAGACCGCCGCGATTCAGCCTTCCAAAGTCTCTTGGCGCAACAAAGCGGGCCGTTTGTCCTCTTGCTAAATTTGGTTAGTGCTTGTTTGCTGCGGACGAAGGATCAAAGTCCAAAAATAACCCTGATCAAATACTGGGCTGAGGAAGCGAGATAATTGCGAGGATGCTTAGAAGTGTTTAGCCAAGGGATGGCTCTCAGGTTGCACTCTCAAGGTCGTGTGTCTTCGGCGCCTGTTCTCCCAGCACTGAGTTGTACTATTATTGCTCAGGTTTGTGCTGTCAGATGAGATGATGGGCATGTCTGAATGTCTGAACAATCTATGATGGTCGTCGCGGGAGGCATTTCGCCGGGCTGATGGGCTACCGATGGTACGCGTTTCATCTACGACGCTATCTGGGCATGGCTCCTTGGATAATACCGCGACAACTGTGGGTGGATTGATTGCCGTGACCTGGTTGCAATGGTGGTCACCATGTTCGGTTGCTAGAACAACAAACACAAACACGGGCTGCGTGGACAAGCCATTTCTTCTTGTGTAGCAAATATCGCGGCCCGCGCGTGATTTCGCAGCTAAACTACAGACACGAGGCCCAGCACCGCCATCCGACGTCGCATCCCAAGGCTGGCTATTCATACTGCAACGAGCATAGCGTGTCAGCAACTCGTCCACCTTAGTCGCACGCCCTGTGAGGCTGGTGAACGCTATGATGTACCTCTCCTAGAATTGACCATTCAAGTCCAAGCTATCCCGCCATGCACGGGCCCTAGTTATGTGCCCTGCCCCCTTCCTGGGGCCTTACCCTCAGCTGTGGTGGAGCCGGGGATTGTACATGTACAAAAAGCTCATGCTGGCCCTCTTCTGTGTCCCACTCATCTGTCGTTCAGCCTTCTTGCTCATTCACGTCATCTGTCTCTTCGTGCCGCCTATCATATCCCCGGATTCACCATCGTTGCTGCTTCAAGTCAAGAGCGACTTCTGAGTGACCCCAGCCGCGCCAGGTTTCAAGACCTTGGGAACAAACAACCGCAAACATGGGCAAAGTCGGGCGCTTCGCGTGTATTCTCACGCCCATGCTACTCACCCTTGCATCGCTGATATGCATTGTTCTTGTCGTGATCGGTCAGACGCCGTGGAAAGGCAATAATGCACCTAGCACTGCATTGGGGCGCGACCTGTATTTCTTCAAAGTACGTGTTTGGCCCCAAAACAATCCAACTCTACAAACAACCTTCTAACACCCATCACAGGCAGACACAAGCGGTTTCAACGCCGACCCTCAGAATGTCATCGATCACCTACCCGACAGCGTAAAACCTGACACCGACCTTGTCAAAGCCCTGCAAGGCGCCGCCTCCTCGAAAGAGCTCAAGGACTTCTACCAAGTCGGCCTGTGGTCGTATTGCGAGGGCGACAAGGACAAGGACGGCAAGGAAACCATAACTCACTGCTCGTCTCGCAAGTTCAGCTTCTGGTTCGATCCCTTCTCGGTGTGGGAGCTCAAGGATACCAGTGCACAGAAGGCTCTTGGGGATGACATGCAAAAGGTTCTCAACGCATACAAGAAGGCTGCGGGGTTCATGAATTGGGCATTTGTTATTACGCTGATCCTGTCGGCTGTCGAGTTTGTTATTGGCTTCTTCGCCATCTTCAGCCGCTGGGGAAGTCTGGTCACCACCATTGTGTCTACTGTAAGTCCTACCGATTCTCACTTTCGATATATCCCCATCATTTACTGACGTACTTTGCCAGGCGCAAACCATCTTCGCGCTAGCAGCCGCCACAACCGCAACCGCAATCTACGCAGCCCTGGTCGGCGTCTTCAAATCTGTGCTCAAGCCGTACGACATCGACGCCTCAATGGGTACGAAGATGCTAACCGTCCTTTGGCTCGGCGTCGCCTTCTCTGTCGCCTCGGGCTTCTTCTGGCTCATCTCTGTGTGCTGCTGCTCCGGCAAGTCGCCCCACAAGAAGGTCGTCGTGGAGAAGACTCCTTACACCTACGAGCGTGTTGCTAGCCCGGCATTTGGCGGACAGCAGGCACAGCACACTGGGTATGCCGGTGCGGCTGGACATGGTACGAGTGGCACAGCGTACGAACCGTTTAGGCAGCAGCAGCATGTTTAGATGGTTGTTGCTAGATCCGTGCGGTTTGACTAGGATGCCATTGGGTAATCGCTAATTAGGTGTGATTTGGGGAGTGAACGTGACGAGGAAACATGGTGACATATAATGACCTGTATGATCATCTATTTGGGTTAGTCATTTATATACCCGGCGTTCTTGGGAGCATTGGTTTTCCTCCACCATCTTCAAGATTTGAATAGATGTGTTCGAGTAAACACTCAATCAACCGCAATTATTCCTCCATTCATCTTCTCTAGTCACTCGGTGAACTTCAGCCTCGTCGCATGTTATAACTCTGAATCAAACCTCATTCTCATCCCATCTCTATTCCGTTTGATCACATCGCACAATGTCTATCCTTCTTTTATATGAGATTCTCTGTTCACAAGGCACTGAGACATTTATTTCTTTGAAAATTTACCTCTCACTTTCCAATTGTTTGTGAGTGTTACACTACCACTCCTCCCTCTCTAAGGCCCTCCCCACAATGTCTACAATCGAATCCGCCCTTTCAATAGCAATCTCATGCCCGACGTCTTTTACAACTCTCACAGTCACAATTTCCTTCCCTAATATACCCTTTGCATCCTCGGCCAGCTCCTCGGCCACGATAATTGGATCCGTCTCTCCCAGCACTAGCCACACCTTCTCCAACTTCCCATTCTTCTTTTCAATATTCTCTCTGATGATTTGCCAGCGATCGTGTTGATCGTGTATCGGCGCGTACCGAATCGACGATACAAATGCTGGAACAAAGCCAGGATGGTGCGCAATCTGCCAGTTCACGACTGCAGAGACGGTGCTGTAAGGGTTGCTCGGTAACAAAGTATGTCTCGAAGACAAATAGACGGCGTTATTGCGCGAAGTCGTAGTGGTTTCCGCGTTCTCGACAGCGTCAGGCTCTGCTTCTATCTGCCCACTAGTCTCCGGCCCTGTCCACAGCCTCTTCGCTACCATGCGCTCAACTATCCACTCGGGCACCCACCCTCCACTTTGATATAGCAGTTTGTTCTTCCAGCTGATGTGCCGATTGCGGATAAGCCCTCCTGGCGCAACGAGGACGAGCCCTTTGATTAAGATGGGGAAGTACGATGTAAAGTCTGCTGCTAGCGCGCCGCCGAGGGAGTACTAAAAGTGAGTCGTATAAAGTTAGTATATATATTACGTGTAGTTGATCAATTGGAGGATCACGTACGCCAACAATGGTAAATGGTGACCAGGCGATTGGCGAGGAATTTAGACAGACGAGGATCTGATACGTGTACAGAGCGGAGTCATAGTGGTGGTCCTTGGGAGTGGGTGCGGAGGAGTAGCCGCGGCCAAAGAGATCTGTAGCGGTCGATGGTAAGTGATGGCACGTTAGGTAAATGCTATTGCAAGAGGAAGGAACGCAATCACGATTCAGAAGGAAGAATGACAGTAATGTAATAGTTCAGACGTGCTACGAGATGTGTAGTTTTTTGCACAATAGGGATCAAAATATAAGATGATATGAGACAAGACTAGTCAGAGTAGGACAAGCAAAGGATACGCTTAAAAAGCGACACAAAAGCGTTCACCTACCGAACAACATCACTCGACATCCTTTCCCGACGAGTTTGTACGCCAAGTCAGTCAACGCAATGCTTGGTGTCGATATACCATGGATGAGCAACATGCGCTCTCCATCGGCAGGGCCCCATTCGTACACTCGAATGCTGCCATAGTGCGACTTTACGTCTCTTGCTCCAGGTAATGTATCCGGAGGGTATGGCAGTTTTTGGACCCCCTCTTCCGATAGAGGGGAGAGTACTGTTGCGTTTGGAGAAGGGATGGTCTTGCGCTTGTCTACTTCTGAGGATCTTGATATAGATCGCAGAAAGACTAGACTCACAAGAGATGCTGCGCCAATGGCAAAACAAAGATACGGCGCAGGTACTCTGAAAGGGGAGATGCTGGTCATGATGGACCCGATGGAAGGCTGCTCGCTGACCAATGGCGTCCAGATCGCAACCTAGAATAGATATAAATGTGGTTAAAATGGATGAGCCGGTTGGCCTGCTGTGCGCTAAGTGCTGCAGAAGTCGCTTCCCTCGATGCGCCACAAAGAAAGTCGCAATCCTCCGTCTCGGCTCGGAAGCAGCGCGTTGCAATGGTCGGTCAATGCCGAAGAGATTCATCCATGTTTATGCCCACCAACCCCACGGCGACCTCAAAGCGATTCCGCCGAGGATGATAGTGCTCGCAAGCGCCAATTTGAGGAAGCGCAGCATGGAGGTGGCTAGCGTCGAAGCGGCGGAGAGCCAAGCGGGCGTCAGCTCCTCACAGCCACAGCTGAGGCCATGGTACAGCCTCAGACATCTTCAGTGCCAACTTCTGGGCGCTGACCTACTGGGGAGACACCGCATATTGACAGTCGGTCCTTTATACGCTCATCTGCCCTCTTGTCTACTTTGGCTCGCCTTTCTTCCCGCGTGCGTCTCTCTGGCAGGGTCGCTTGTTTGTTGAACCAGCGGACCTCCGCTCTAATACAACCACCTGCATTTGACAGCGCTGCCAATCCTCCACCACACGTTGTACATGTACCAAAGCATCCCACTTGCACCTGTGCATCACTCGGACGTTTTCGGGAGTGTCTGCATGTGGTAGTGCGCCATGGACGACTGGACATCGAAACAGCTCCCTGAGCGCCTCCCCTTCTCCAAGAAGCGACTCCCCAAGAAGGTCATCTTCTCGTGCGTAGAGTCGGAACTGCGAATCCATTGCTAGAACCTGACCATTAGAGCAGATACATCGGCGACTATCTAATCATAGTGTAAGAAAATAGCCGCGTCGTCCGCAGCACACGACCTCCTTCCCAAGTCTATTCTCGCTAATTAACGCGACTCATAGTGTTCTCATCGTTCTATTCACCATCATCGACAAGATCCCGCCGTTTCACCAGCACTTTTCGCTCGAGAACTATACCCTCCACTATCCATTTGCCGAACATGAGCGCGTACCCGTCTTCTGGCTGTGTGTCTACGTTGTTTTGGCACCAGCCGTCATCATCGGAATATACACAATGGTCATAGATGGGTTATTCTCACATCAGACCGCGATGCCTGTGGGCCGTGCTGGCATCAAGCGCTTGTCCGGGAGATATAGATTCAAGGATAGGTTGTGGGAGCTCAACTGCGGTATCCTAGGCTTGGGTTTGAGTGTGGGCGCCGCATTCACCATCACGGGAGCTCTGAAGAATGCCATTGGGAAGCCGCGACCGGATCTCATCAGCCGGTAAACAACATCCCTTAGCGGAGGTGGAGCGTTCGCTGACAAGGTGTAGTTGCATCATCGATGCTGCCAAGATTGACACTACGACAAAGTATACCCTCCAAACCATCAATATTTGCACGCAAACGGACAACTATATCCTGCAAGACGGGTTCAAGAGTTTTCCCTCTGGCCACAGTAGTGGTATGTCTATGCTTCTTCTTCCCTTCGAAAATCTCACTCACGTTCATCAGTCTCATTCGCTGGCTTGTTTTACCTCTCAATCTATCTCGCGGGAAAGCTCCATGTTCTAGACGCGAAAGGTGAAGTATGGAGGACGTTCCTGGTAATGGTCCCCGCGCTCGGCGCTGCTCTCATCACAGGCACGCGCATCATGGATGCCCGTCACCACCCTTTTGATGTTCTCTCTGGCGCCGCGCTTGGTATCTTGGTTTCCTGGGGTTCTTATCGACAATACTTTCCGCCAGTTTCGGAGACATGGCGTAAAGGACGGGCATATCCTATTCGAGCCTGGGGCAAAGCGTCACGCGTACCTCCAAACCCCACCATTATGATCGATGAAGATGTGCAACCGCTACGACCTGTGGTCAAGCCAGTTGACGAGGAACGCGGCGAGGCGTCTGGATACTCGTCAACCACCGCAATTCCCAGAGACAACGGCGAACAGGGGAATGTCTTCCGCCAGCAGATTTCGGACTCACAACGAAGGAGGGGCGGTCCTCCCCAATATGGAGTAAATCGCAGCGACACGGGTGCGTCGAGCAACTACAGAAGCGAGACCCTAAATTCGACGATGTCATCAAAGGTCCACAAGTACCAGAACCAAATGCCATCGCCGAACCCTTTCGCCGCTGACGCCGCGCGCCAACGCCAAATGGACACGTACGATTACTCGTCTTCGGAAGATGAGGATAATTATGAGCTTCAGCAGTCATACGCATTGTCGGTTCCCCAGAATACAAACGCCTATAACCCGGTTTCCGGTCGGTTCACAGATACTGGATATCATCCTCCCGTGGGCATCACACCCAACCCTACGCCTCCACCACCGCTAAATACCATTATCCCGAATCAGCAAACGACGATGTCGCCAACGGGAGATTTGAGTGACAGGAGGGGGGATGCGCCAGCGCCTCCACCACACACTGTGGGGACTACCCCTCAGCAAATATGAGTGAAGTTGGGGCGCACCCACATCAAGGGATAATTACACTTGCATTCATTCGTCCGTGATTTTGGTTGCTCAAGCGCATACACGCGCGTCTACGGCCTTTTTTCAGCGATTCAGTGTACCTAAGCATTGGTATTTGTATGACCAGCTATAGCGCTGTTATGTCTGTGATGATGCTCACGCAAATTGGGCTCTAGCAAGCAACAGGAGTTTTTTTTTTTGCACATTGGGTGTGGCATAGGTTCGGTCCTCAAGGGAAAATTGGCGCCTTCATGGCCTGGTAGCATGTATTGTGCATCAATCTATATTTAAACTTCACTCGTTGTACGTCGCTTAAAGCTTGGAAGATGTGATACCTTGAGCCAAATTCTATTTCGGATACAGTCTGCCCACACTAGAAATGAAGCTGGACTATTGGATTACCATAATCGATGAGTTATGTCAAAATTACCAAAAGGCGAGGAGGAGGCAAGATTATCCCCTACGTCTGGTACTCGGGCTCTTACCCGTAACATTGGAATACGACGGAGTCGCTCCGCTTGACACGGCACGGGCCATGTCCTTCCTATTTCCCGCTACTGGCTTCTCTAGCTTTTTCGATTCGGTATTCTTGGAGGCCGGCGCATTCCAGTAGAACACCATCTGGAGGAAGAGGACGGCGTTGAGTACGAAGCCGGCGATGAAACCGTAGAGTATAAGTGGGTCATCGACCTCTTGGAGGGTGGTGAAGATGCGAGACAGGGAGCCGAGGAGATAGTTTACAACCTACAAACATCGAGTCAGCCGTAACGTTCCGAGCAGTGACAGCTATAATAGAAGGAAACATAGTAACACGGGCATGGAAAAGAGAAAATGAAAAGGATGAACTTACAGCGAAAGCGCTCAACTGGCCCGTCCCGCCCTCAGACCAGATGGTCAGGATCTGGGGCACCTTGCTCGCAACGCCCAGCACACCCGCTGTAGCCTGAAGCAGCGAAAGCCTCTCGTCACCCACCCAACTCTCATTAAACAGCGCCGCGCCCGCAGCTATCAAGCCGCCAATCCACCCCGCAATGGCGACCGAGTTGCCACTGTACTTCAGCACCAAACTCGCGATAGCAATATTCTGCACCAAAATCAATGCCGTTTCGCCGTATGTGCTGAACGGGAAGCCGTGTCGCACATTGTACGAGAGCGAGATGAGGTACGCGCTAGACTCGAGCAGGTACGATAGAAAGGAGAGGCCCTCGGCAGATTGCGAATTGAGGAGTTTGAGCAGTTGGGGCACTTTTACGATACTGGACGCGCCGATGATGCCGATTCCTAGGCCTTTGGAGATGGCGAGCTTGACACAGTCGGTTGCTGTGAGATCGATGTTGTAGACCAGTGTCTTGTAGCAAACAGGGCCGAGGAGGGAGGTGCCAAGGTCCGCGATGGGTTTGGGGAGGTTGTGGGTAATGGGTTGGAGGGCGGAGCGTAGTGCGTCCATGGTGTGGGTGATCGTTGGCGAAAGGAGTGTGATTGAGGGTTTATGCTGGTCTGTCGTCGGTGGAAACTTTGGGCATATGCGAGGGTGGACCCTCTGACGCAAGGCTTGGCACCCACGTGCAATGTTCGTGCCGCTCCCTGTGCTTGATGGTGCTCTATTTCAATCTTGCATTACTATTACGATACCAAAGCTTTGGTGTCCACCCTAACCTACGACGAAGTAAAAGAAGAATATCATAGTAGAATACATGGTAGCTCGCACACTAATGTGTCTGATTAAACAGACAAAAAGATCAGAGTTGAAAATTAGCCGCATAGAGCTCAATGGCATAGCAAACGAGATATTTGAGAAGAGAGAACCGATATGCAAACGTCTAGAAGATACCCTGGGTCAAGATTAGTAGTGATCTACAATACGAGTGTCACAAGGAACTTACGGGTATGAAAAGGTAAGGCACCTGCCTCTCATATTCCCTCCACGCTTCACCATACTTTTCTCTACACTTCTCAATGTCTCTTAGCGCACGGTGGATAATCATGCCAGTGAAAAATACAGAATAGAACCACGGGAAGGGCGACTTGAAGCCTGTGATAAGACCCCATGAGAGAGCGAAGTAAAGATCGCACGTGTAGTGTATCTTGCGCGCCTTGCCGTACCACCCATCAGCGAGAATCTTAGTACCGGCTTGCGTAGATATAGTCTTGGGGTTTGCAATGCGCCCGTACTTGAAGTAGGGAAATGTGGTGCGCTCTTCGACGACGCCGCGTTCTTCTTGGCGGAACTGGTTCTTTTGCGAGTTGGTGGTATCCCAGATGTAGTACATGCCGAGATATCCAAGAGTGAGGAGCGCAATGAACCACGCCGGCCATGTGTACTCTGATGGGTGGTGCGTTGCGATGAAGAGGGTGCAATGGCAGTAGGACAGGGGCACGCCAGCCATGTTCCAGAAGATGAGCATAAAGCCGAGCTTTTCGTAATACATGTCCCAGGTTGTGATGATCAAATGCTCGCCCTTTGCGCAGGCGCCGGCGTAGAGGTAATGAGCAAAGAGGAGGAATATTGCTTCCATTGACGGCTTTCCGTATTGCTCGTACTGCTTTAAACATGTGCCTAGGGATAAGAAGAAGAGGATGAACCAAGGAATGCGGACCTCGAGGAACATCTTGAAATCGAGGATGCCGAAAAGCCTTGGGTTGAGCTCTGCACCCAGGAAAAAGTCGACAATGGGAGAGCCGGTCATGCGAATGGTAACTCCACGTACCAGCGCTGAGACGTATGCAATAGCTGAGCACATAAAGCCAGAGATGATGGCGACACTCATGATGTGCCCAAACTCATCGATGAGACTGTAAAGCTTGAAGATTCCAGTGAAGTGAAGAACCAGCATGATAATGATGCTGGAGTAAAAGGACCACATGGCGGAGCAGTAGTAGTCGAGCTGCTTGCCGCCCATGTGAGGTAGAGCCTTACCCTTACGGTACACTCCCGGCATGAGCATGTAGAAAGCCATTTGGCCGAGTCCAAAGAACCAATAGATCCTCCATGCGCGGTTGTTTGGGTATGCTTCCGTTTTGACGAGAAACCACAAGTGCTCAAAGAACTGCTGCCAGCTCTGACCATCAGCTGGCTTGGGGAACTTGCCATCGTAGAAGATGGCTCCGATCCACATGTAGTACATGAGGGCGGGAAATCCAATCATCATGGCACTCATTCCAAGGGCACCCCCAAACTCTGATTGGCCAGATGAGTCTCTTTTCGCGAAGTTCTTGTCCGCCTCCATCTTGAATTCGTGCGCATCCTTCTTGGATAATTCTTTGGCGTGTCCATTCGCGCTTCCGTTTACGTGTCCATTCGTGTGTCCATTCGTATGCCCATTGGTATATACACTACGCTTAGCCTCTCCATTCCCATTCTTCACAACAGTCGTATCGAACTGTGAGAATGCCTCCGGCTCCGGCGTCGAATCATACGCGTCATCAATGTTCCGATTGAAAGATTTGCGTTGCGACCTCCTCCGTCCAGGAGTCTCAACATAACCAGGACGTTCAGGCTTGCTGTAGTATGCACGTCAGTCACAAGTCCTCATCTCTGTCTAGTGAACGATGTCTGATTCAACGCAAGCATACCTAGGCGTATTTCCAGTCTGCGACCGCGTCACTCGGATTGACATGATTGCTACGTGCTATGGTCGGTGTGGCGACGCGCTATTTCAGGGGCGGTTTGTTGGGTGAAAGGTGCCACAAGGCAAGTAGCGACGGCGACTATTATTAAGAAAAGTAACGAAAGAAAAAAGATTGTAGATGCCGTCACCCCCTAGTCGAGAATACCTGAGACAGCCACAGACAATCAATGGCGCAAAATGCGGAGGTGAAGCTCTGTGTTTGTTGACGTGCGGTACAAAAATTTAGTTGCCATGGACTCGGGATTAGCGGCCAACCGGAGGCCGCAGATTCCGGCATCGCGGAAAGCTAACAACACATTGAGAATGCATGAATCACTTAGTGATTTGAAATAAGCAAAGGAATATTAAAGCTGCACAAGATTGCACATCCTTACTATATCGGGTCTTCAATTAGACTGAAGTAGCCTAGTATTTCCACTCTTCTTAATAGCCCCTCACGGAGATAGCATCAAGCGAGCCTGCTTGTGTGATACTTGCAGCCTGCGGGAAGCTGAGTTGCCAAGACGTCTAACAGAGCTGTAGTCACAGAGGCAAATCCAGCAAAAGTCATAGCGGCATTTAAAGCTTACGACTTCGTTAGCAACATCCACCACCTTGGTGTGGCAAAATGGCCCCAAACTTACACGTCGTATGGTCACAGCCGTCGTTTCTCTCGATGCTGTATACGCCGTTCTTGCTCGGGCACTTCTTTGAGAGCTGGCCGATCGCCTGAAGGCTAGCTTCCTCCTGATCCTTTTGGTCGGGGAAACACGCTTCAGGATCAAGCTAAGATTCTTCCTACGAGATAAATGCCTCTTAGCCAACATGGAAAGTGCCCCTGAAGTAACAGCAAAGTGTCGTTTTGAGCGAGGCACTCTCACTTCGCCATGTTTCAGACAGCCTCCAACAAGTAGACTGTGGATAGCAGGTGAGTTTGTTGGTTGTATGAGCTCCTGAGGATGCTAGACGCTTTGTTAATCCCCATCTTGTGCACCAGGCTATAATCTAATTTCGCCAAAGCTCACCAGCTTTGCTTTCGCCAAGACATTACTTTAAAAGGTACAATTACCGGAAAGCTGACCGGAAACTTTGAAAGTGGTGTGATATGCATCATATTTTTTGCACATGGCTATGCCATATTATGCATTTGCACATGTCCTTCAACAACTCCCCATCCAACGATGGAAGTAGCTGTCTCCAAGAATAATGACAGTATGTAAAGATGCTAACGATGCTCATATTAGACATTGGTGTGTCCGAACCAAACTCGAGAAAATACCGGACAAGACTGCCGGGCCTGCATACCTCAATGCGCCAGATACATGGATAGAACCAGAAGGAATATTTGCAACGCTGCTGCAACCCAGCATGACTTCATAAAATTTCGTTGCCCGTCAAGATGGCCTTTCGAGTGGCAGTCAAAATCGAGATTGCGGATAGATGTGCAATGGTAATTGGCCAGTATGGTAACACATGTCCTGGTTGTGTTACCTCGGCGTAGAATTTGACCATCTATTGACAGGCGTCGGCTCCGTCGTAATATGAATACTCGGTAACCGCTCGAGATGCGGCAGCTGCGGTGCTCTCGTTGTCACAGGGCTTTCGTAGTTTGGTGGATCCTCATACGCAGGCGCTTGTTCCCGCGGGAGGTCGGTATTAGGCGTGGGGGCTCTACTGCCACTATGACTTCTCTCAGGGTTGAGCGAGACAACCTCAAAGTCGTCGCTAATACCATTGTTGGACCGCGAGTTTGAGCGCGAGGCTTCGGGGAAACTGAAGTCGTCGGAGGTGCGGGAGTCGAGGGAGTGTGCAATTGAGGTCACGGAGAGGCCACGTCGGTGCGATTCGGTGTCGATATCCACGGTGTTGTTCGTGTATGCGCGCGAGCGACCACTCTGTCCGGAGATGGAGGCAGCCGAGTCAAGAAGAGGTCTGTTGTCACTCTCTGAAGAATTGGCGCGGAGACGTGTGCCGTCGTGTCTGGCTACGCCTAGGTCACCGTAGGCTACAGAGGAGACGCGTCGATCGCGAGTGCGGGCATTTGTCTGGTGCTCTGCGATGAGCAATTGTGAAACGGAGAGATCGGCAGCCTCTTCTGCTCTGCGTCGGATGTCTGCGAGGGCATGTACGTCGCCTCTTGTCCGGGCTTCGCGTCGGGCTTGCCGTCTTGCCTCGCGGTCTGCTGCCTCAACTCGTCGCGCCAGTCGTATTTGATATAGCGACTCCATCTCCTCTTCTCGTTGCCTTTCCTCCTCATCTACTGTCTCTGGCAGCTCGATGACATTGTCCATGCCCGCTCTTTCGCCCTCGCGTCCTAGTATCCTCTCATTCTCTCTTGCTGCCGGCGAGTATGCCGGCAATGTCATTACGCTGCGTACCGATGTGTTCCTATCGACTCCGGTAGTACTGTCCCTATTAGTTCTCTGCCTTTCAGGATCTGCTGATGCTGCCCCGCTCATCTCACGACTCTCCCTATTCGTACTCCCATGGTACTCGGTATCCTGTAAACTTGTCGAATACTCATTGCGACGAGGCCGCTTGCGCAAGTTCTTCCAGGAAAATAAAGATGGTAGTTTATCGTCCGAAGATTGCTTCGCTTTTTGTTCGTTTCGGAAGGGCGGGCGGAATTTGAGGGTGAGGAGGTATGTGATTACGAGGATCGCGAAGATGGCCGCTGCAATGACAGATACCTACAACGTGCCACTTGTCAGTCAAACTTCAATACGCGAGAAGTTGCGACGCGGTAGTAGGTGGGTATACTTGAGAAGCACTGGACGTACAACGACGAAGGTCTTATTCTGCTTTGACATTCTTCTCTCCAACGCGCCTCCCCTTACGTCCCGCACGGGTAACAACATGGGGCTCCTCAAGACTCTCCCATGCACTGGGTCCGTCAAACGTCAACTCTTCGACTCTTCAATCCTTGAACCAAACCAGACCTAACCCAAACCAAAGTCAACCCGAATAGCGTCACGGGTGATTGTTTTGTTTTCACAACAAAGATGACTTGTCCGGAGAAGGTGGGTGGGTTGTCCAAGCTTCGGCCTGCCCAGTTCCTCGGTCCTGTCTCGCACTAGCAGGTGTCAAGAGCTAGTACGCCAGACGTCCAAATCGTGGGACGGGACTTGTGGGAATAGTGTAGTTGTGGCCGGGGATTCCGGCGGAAGAGATGGGTTACTATGAGAGGGTGCTTGTTGCAATGATGACTGAGGGAAGGTTGCCAGGCGACTAAGGTTCTGGGCTGAGCTGCGCCCGGATGATGCCAAGGTTGGCACTGGACTGAGCGTAACGATGTCCAATAATGCGCGATGCAGGGCTGGGCTGTTCTACAGTAGGACCATCCCATCAGGGAGGTGTGGCTGGTGTTTGCGGGTGAGCGATTCTAATTGCGAGACAAGCGACCGTTGTTGAATCACGAGTTATCGAAGCGTTCACAGCAATATATTTCGCGGACATGATCAGAAGTAAAAGCCCCTCACATCACCATCGCAAACTTCGCTGGCTCGTATGTCATCCTCCAAAAACCTGCTGCTATTTCGGGGACGCCTTGCACTTGCACGCTTCCAAGGATCTGCTCTCCGTGGGCTAGCGCTGAACACTGATTGGGGCTTGCACTGCACGGTGATCGCATATCACATGCATTCGCCAATTCATCCAAGTGTGGCTCAGGCCAGAGGCCAGTGTTGGGAGTCTCGAACATCAAGTCAATCAATGCTGCTATGCGGTTGCTTCCGCTCGCTAAACCGCCTCGCCTCCCAATTACGTACTTAGGAGATGGTAATTACACCCGCAGCCTTCAAAATTTCTTGTCTAGTTTCTTCAGAAATCTCCCAACGCCCTTTTCCACTTTATCTACGCGTTTCCCCATGTTCGAATTGCGCTGTGCCGCTGGATTGGCGTTATTCACCACACTTGCTTCTTGCTCACTCGGTTTATACAGCTGTTGATGCATACTTTGCGGATTCGTTCCGGGAACTTGTCCAGACGTGCTGCTGTACGAGTATTGGCTGTAGCCTCCTATAGGCGGAGAGGCAAGTGGTTGATACTGCTGTTGGGGAGGGAAGCCAGGCGAAGGTAAGGATGTGTGTGCAGGAGGCGACTGTGGGGCTGGGGGAAACCCCGGCGAGGCAGGGTAGTTGGCATACTGCTGTGCAGGCGCAGTCGACATTCTCTGAAGGCCTGGCGGCGGCGGAGTCTGTCCACTGTATTGACTAGCTGGAGGGGCAGACGGAGGAGGCGCGAATGAAGGAGGACTCTGCAGTGCACCTGGAGTCGAGCCCGATGTATTCGTTCGCTGCACACTTGGTGGACCACTAAAGCCCTGTCCTGGTGCGGGAGGGCCGGGTACATACGGACCTGAAGTTGGCTGGGGAGCAAAGGAGGCTTGCAATGGGTTGCTATATTGCGAGGCATGTTGGTCTTGATAAGCAGCAGTCCCGAGCCCAGTGCCATTAGCAGCGTCGGGTGGTGGCGGTGTCTTCTCACGGTGGGAGATAGGCTCAGGTGCCGCAGGGGCAGCTGGATTGTACGCCATCGGAGCGTAGTTGGGCGGTTGCTCATTAGGAGGGCTAGACGCTGGTGCTGGAGCAGTTGGCGGACCAGGAAATGACAGTGGGGTGCTGATACTTGGACTTCGGCTCGAGTGTGATATAGCTGCGCTCTCCAGTCTTGCAATAACTGGGCTGAGGGCATCGTTCTTGTGCTCGGAATGTATGGGCGTAGCATTGGGATTGTGCACAATCTGCAATTGATGCGGTTGCAGTACCCTCCGTAAAGAGTCTAGAAACAGGTTGGCATCATCTGGCGTCCAGAAGTACAGATCCACGGTGTGTAGCCTATACATGTATTTCCCCTGATTTGTTGGATCATGGGCTGGGAGATGCCAATGCGACACATCTTGGTGAGGGCTGGAAGCTGGAGTCCCATTCGGGCTTCGAAAGGCATCGACCGTGAGGGTGAACAAACATGGATGCTTGTATGTCTGCTCAATCTTGACGGTGTCCAGTTCTAGGGGAGAGCCAAGGTCAGCTTATGTGTGGTGTACGAGTACATCGTCGTCACGACTTACGGCCGGCAAAGGCATCTTGAATAGGTGTGCCAGCATTGTTCGCTACCTCGATACGCCCACTCTGGCGCATAGGATTGTGGTAGAGGTAGACATACGAGCCCTTGTCGAAGCGGTGATGCGGGGGACTCTGAGTTGGTGGGGAAAGGTAGTAATGTATGTCTGCAAAGCTGTTCGAGCGTTAGTAGGAGTCAAAGTGTAACGCAAGTAGGCAAGATACTCACAGCGTCAACAAGGACACTTCTCCTTGCTGTGGAGGCATTCTGTCAGTGTAGACTCGGGGAATAGTCAGCTAGTGAGGCTTGTATGAAATCTGACAGGCCAAGATGCCGAAGCACGTAACGAGGCAAAGGAGCAGCGACGGTTAGCACACAAGAATCAAAGTCGAAGATTAATCGAATATATATAGGCAGCTGGGCTGTCATATGAGCAGACGATAGCTCCAGCCAACGGCTGCGTCGTCTTCTATTTGTGTCGTCGTCGAAGCGCCCGCGTTTGTTAGGCTGGTTCTAGGGCTGGTAGGCGCCGCCCAAGCTCCACCGAATAGCAGATGCAGCCCGTGACCTGCGGACCTCCGAGCCCCAAATCCAGAAATTTGCTCCAGAGCCTCCAGCAGTCCATCGGCGACAACACCACACGCAATTGACAGCCACGGGCCCACCAGGCATCGCCATCGCCACACTCTTTTCAAAGCGATTCGATTCACATCCTTGTTCGACGTGCCATCGCGCCCACCCGGAGCCCCAGCCCATCGAGGGCAACTCCGCTGCCACCATCGTCAACATGTCCCTCGTCAATCTCGCACACGTATGCTCACATCTGCAAAATGCTTCGAAAGCGCGACTCGGCCTGACATCAATACCCGTCTCCAAGATGCACGTCAACATCGCGCTCGGTTTGCAACGCGAAGGCTTCCTCTCCTCTGTCACACTGGGTGGCTCTGCGCCGCCCAGACCCTTCCTTCTACAAGCACAAGCCGATCCAGAGCAATTCGAGAAGATGGCCGAGACGCTGAAAGTGGAGCCGTGGCACGCATACCCCACTGAAGCACCGACAAAGGGAAAGAGCAATACAGAGCTTGCGCTGGGCAAGGAGCAAGTGCACGAAGTTCATGTGCCTGAAAACCCAGCGCGACGAAGATTATGGCTAGGGCTGAAATACTGGCAGAATGAGCCGGTACTCAAGAACATGAAGCTGGTATCGAAGCCTACACGGCGGATATGGCTTACTTCAGAAGACTTGGGCAGGATTACCAGGACAAGAGAGTCGAGCTATGTGAAGGGATTGACGCATCCGGGAGAATGCATGTTCCTTACGACGGATCGAGGGATACTGGAGGCGAGAGAATGCGTCGAGAGACGTTTGGGTGGAATGGCGCTATGCAGGGTGTGGTAGTGTAAGAGCAAAGAATATTTCTTGCGTGTACCAACACCTGCGGAGGATTCCGGATTGTTAGGTCTGCGGTATTGCATGGCTAGGCGTTGTAAGAAACTCTGTAACAGTAGGAAGACATATTCATGTGCGTTGCATCATGGCGGGATACACTTGCACCTACTGCTGTAGAAATATTCGACTCGTTCCCGACCCGAGCTTCGGGTTGCACCCTGACCCTTAGACAATGACGATCTAGCAGCCTGGATTCCATTGTATGTTTAACACCATGTTCAGCTCGGCCTAATTTCGTTTACGCTAAACCAATGTTAATCTTGCTGCAGGGTCGCCTTAGTCGTCCAGTTTATAGGGGCATGCAATTTTCAAGACCGCACATTTACGCGCGAAAACTGCCAGTATCCAGGAAACACTCCTCTTACCAATCCCTTACAATGTAGAACATGGCTCCATTTGTAGGGAGAAGGGAAAAAATAAAGATTACCGGGCAGAGGGAGAGAGTCATTTGCCGGTGTGCATGTCGTGTTCTGGTTTTAGTGCATGTCCAGGTACCTACCAACCATTACGGCCCCCAGAACTGTTTAAGGGCGCCAAAGGTTTCAGCCCCAATATTTGCAATCCCGGCACTAGCCACACTGCATGGATCGCTTTGGCTATATACCCGGTGATTCTTGCCTAGACCTGTGTGCTATTCTTCTGCTGTCAACCTTTCCGGTCATCAATATATGTAGACTGAACAGACAGTCACAACCACGACCTAATCATGGCTAGTTCAACCCCTGACTTCGACTCGAAGACCTTTTACACATTCAGCAACCCTAGCTTAACCAACTACTCGCTCAGCGCCGGGATCTTCCTCGACACCAACGGCGCTATCAACATGACCACATCCGGTGCCTACTCATCTGAAAACTGGCAGATCTATTCTCAAGGCGGCCGCTACTTCATCCGCAACTACGACTACGGACCAGAGTTTCAGCTAGGACTAACAGCACAGAGTAGAGGCATTCCAATGCTGTATCGTCGGAGTGGGGGTCTGGGCCAGCAGTGGAGTATTATGAAGAAGGATGATGGGTGGGAGTTTACGAATGGGTTGTTGGGGTACCGCAGTCCTACCCCGTAAACTAATTGAATATCCCGCTAATTTATGTTTAGAAATGGAACAGGGATGGCGGTCCCGCTTCAGGGCTTCGTGGGCATTGCGATGCAGGCGTCAAGCCGTGGGAGGACGTGGAAGATTACGCAGAATCCAAGGTATGTACGCTAGATTAGGTGAGGTTGACGAGACGCCATGGCTGATACACAGCAGTGCCGAGGAATCAGGGCCAAAAGGACCGGACATGTATAGTGAAGTATTAGGGTTCGAGGTACGCACCCTCCCTAATCTCTTTACAGAGGGAATTTCGTGGCTGAGAAGATCGGCATGTTGACATCGAACAGGTCTCACAATCTTCATCCTCTAGCATCTCTAGCAGTTTGCGCACTGCCTCCACCGCTTCTGCTTCCGTCACTCCATCCGGCACATCTCTTCTACCCTCAAGCGCTTCTACAACCCCAACATCAACTTTTGCCTCCTCCGCCTCTCCACTATCGTCTTCCTCCTCATCTCTCAGCTCTGGGGCCATAGCCGGTGTCGCAATTGGTGGTGTCTCAGTCCTCGCCCTAGCCATCTACGGTCTCTGGTTCTGGGCTCGCAAACGGAAAATGGCAAAAGAGCATCAGTACGAATTACAGGGCCACAACATGCCCGTGGAGAAGTATGCGTATAGAGCAGAACTGGAATCTCCGAGACAGGTCTGGGAGAAGGATACTGTAGCAGCAAGAGTGGAACTGGCTTGAGAAGGCTGCAAAAAGGTTCGGGCTACTGCACAAGCCCGATGTCAAGAGTGAAGAAATGAGAGTTGGTGTGGGTAGCACGCACCTGATGAACATGCGGTTCTCCGACCTCGATCTATCCATGCATCCTACGAATTGCGCATGAGCTTTCCGTAAGGATGATGAAGTGTTGCAGCCAGTCACTGCCTCCTCGTTGCGGGAGTATAAGAGAGAGAGAGCAAGAGTAGCGCGCTATTTGTGTTGAGCATGTCGCCAGGAAGCAACTCGATCTCAGACTTGACTTGACAGTTGCCGCATAGGACAAGGTGGCGCTCTTTGCTCCCAAGGTTTTTAAAGCGTGTGAAAACGATGCAGTGAGGCGTCACCGCGCGGACCGCCATCTTTTCTTCAACTCTGTATCAAACCCCATATGTAGTTGTTAATCTCGACCAAGGCAGACGGGCTAATGAAATCCTCAGCTCCTTTTTCAATGTGAAATGGTTGAATACTCAGGTGGTGTTAAAAGTCAATGACAGGGACGAAGCTAGTCAGTTACTCATTTCGAAATTCATCGCTTGCGTCGTCGTCGGAAAAAGGTTGTCCATGCCTTGCTTTCGTTTACCTAATTAGCGGGCTGTTTAGTCGGAATGTTCAGACCCAAGGGGCTGGACAAGGGCCACGCGAGTCAACGTTTACACAACGTGAACAACGGGGGGCTTCCTGCATGGAGGATCTGGTCGCAATCATGAAATTATTTATATACAAAGCCATTCATCGAAAGATGCAGTATGTCATCATGTAGACCATGACGTACTACGTACATGCTCATTTCAGAAGATCATCCAATCCATATACCAGGTGTCTCGTCAAATTGAAACATGTTCAAAGAAATTCGTTATCTGATCACAGCCATGACCAGGCTCTTCCGTGTCTCAGAGTCGTTTCTCCAGTCGTGCCCAAATTCCCCTTCACATTTCCCTGCTAACTGCTAATTGTACGCGAACAAGGTAAAAGTCTCAAACGTAGCTGCGTGATCGATGGCTTTGGTGCGAGCGGCGTGGGCTGCGAGAAGTGTGGCCGTGACGAGATCGGTGAACCTCGCGCTTGTAGACAACGCGATCGTTGTCGTTACGGTGATGGCGATGAACAAGAAGGGCCAGTAGCATGGTGATGAAGAAGAAGATGCAGTTCCTGGACAGACATTAGTGAAATGTTTGTTGAGATGAGTTCCAATGATGACTCGTGTACTTACATGATGCCGAATGCCCATGAAGCTTTCAGCATGGCACATTGGCGGTCCACATTCAAGCCATACTTGTTTCCGGAGATGGTGAAAAGACCGAGATTGGCGTTGTAGGAGCCATTTGACTCCCAGCTGGAGCAGTCGGCATCAGCGATTCCTCGAAGTTCGTAGACAGCGCCGATGAAGGCACCAACGAACAGCAGGTCGATGAAGGCGACAAAGTGAGCCGAGTGTCGTGCGCGGGTATAGAGGAACAGGGTCCCTATTGCCCATACGGCTCCAAGAACGGATACAATGAAGAGGACCAAGATGGATCGTGGGGTGAGGAGGTTGCGATCGTTGTACCAGTCGACAAACCAGGCGAGCATGCCCAGCGTGGGTATCAGCGTGATGATCTGGAAGATCCTCCAGAACATAAACGACAGGCCGGAGAAGGACATGGCGGCGGTTCTTTGGTATTCGGAGCAGCTTCGAAGTGGGAGGGGTGTTTGCCTTTAGTGAAGCTCGGATAGGTGCCTGTGTGTTTGATCACGATGCGCCTGGCAGGTGCGATGCAACGAAGAAGACGACAAGACAGTTGGTCGCAGGCAAGAAGAGGTAGGACAGGGCGCCTTTTTAGTTTAGATCCGGCTGCGACAACAACGGCCAGGTTGCAGCTTGAAGTTGCGATGGGATGGGATTGGGCCAGCTACAGCGTGCAGCTCCCCGTCGTCTTATAAGAGTGACGTATGGTGTGGTGGGAAACTTGATCGTGGGGTGCGAGGCTGGGCGTGGCTGGGAGTACAAACCACCCCCGAGGCTGGCGTCTGCCTCCCTCATTTTACACCAACAAATGCGACAGACATCACATCACGCCTGGTTAGGACATGTCGCCACTATTCATGGACGCCTGCTTGCTACAATACAATTGCTAGCGACACACTGCTTTCGGGGCCGAACTTGTTTGGTTCCGTGAGCCGTCTTCCGCGTCTCTGGTCCAAGCTCCCCTCCAGCGCTGCCGTACACACCCGCTGGCTCCAACCTACATGAGGAACGCACCTTGCGTGAATCTAGACTATCTCCAAAGCCTGGGAAGATAGGGACATGCCTAGTAGGTAGCTCCCGACGTACTGGAGACACACCAGATCGTGTCTTATTAGTAGGCTTTCACCCTCGTCTCCCCAGCCAAGAACCACTCTTCATCTCCCGCTGCAGGGTGATGGGATTTGCTGACGCCCAGAAACATAACAGTAAGCCCGACCCTTATCACAGACAGTAGGATTCTGTCATCCATGGCCGCCCGCTCTCTGTCCGTCCAATTCAGGGAGTATACCAGGGCTACTATTGGTCTCTCCACCTGACTCTGCAGCTATTCTGCGCACTGCTCGTCTTACCCTGTGGCTGCAGATGAACCTCTCGCTTGGTGGAATAAACACAGAGCATCGGTACGATGGATGGAGGACAGGGACTCTTATCAGTACCAGACCCACTAGCTGCACCCGATTCGGAAGCCTTGCGCGCTCCACAGCCTGAGTTGCGGGATGAACAAGAAGGGCCTTTAAAAATAATAATTCAATTTATACTACTCCATGTCGCACAGCAGTTGCCAGTCTATTCAGCCTTTTCAACCCTCTCGTTCCTTTTCTTCGCGTCCTACCTACTTCATTATTTGCAGCACTCGCCCGTCTCTTTTGGACGCGTCCACGAGCGCCACAGTCACACAATCCTTTCAGCTGCGCAGACAGCCTAATATACAAACTTCCTCGAGCGGACTACGACCACTCTCCCTTCGATTTCAAACGGCTTCTCTATGCTTATTACTGCCTTGCCTAATTCCGACTATTCCGCCGCCTGGTTCAGTCATTGTTCTTAGTCAACAACTCAAGTTTATCGTTGCTATCCTGCAACTTGGGCCACCAATACCAGGCTAGACACTACTCATTCGTTCCGGCGCTCCCCTTGAGCAGACATGTCAGCAAGAGGGGCTCGAAGTCGGAAGATACAACAGAAAGATATCGAGAAAAAGGACAAAAAATCTACAGGGAAAGGAAAGGCTCCGGAAGCGATCAACGAACAGTCCCACGATGCATTTGCCGACTGGCGCCCAACGCCGAGCCTCAATAACCTGAGGAACGGTGTCTCCCGGTCCATGACAGTTTCCAGCAACACTAGTCGCGCGACCTCACGAAGTGGCGGAACAAATGACAGCAGTAGCCGGCCGCGACTAAACACTGTCCAGTCGAATGACTCGCGGGAGGTTCGAGCCATCCGCGTGCCAAAATCTGCAGGCGAAGGATCAGCTTCTGTGTCTGACATCTCTTCCAAGGGCAAGGAGAAGACAAAGTTCCAAGCAAATGGGAAAGAGACGAAGGCACCTCGAGGTAGAGGTGGGGGCGTCCCCATCAAGAGGGGTGTCGCGACTACACCTGCACCACCTGTATTTCGAGCCGAATCAGCTGCTTCTTATCCATCAGCCAATCAGAAAACCTGGATGAATTTTAGAGTTTGGGATGGAGGCAAGGATGGAATGCGTCTGTTTGGTGGCTTTGACTTCGTAAGCCCTATCTTCATTGCGGTCAACCCTTGAAACTAACCACGTGGACCAGGACGAAGATATGCAGAATGGCAGTGTTTTGATATACTTTAAAGAAGAGCAGGTCGACGAAGACCGCCCGACTCCCTCTATCCGTGCCGAACTCGATGTTCTTGAGAACTCAGGATCGATTTGGCTGAGCAACGTGCTTCTTCATGGTCGAGTTGATGAAGATGATGAACATGTCGATGAATGGGCTTTGCCGAACAGCCCAGACTCACTAATGCCGTCGCAAAATTTCTCGCCTAATTATCCTCAACCCGGACAACAGAGGATGTTGAGCCCAACATCACTTGGCGGGAGATCTCCTCCACCATTTGACATTGATCAGACTTATGCTAGTATGAACTCCAGGGCTGCTTCTCGAGGTCAGCATTTCTCCGAGACTACCCGTTCGGATCGATCAACCTCACCTCCGCCCGTCCGAAGAACAAGTAAACAGAACGTCACTCATGAAATAAGATTTGAAGCGCCGAGGGAGGTCAAAACACTTCAAGGTCAAAGGTTACACCATGTTGCTATCCGAAATTTCCTTGCTATGCTACATGGCAAACCTATCGTTGGAGCCGATGTTTTCGACATGTTGAGTACACTCCATTCACAAATCCAAGTCATGTACGACCTCGGGAGTAATGACCACTCGAATATTACACCCCGAGAGCGGAGTGTCCAAATGATCACCAACTACCTTGGTCAGCATGGGCTAGACGATGTGCGCAACAGCATTCGGCAAGCTTTAGGATTGCTTGTGTGGTCTGAGCAGGACAATGTGAAGTGGCGGCAGGGCTACCTTGGAAGCTTCGTGCATCTTGCCGGGGTCATGACGCCGCAGGTAGAGGACCTTGCAGACTTCAAGCGCTTGTCTGTGGTTACTAGACGCAATTTAGGACTCGCAGGCAAAACATTACAATTACGCGTCATGGAGGCAGAGGAAAGACTGGCAGGCTTCGATTTCAGTGACCTTTGGGAAGATGCTTCTAAAGTTGCCAACAGTGCGGTCTATCAAAGCTACCAGGCTTGTCGTCAATTTCTCGTAAATCACTACACCCGCATCTACGGTAATTGGCCACCCACTACCAACAAAACTTGGCTCAACCGCAAGGTCGTGCTCGGCATGCAAGAAGACTTCGGTTCTCTGTACGACTATCTTGTCAATCGTGACGTGGTGTGGAACCCTCGTGAGGAACGCGCAAGCCGAAAATGGGAGATGGCCCATCGGAAGAACGACAACTTCAAGGCAGACTTGCCAGAACTCGGCATGACGGATATGCTCGTCACATTCGATGGCAAATATGGGTATGCACATATTCCACACCCTTATCCACTACTACCAAGGGAAGTGCCGAAAGCAAGCAAGGAAAAAGAAAAGAAGAGCTTCTTTGACAGAATGAAGAAGGACAAGGGTAAAGATGCTACAAAAGACGCGAAAGCGCATTTGCAGCTGTCTATTGTGTTCAGTGATGCGACAAACATCGAGAAACTAGATGTTAACTTCAACGGTAATCACCTCCACGACCCCCTGACGGAAAGAATACTAACAACCGCAACAGGATCCACACTTATCGACAAGTTCGAGCAGTTCGAGCTCACCACTGATCTCAAACAAACCACCCCCCGCGAAGCACGCCTAGGGCGCTGGGTCCTCCTCTACGGCGTCCTACAGGTTCTCTCCACGCTCTCTGTAGACGTTCAGGGCCTCAAACACACAGAAGGTGTCCGTCACTTCCTCTGCACAGATCTCAAGCGCTGTCCCGAATGGGTCACCAACGGCCAGATTGAATATCTAGAAGCTGACCAACATCGATCATGGTGTTGGCAGCGTTCCTGGGATCCCATGCCTACACAGACTGCGCCTGTCGAACTGGAGGCTTCAACGACCATAGATAGAGGCGGCACTGCTAATTATTATGCGGGGGAGGCCAGTGTCGAAATTGCCGGGCACACACAAGTCGCACATGGTCTTCCGAGCCCCCCTCCTGAACGGTTATTACCGGCACCGCCGCCATCTTTCGACGGCGCAACACTGATGCAAAACGACATCCGGCGCCTCGGCGAGAAGATTGATAACCTCTCGCTTTCGCACAATGCGACACATATCTTCCGCCAGGAGTTGGAGCGGCGCCGCGAGAACGAGAAGGTCATAGGCGAGTTCCATGATCGCAAACCCAGGCTTGAAGGTGAAACCTTTGGGCCAAGAGCGGCCAACAACACTAGCAACAACAACTACAACAGTTTCAGACCTCGCGAGAGCTCGCTCTCTCGATTTGCCGACGATCGAAGCCAATCCAGGATGGACAACACATACCGCCTCACCGATTCTGAGTTCAGGGACAGACAGGCCTTGCAGCTACCGCCGCCTTCATCATTAAGGAGTCATGTCACGAGCGTCAACACGGATCTAGGTACTTATCCGTTCAGTTCAAATGAGATGCAGTGGCCCGTTCCACCAGGGTATGAAGCGAGCAATAGAGAGAGCACCGTGCTGGGAAGCGAGCATGGCTTCATGAGAAATGGAGATGGAAATAGACATGCAACAGGATATGGAGACATGACTTCAAGGGGTATCGAGGATCATAGGAGTCCGAGACGGTTACATGAGAGGGGTGGGTGGAATTAAGTTGGGGTGGGAGCATACGGAAAAGAAAACCCAAGGGAGGGGAAAGGAAGTTGACTAGACATTTTCCGTCTTTTTTTTCATGTTCTTGATTTTGCTGTGTTCGATACCCTTTTGCGTGTTGCACATTTTTCTTATGGGGGGACGTTAAGAAGAGACGAAGAAAAGTGAGAGCGTTTTTATAAAGCTGTAGGGACACATTGGGTTGTCAGAGATATTGCTCTGTCCGTTCGTGACTGAACTGAGCGTGTATACAATTCTATAATTCTAGGCACTTTCTTGCTTACGTGTGTACTGCTTACGAGACGAGTGAATGCCCGTGCAATTCAGCGCCCTTGGACTAGGCGCTGTCTCTGACAAAAGTAGTAGTGCAAAGAAACTCCAACATGGCCAGCATAACTTCTTTGCTGCTTGTTCTGTCTCATGCTCAAGCGCCACCTGGTGAAAAGAAGGCCCGCCGCTTCTCGCGTGCCTGCTGTTCTGACGCCAGGGTTTCGATCTTGGGGCGGCCTCGTTTCCCTTTTTTCTGTACAGTCTTCGACGCATCCAGTGTTGGCGGCGTTGTTGACTTGACTACTTCCTTGATGGTTTGTTTCGATAAGCAGAAGTCGATATGGGCGTTGAAGGTTGCATCGTTCGGTGGTTGTTGAAGTGCGCATATGGGGCACGTCCATTGTTCTTCAGCAACTGTCTCCTGGTCGGTTTTGCCGTCGGTGTCGACGATATGCTGTTGCTGTTGTTCGTATTCCTGTGATAACTTCTCCAATTCATTCATCTCATCGTTGCGTTCCTGACGCGCAGCTTCTTCAAACTCTTCTTCGGGCCAGACTTCCCAGTCTCTGCCATTGGCTGTTGTCGTATTCTTAGTGGCCGTCGCGGATATCTTGACTCGACCAAAGAAGTCAATTCCAGGCTTCTTTGTAGTGACAATATGCGTGACTCGTAATCCCATGAGCCGTAGTCTCATGTTCGGAATCTCTTTCATTAGTTTCTCTAGCATCGGTAAGCTGTACTTGTATAAATCATCGGCTTTGTGAATAGCGAACGGCGGCGTAGTCTGCCGCGTGTGCACTTCGTATGTATAGAGCTTGATTTTGATGCACAGCGTTCGACCTTTGTACTCTGTGCGCTTGAGGTCGCCTTCCAGCTCTTCCGCGATGTGGCGCAGCTTGTCTCGTAGTGCGTCGGGCGACTGCAGTTCCTTGAATGTAGTCTCAGTGCCTACGCTCTTGCGTTCGTAGTCCTCTGCTCGTTGAATCGTGGTGCGTCCCAGACCCAGATAACATTGCATCAGGAACTGGAAAGCCTTCTGCCCGAACAATTGTGACAAATAGGCTCGATGTGCGTAAATGTCTCCACATGTCTTAACACCAATAGCGTCCAACTCTCGTTCGAAGACGCGGCCGATACCATTAACTTTTCTTGTAGGCATTGTCTTCATGAAGTCTATAATTGTCTGTCTGTCGCTCGGAAGGTAGAATTGTCCGTTGGGCTTGTTCTGGTTGGAGCAGATCTTGGCCAGCTTTGCGTTTGCAGCTATTCCGGCAGAGACGGTGATCTTGGTCTTCTCGTGGACCTCCGCGCGCAGCTGGCTGACGGCTTCTTGTGGATCCATGCTGTGGTCCTCACAGTATTTTGTGAGATTGAGGTAGGCCTCATCGCAGCTAGCACTCTCGAAGCCAGGGTCGTATAGTGCTAGCACTTCGCGGACCTCGTCAGCTTTGGCGCTGTATTTGGCGAAGTTCATGGGGACGCAGATGAGTTGCGGACACAGCTTCATAGCGACGAAGCCAGCCATTCCCGAGCGACATCCGAATCTCCTAGCATGGTAGTTGCAGGTGGTCAGCACGCCCTTGCCCACGGCCATGGGAACGTCTTTCAGCTCAGGCCTGTCGAGCTCCTCGACGGCGGCGTAGAAGGCATCGCAATCAATGTGCACTATGGCCTGACTCAGATCACGGGTCAGCTCCAGTTCGGCAATGTAGTCGTCTGCTCTGCGCAAGTCAGAGGCGACGTCGAGCTGTTCCAGTTGACGCCGCTTGGCCAAGATCTTGGTGATCTTCTCTGTGAGATTCTTGTCCTTGACTTCCTCGTTGTTGAAGAACTTGGAGCCCTTGGACGCATTGTATATAACCTCGGAGACCTTGTGTTGGTCGACGGTGTCCTGCCCAGCCTTGGTGAGCGAGGGACCGAGAAGGTGGTATTTGAGGGAGTCGTGTTCGTTGGACGGCGTGCGCAAGGGCCGTGGACGGTCTGAGGTCTGTTGCGGGTTTTGAGCGGCATCGTCTGTATCACGGGAAGCGGTCATGGTGGTAGACGTGACGGCTGGGGGCATGTCGTCGGACGCGTCTGGTGTGTGAACAAGGGCATACTGGGGCGGCAGTAGACGACGGGGCTTCGTAGGTGATGGGCGTGAATATGCAGATGTGGAAGCATTGCTCCTCATGGTACATTTCCAACCAAAATGACAAGCTGCCAACGCGACATTGAATCAGATGGAGATGCAGCCGAGGTGAGGCCTCGTCCAAGTGAATGACGCGCTCCGAGGCGAGAGCCGGATTGGGCTTAGCGTCCAAACGGAGTGCCCTGCATTCATTCATCCCATGCATCTACCAGATCAATGTCGCCCGCAGCTCATCTCACACGCACCACACTCGACTGCAGCCGAAGAAAAAACAACCCTCTTTCGCTAGGTATGGACCTGGTTCCCGCTGCACACTCTCCCCAATTGCTGGCATTGTAACGCGGCGTGTCCCGCTCGAGGCGCCTTTGTTGTGGCCCAGCAGAAAGTCGTCAGTCACCGCCTCGCGGCCATCAACACGCATTGTCCACCACACCACCTGCATGCAGCCCCCCCAGCAACCGCGCCATTGCCACACTCGAATGGCCATGAAGACGCTCCACACATATACACCGTATCCGTATCCCCCACACACAAGAGTTGAATACCTAGTGGAGGATGCCAATCGATCGACCCAACCCGAATAACCCACGGCCACTGAAGCCGACGCTCGCTAGCAACCGCACTGCAAAGACGCCCATTACCCCTCGGCTCGCCGTCACGCCCACGCCCACACCCACTTCGGCAAGCACGTCGTCGCAGTCTGGTGGTCGTACGGTGCGCAGCAGCAATGGAAGCACGCCTAGAGCCAATACCACGGCGGCCCACGCAGACGTTACCCCAGTCAAGGCATTCCTGAGCAGCAATGTCACGCCTCGCTCGTCGTCGAGAAAATCCCGCGTGGGAGTCGAGAGCGCCTCGTCTACACCCAGTAGCACTCCCAACGCTACGCCTACGAGCTCCCGGCCTGCCTCCACCATAGACTTTCCGCAGAGAGAGCAGAGTCTCGGCTATGGTGGGCTTGGAGTCAATGGACACCACGGTGCCCAGAGTGGAGCTCGACCTCGCAGCATTCCAGGGCAATGTAGCAACCAGACTACATCTACCCCAAGGTTGCTTCCTTCCCATATACACAATTACCCATCGTCCGATACTAGCTCGGTCAAAGATGTCTCCTCGTTATTCTTCCACGCCAATGACGCCAAACCTCATGAACAGCCGGCACCAGTACCAGTACCTCAGAAAAAGGCGCCTGTTTTCTTTTACGCCAACGGCAAACAAAATGACACGCCCCGCAAGTCAGGTGTGTCATCCCCGCCCTTGTCGTCCGTAGCCAAGTCGCACCCAGAGAGCAAATTCTTCCACGCCGACTCGTTGCCGGAATCGAGAGACCGTCCGCCTGCTCTCACTCCTCCGCCCGTCTCAGCTTCGCCAGAGCTCATACCGAAGGCTAGTGCCGCACATGGAGGACTGTCACTACGACCGCCATCGCCAACCAAGGAATGGGCGCACCTCTCGTACCGAAAGGGTGTCTCTCAAGTCATGCGACCACCAATACACTCCCGGAACTCAGTGCTGTCTATCCTGTCCGGTACTAGCACACCAGATGTTCCAGACCGCTCAAGACGGAGATCTAGCGCCACATCATCTGTTGTCAGATTAGGACATGCCAAAAGCGCCAGTCTATCATCCATCGATTCCATTGCGGAGCTGAACAAGGCCCCTTCGAACGATCTCTCTGCTATGACGCCTAGTCCACTACACACTGCCAATCGCATAGTCAGCAATGAGTCTTTGCCCGACAGCGTAGCGTCTGCGCCTTCTCCGCCGATGACTACCTTCTCTGGCCTTCCGTCTCCAGCACCAACAAGTCCCATCAGGCCCGCTGGCGGCCAAAGCGCGCTCGAGCTGATGAACGAACTGGCCGCCAACGCACGACGCGAACGCAAAGTGCTCGATCTTGAAATTAGCAATTCTTCGCTTCTAGCCATCAATCGCTCACTCGAGAGGGAAGTTCGCAAACAAAAGGCTGAGCTGAGGCGATTTCGGCGCATGAGCCGAGCGGGTCGCTTCTCGATCGACACGGTGGGCTCTCCTCACGACACTTTCTCTACTACTGGACTCGGCCACGTGGGCGACCTCTCAGACATGTCTGAAGAAGAAGAAGGAGCAGAAGCACAAGAAGAAGATGAACAGCAAGTACTAGTAGAAGAAGAAGAGCTGGAGAGTAGTGACTCTTCTTTCGACGAAAGTACTCTAAGCCCCACCGCTCAGGCCGATCGGGATGAGGCGCATCGTTTACGGGATGAAAAGCGTCTCCAGCTAGACCTTTCGAAACATCGTGGGCTGTTAATTGATAGCCAGAAGATGAATCAGAGCCTCAAGCGATGTATGGGCTGGACAGAGCAACTCATAAAAGATGGTCGGAAAGCCCTTGAGTACCAGGTCCGCGCCAGCGACGTCAAGTTGGGCGGACGGGTACTCGTCACCGACGACGAGGCCACATATACTGAGGAATCTAGGGGTCTCCTCAGCCCTTGGAGCCCTTTGCACCAGGCTATGGATGCTCTGGAGTCGCCTTTTTTTGCAGAGTCTGATCGATATATTGATCGCGATAGTGGTGTAGCCCTGGAGGGTTTGAAACCTGTTGCGCCTGAGTTCCTAGCAGATCTGACGCCCCTTGGCACGCCGTTTGAAGAGAGGATTAAACACTTGCATGCCTCCATAGATGCATTGGAGGCATCTTAACCCAACACGTTCCATCGTCGTCCACTATGTTTTCCTGTGTTATTTCGTCACACATACCCAGCATTTGTTTCCTATATCCGGGATGGCGTTCTCTTTCAAGTATCCAGGCGCTCGGCGGCGTAACTGGATTCACACGTCGTACGACTGTTCCTTTTGTTATCTCACGGCCGCGGCATGGTCGTGTGGAGATTGTTTTCCTTTTTGTCTTTTGCTTGCATGTGATAATGTTTGACGTACATGATTCGTTGTTTTTGCATACGACTGCATCTTGGAGAGGATTTAGGTTGCACTGCCGGCGGGTCACTGCTGTACTTGTATGTGTAGTTTTTTGAGATACCCCCTGGTCGTTTCCAACTCGTGATTCAGAGTAGCAAAGATAGTATATCCATGTTTAGTCACGACCTTGTCTAAGCACGAGTGAGTGGCACATAGTAATGCAGAAGGATCCCATTCCAGTCATGCAAATCATTGCTTCGCCAGAGTTATGCTCATTATGCGTTCAAACAAAAAGAATCGTCCTGTCAAAAAAACCAACCCGCCTTCTAGGGGTATCGTAACAAGGCTAGCGATCTACAATTCATGCCCGTCATTTGCCAAATTTCAAGGTCAAGTATCTACAAGCGTCTAATATCAGCGGAGCGAAACAAGATGAGGTGCGAATAAATTGGCTCAAGCCCAGTAACCTAATAGGGCCATCAAGCCTGGGATATGTTAGCAGTCCGAGACGACTCAGTGTGGGAGAAAGAGAGGTTTAACACGTACCAGCACCCATAATCATCAGCGCAAAGGCCTTGAGTGTTCTACTCACAGGCCCCTTCTGCATGTACGGACTGAACATGAACTCGTGCGCCATAAGTTCGACCAGGCCCGTGTAGATGAGGATGCCCGCACTAATGGAATCGAAGACGCCGTTGACGAGGAGCGTAGTCCGCGACCCCGGCACAAAAGTCTCTCGTACGCCCAGTCCAATGGCGATGGCAATTGGCGTGGAGATGCCAAACCCCAGAGCGAGCAAGTAGGGTGTCCAGCGCTTGACCTTGGGCCAGGGAACTTCTGCAAGTCGGGCACCGAGACCGAGACCCTCGAATGTCTGATGAAAAACGAGCACGATGTAAAGGGTGATGAACTCATCGCCAGCGACGGCCAGCGTCAGGCCGATGAAAATGGAGTGGAATATGACGCCAAACTCGAGAATGAAGACAGCAGTCAGCTGCGCAGCGTAAGTCTCGGGAACCACGCCGTGGGCCTCCCAGTCTGCACTCAGTTCGGAGTTAGCGACGTGGTCTCGCTGGTGGCCGAGGTGGTCTTCGCCGCGCAGGTGAGGATTGTTACCGCTGGGGGTTGCTTCCACGTCCTGTGGGCTGCTCTTGTGATCCCCTAGGCTGATATCGGCACTATTAGCTGCTGACGGGACTACCGTGTGAGAGTGGTCTGCCTCGTGTGAATGCGAGTGAGAGTGGCCGTGGCCACCACCGAAAGTGGCGTAGCGCATGGTCATTAGCTCGAGGAAGAACATGGCAAAGATGGTCATCAATACGATGCCTTCGACCCAAGGGTATGCGACAATAACGCCCGTTAGACACTCATTTGTCAATGCTTCATGAGCGGGTGCAAGAAGATGGATGAAAGCTGTGGCCACGATGACACCTGATCCAAAGTACTTTGCAACGAAGAAGACCCAGTTCGGTACCAGCCGTGACTGCATTCGCTTGGCAAACACTGGAAATATGGCGCCTACCACCTGTCAGTAGATGACTGTTGCCTGTAACCATAGAGTGGACACGAACCGAACATGGAACCCACAAGGATGACAAAGATGGAAGATATCCGGATTCCCATGCGGCCGTCATAGTCGTTTTCGGAACTGCACCGTACAGGTTCATTGGGCGTTGTCTCAGGAGATGGGGGATCCTGGCGCAGCACAAGACGCGCCACTTGCAGTGCGGCCGTCTCCATTGTCGGCGCGTGTTGAGCCAATAAAGGGCTGCTGAACAAATGAGTTTGCGCGGGTGCGAAACAGAGAACCGAGGGTTTGGTATCGACGTTTGTGAGCCAGGTAAGACTAGAAATGGACAGCAACGCGTGAGGCAGTCGATCCGGGTGGGCGGGTGCGTGGTTCGGAACGTGGGCAGGCTTTGACGGGCTATTTATCACGTCGCTCGAGGTGATGGAAGCACCCTGATGGCGGAAAGGAAGAGGCTTGAGTCGACTTGACAAGGCTTGAAGAGGGCTAAAAATTGCAAGTACCTTGATGTCCGCGCTAAATCCAAGCCGTCGAATGGGCTTGACAAGGACAACCAAGCCCCACCAACCCATCGGGGCTGTCATGGTCATATCAGTCATGGCATATCAGCTTGTCGAGTTTTGGAGGCTTGTAATTAAGCCGTGCGGGACTTTGGTAGTCTGTGGCGTGACGCATCTTCGACAAGAGATGGAAATGCGCAGTGGTGGTTTGTAGAAAGGCGGAAGAAGTTGCGATGGATTAAGCGAGGAATCTGCGGTTGGCAGCGGCGACTTAGTCAGCGTTGGCATAGTCAGCGGCGAGGCTGGCAGCACGGGACACCACGTGATGCAAATCTGTGGCACAGTCTCTAAGCCACAACGGGTATCCTTGCACGGGGCTGGTGCGTCACGTGAGGTGTCCAAGTTCTTCTGACCGGCTGGTGAGGCGCTGCTCTCGCTGTAAGAGGTTGGCCTCATTCTGCGAGTATTTTACATACATGGAGACGAACTCCTCTGGGAGCTAATGAGCTCTTCGGGCATGGTCATGTTTGTATCTGCTTCCAAAAAACAGGTTTGTGAGGCTAAACTTGCAAAATCCGATCCTCTAGACGTTGGGGTACCCGGCTGATCGCCTTGGCATCAAGATGATGGCATTCTTACATTGCCCATGCGCATGCACGTCGCAAATGGCACCTGCAGCAGTCTGGCAACGAATTTCGAACCACCAGCCAGTCGTATAGATAGCACAGCCACCAACAGTCCCCATCTACTCCCCACCCCCAAGAGACAAGCAAGTTGCCCTTTGCTGCTGTAGGCGCTGCAAGCTTCCCATGTTGTCGTGGTTCCCCAAAGCCCGTCCATGGTTGGTCCCCCGCAAGGCTACAGCCAATCAAAGTCCAGAGCACAGGGCATGCCGTGAGGGGCGGCAAGCTCCCATGACGTCGTGACTTCCACCTTTGTATAGCTCCTGCCGCAGCTGCAGACAGGTGACCCGCCTGCATTACGTCCACAAAGTAGCTGCCTGCTTCTCCTCTTTATAAGTCTCCACCTTGCTCCCCTTCTCACTCCCCGTCCCCTCCATCTCACCGTCAATTCTCCCAGTCAATCATCTTCCACAAGCACACAACATCCACCGCCATCATGATGATTGACCAATTCGAGGACGTCTTGAAGAAGACATCCCAACTCTTCCCTCTCCCAACCGCCACGGCTTCGGCTACGCCTACACATGTAGCTCCGATTCCTTCGGTCCTGCCCGACACTCCGATCCACGAGTTCGTTGGCAGCGCAGGAACGAAGACGCTATGGGTCGTCTTTGTGCTCATGCTCATCGCCTCTGCTGCCTTCACGGCCTTGTCCTGGAGGGTCCCAGTGGTACGTAACGCCCTGGTGTCGGTTCATCCAAAGGCTGCACTCCACTAACCACCCCACAGTCTAAACGCCTCTACCATGTCATCACCACCTTGATCACCGTCATCGCTGCTCTCTCGTACTTCGCAATGGCAACTGGACATGGCGTCTCTGTCCACAAAATCACCATCCGCCATCAGCACGATCACGTCCCCGATACCTACGAACACGTTCATCGCCAGGTCTTTTGGGCTCGTTACGTCGATTGGAGTTTGACCACTCCGCTCCTCATTCTCGATCTCGGCCTCCTAGCTGGTATCTCCGGCGCCCACATCTTCCTGGCTATTGCTGCCGATCTGATCATGGTCTTGACTGGTCTGTTCGCTGCCTTTGGCTCCGAGGGCACTCCTCAGAAGTGGGGCTGGTACACGATTGCCTGCCTTGCTTACATCGTCGTCATCTGGCACCTCGCTGTCAACGGAGGTGTCAATGCTACTGCCAAGGGCCCCAAGCTTCGTGCCTTCTTCATCGCTATCGGCACTTACACTCTCGTGCTCTGGACTGCCTACCCCATGTAAGTGCTATTGTCTACTCATGTCCAGGATGATACTGACCAAGCCGTAGTATCTGGGGTTTCGCCGATGGTTCTCGCAAGCTTGGCGTAGATGGCGAGATCATCGCTTACGCCGTGCTAGATGTCCTTGCCAAGGGTGTCTTTGGTGCCTGGCTCCTCATTACCCATGCCAACTTGCGCGAGAGCGATGTTGAGCTGGGAGGTTTCTGGGCCAACGGCCTCAACCGTGAGGGTGCCATCCGCATCGGCGAGGACGATGGCGCGTAAACGTCTTCCAAAACCACGACATTTTAACAATTTCGGCACAAATTGCACAGGAATGAATGGCTCACGCTGAGAGTCAATGAAGAAAAGTGGCGTTGATGGACAGGCAATGGGGGCGAAAAAATGCATCCATACTCTTGCAGTTCTTTACAGTTTCCATCATCGATAGTCCAGCCGCTCATGAATGGAGTTGGAGGCTTTTGTATATTTATGGCACTGCAAATCACTACCGTACTTTAATATGGACGGACCATAGCTAGTGGCTGCGACAATAATGATATTACTTCATCGCACCTTGCATGGACCGAGTCCCAACTAGCCACCAAGTCGTACATTCCTTACACGCCAACACGTGGAAGCAGCACCGATCCATACGCGTCTCCTTCCTGGTGCTCGTACTCATAAATAGGATTCGACGTTGCCCGACTCCATAATGTTATCGTTCGAAAGCATTCATCATTGCGCAACATGCAATCAATAGTGAAGGTGATTTTAGCCGTGCTCTCAGCACAAGCGTCAGTCTCGTCCCTTCACTCAGAGAGTCATTCCATCCTAATACCTCTTTAGAGCATGCTCAACTTTCCACCCCCCATCGAAGTCCACTTCAAGGCTTGCACCAACATGCACCATCAACATCTTCCGAGTGCCTTCGTTCCAGACGAACTGCACATTCTGGGAGAAAACGCGCACGTCGACATCATACACAAACTGCAAGGGATGTGAGATTAGGACAAAGACGATGGGTCTTGGGCTTGTAAGTGCAGTCGAGGTGTATATGCGCTTAGATGGGAATGGCGAAGCTGATGCTGTGAAAGCCTTGCCACTTGGTCACGACGGTGCCTGGCCTGGCGACTAAGACAGTTACGGCGTGTAAGAGGAAGGGAAGGCACAAAGTAGCAGCAACACCAACGACGAGAGCGCACTCAAAGGTCTGCTAGCTTTGAAGGAGAAGAGTAAATATACGCGGTGTTCGAAATAAAGAATGAGAATGTCTGATTTTGTTGTCATGTCTCTAGGATACGAGGTTGGTTGGTTCATGCAGATGCGTGTCATAGCTTCGGGCATATAGCCACGGAGCTCCACATATGTAGACAACAATCTCCGAGACAAGGCCTTCAAGCATGACATCAACATGCAAGACATGAAAACAGGACCAGGAACTTGTTGCTCGTGAGACGTGAGAAATGACCGCACTCGAACACCTGACATTGGTGTTGCCCTATGCAGGGATCACGGCTGCCCCGCAACCAAGCCGCAACAAAGCATCCAACGAGTCCCGACCTCTCATCTCACTCTCCCGGAGCTCCCTTAAGTACCTCAAGAGTAGCTTCTTTGATCAGCTATAGTTCCAATCACACACCACTCAAATCACAAAGCACTAACATTCATCCGCCATGGCATCGGAGAACGCTGACATTGTCGACGAGACGCCCATCTCGCCCGTGCGCTCTCTAGACAGGCGCAACTCTCTCGAGAAGCACCTCCAGCATCGTCCAGAGCCGCAGGACCTCAAGAACAGACACATCCTTCTAGATACGACGACAGCACCGTACGTTTCGCAAATCTATATTACTCACTCTTACATCTCCGTGCCCTTGCTGTTGCCCTCGCTTTCGAACAAAGCTTTGCCAAACCACCACTGATCACCACCCACTTCTAGAGCCCTCCAGGCCAAAGCTCTTGAGCTCGAGCGCCAGCGTGCGACCGACAATCTCAAGAAAGGTCTAGCCTCGCGTTCGGAACGCGATGATCTCGTCCAGCGAAACATCCTCCCCGATTCGACCGCTGCACCTGCCCTTCAGGGACACCAGAAGGAGCTTGATCTCCACATGAGAGCCGATAGCCTTGAGAAGGGATTGCAGGGCAGACCCAGCCCTGAAGAGCTTGTCAAGAAGGGCATCCTGTCCGGCGAGGAGAAGCGCTGAACGATGCGTATGGATGCGGTCAGCTCAAAGGACTCGAACAAATTAAGGGCATGTCGAGGGGGCATCAGAGTCTATCTCCTATCACTCTCCATCATGAGGATGGCGTGAATGCGTTTTGTCGAAATTTGAGAGAGCGGAGCCGGGCACAGCCGGGTTGTAAGGGTAACGCGAACACGAGTACACAAATATGCACATCACCATGCGAGCCCTTTGCTTTAGCTTGCGATTGTTTCTTCTCTTTTCATTACACATGGGGACAACACTATCACAGCACTCATAGCATTCACAGAACCGAATTGCGCTGGTGAAAAGAGCGGCACGAAGCTCATAACTTCATTACAGGCTCATACGAACGCTCGACGACAAACAACAACAAGAACATCTCAAACCGCAGATCCCAATCAATAGCCCTTTTCATGCGATCTCTTAGTTGGCGACCTCCTTGCGCTCCTCACGTACAACATTCTTGCCATCGATATCAAGCTCGGTGGCGTGGTCGTGGGCGTGGGCCTCGCGATCAGCCTCAATGTTCTTGACGAGCTCGGTGATACCAAAGATATCGTCCATCTTCTCGAGCGAGAGACCCTTGGTCTCGGGAATAAGGAACCAGACAAAGAAGAACATGGAGAAGCAGAAGGAGCCGTAGATGAGGAAGGTACTGGAAACTGTCAGTATTTGATTGGTTATGCCGCTTTGGTGTTGACGTTGACTTACCCGTAACCACCCTTGCCAACCGTAGCCATCATATTCGGAGTAGCACGAGCGACTACAAAATTAAACAGCCATTGTGTCGCTGCCTTTTTTGTACCATGTTAGCCTCAATTAGTTTAATTACTTGGACAAGGTAGACTTACTGCGATGGCGACATTGAGCGAACGGAGACGAGCAGCAGGAATTTCCGAGACATAGATCCAGCAAACAGGACCCCAGCCAAACTGGAAGAAGCAGGCGAATAGGAACACACAGACAAGGGCGAAGTAGCCAGCGCCTGGTACGGACTTTCCCTCCACCGGTGGGTCGATGCGCATGTAGAGACCGATGTAATACATAGACGCACCCTGGGCGATTGAAGTCCAGAGGAGCGACCGGCGGCGACCAAGCGAGTCGGCAGCGAAAATCAAGAAGCAGAGGCAGCCAACCATCTTCACGATACCGTAGATACCAGTCGCGAAGAGCTTGTTCTCGTTACCGACGAGTCCGAGAGCTTTGAAGATCTGGGGCGCGTAGTAGTTGATAGCATTAGTACCGGTCATCTGCTGGCAGATCATCAAGCCGATGGAGATGAGAGCGCGCTTGCGGTTGCCTGGGATTGTAAACATCTCCTTCAGGAGGTCCTTGACGGTGGCACCGGCGACAAGCATGCGTTCATGCTCAAGCTGATCCGCGATGTCCTTGATCTCGTCCTGGACATAGGCGTGTGAAGTCGGCAAGTTTCGGATACGGGCAAGCACATTCGTGGCTTCTTCCCAACGGTCTTGCTTAGCCAGGAAACGCGGAGACTCCTTGTTCAGCGCCATGCAACCGACGAGAAGGACGGCGGGTAGAGCCTGCATTGCGAGCGGGACGATGTACACCTTGGCGCTACCACTGAGATGCATGAGAGACCCATAATTGACCCAGAAGGCGAGACAGGTTCCAGTGGCGATGAATAGTTGGTAGAGACCGGTGAGACCACCACGAATTCCACGAGGCGCGTTTTCAGAGATGTACAGAGGGACGACCATGGATGCACCACCGACACCGACACCGGCTACGAGACTATTCTCATGTTAGATGTTGCTAACCAGGACACAGAATCATTGCAGAGTACGTACCGGCCAATGTACATGGCCTCAAGGTGTCCCATGGCAAGAGCTTGGATGGCGCAGCCAACAATGGTGATAAGACCATTGAGCTGCAAAGCAATCTTTCGACCCCACTTGTCAGCTGCCCAGGATGAGATGAAGCAACCAACGAAGCATCCAGCTTGAAGTGTCGAGGCAATATTGGCGTTCAAGTTGGCCTTGCCGACCTTGTTCAGCCTTGTAATGTCGTATTTCCTTGGATCAAAAGTCAGTATTCTGACTGATCAATGTAAACCCTCTGTCGACGAGGCACTTACTTTTGGAACTCGGGCAGTTCAAGGACACCACCAATGGTACCGATATCAAACCCGAACAACATGCCTCCGAAGCAGGCAGAGCCAGCCATGGCAAACGCACGCCATCCATAGATCTCAGGTGGATCAGCCCTGACGGCATCGTTCTTGACGATAGTGCGGATGAATCGCGCACCAGTGGATGGTCGAGACATGGTGGTGGACTGTCGATTTTCGATGGGATCGCAGGGACCGAGTTTGATGGAATCTGCTTATCGTTAGTTTGAGTAGCCCTTCCGTTTTGTCTAATGTCAGCATAAACATACCTAGGCTTACTTTCTGATCCCGTCGCTCGGTAGAGGATGGAAGATAGGAGGACTGTTGGGACCTCTGGAATCAAACAGTCTCAATCTACCCCGGACCGTCGCTTGCGGTAACAGATGAGCAGAGAGAAAAGTGAAGATGCCTCCGCAGATTGATTGACATATTGCAGTGGACCCAGTCGTTATCTATATAACAGCACGGTACAGCGGTCCAAGCTTATCCTGGATCACTAGCTCCCTGGTCAAGACGGGGTAACCAGCGCCGCGGTCTTTGCTCTCCCTCGTCCCAACCCCAGACTAGACCCCGGACTCGATTTTGCCAACCCTCCATATCAGCATGAGGAACGCCGACAGGCCAACTGAACCCTCAATCCGGGTGGTCCTAATGGTCAGAACAGTATATACTCGTTATTCCATCGAATGAGAGTGTCCAACGCTCGAGCGCCCTCAGTTTCTAGAACAGGTCAGATTCCATGGCATGGTGAAGATGCTCGTAGTTAATTTGTGGAGTATTGAAGATGCGTCTTGGAACTGCCAAGTCCGCTCAGTTCATCCGTCCAGTCAAGGGAATGCATGGCATTCATTCCTCGACGCAGTCTGGGGTCTCTCCACCATCATCCGCCATGCGAAATGGGGAAACATTAAACGGAGGTCAGCCCTTGCCGGTTTGGGTAGGACCATGTGAATCCCCCGCCAGCAGGAGGCGCTACGGCTACTGTGGGCATTTATCCGTGAATTAGACATGGGGAGCTTTCGGGGCGATTGGATGCCCCACAATCGCGCCGCCATCTGATGGGTTCCTTGCACAAATTGCGGAGATTGTCGGTGCAACAGGTAAAATAGATTGCTGCCTTGTTCGCAGCGGTTTACCTGATATATGTGCTATCAGGCAAAACCCAGCGAGGTTTCCTTTGAGGGGATGAACTTCGCGATCTGCAACGCATGAGCTCTACAACGTACCAGCGATCGAGCAGGTATAAAGAATCAACGACACAAACCCGCAGGATGTCGGTAACGAAGCTTAACCGTGACATGCGCGCGCAATACTACGATAGCACCAACACAAGCATTGCGTGGCAATCCATCCGGATTCGTTGTTCACCAATCCCCGTCTTGGAGTTTTAGGCCTTCGGCTACGGTTAACACGAGCAAACCACAACGAGCCCACCTCAGCAAACTGCGACGACCAATCTAGGCAATCATCGTCGCCAAGTACAACTCGCCCGCGCAACGGATTTAGCGGACGGAAAGACAAGAAATATTGGTTTCCAGCCTCGTTTGCACTCCATCCTCTTTGCAGAAGGAAATTTGCCCACGCCCAACTGGAAGGATGACCGCCACAGCAGCAAACGCCAATCGGGCCTTCGACCTCCATCCTTTCTCCACGAATCCGCTTAAGACGCGCGACGATGTAGTCGCCGCTGTAGCATCTCTGCTGGATCCCCTCCTCTCAGGCTTCTCGCCTAGTAAAGCCATTATAAAGTGCGGAAGCACAGGCACACGCTTCGATGAAACGGGAGCGCAAGTTGAAGGCTTCGCACGCCCACTATGGGGTCTCGCGCCCTTATTGGCAGGTGGGAGCAAATATGCAGCGACAGATAAATGGGTTAAGGGTCTAATTTCAGGCACTGATCCGGAGAGTGGTGAGTTTTGGGGGTATATGGAGGATACGGATCAGAGGATGGTGGAGGCGTGTCCGATTGGATTTACCCTGGCGGTTGCGAGCAAAGAGTTTTGGGATCCTTTGACGGAGAAACAAAAGAAGAATGTGGAGACGTGGTTGGGGAGTATGAATGACAAAAAAATGCCTGATACGAACTGGTAAGAAAGCCTCCTTAACAAACTTCCTACTCTCATAAACTATCCCGTGGTTGGGTGCGCTGGATACGAAATTGAAAGTGAACAGGCTTTGGTTCCGCGTTTTCGCCAATCTCGGACTTGAAAGAAACGGCGCTCAGTGGTCGAAAGAGCAGCTGGAGAAGGATATCAAGCAGCTCAATACCTACTACCGCGGTGATGGATGGTCGAACGATGGACCGGCACACTATCGTCAAATGGACTATTACTCCGGCTCTTTTGCTATTCAGTATCTCCAACTATTATACTCGAAGCTGGCTGCGGATATCGATCCTACCCAGGCTGAAGAGTACAAGAATCGCGCACGAATGTATGCTCTTGACTTCGTGCACTACTTTGACCCAGAAGGCCGAGCTATCACATTCGGGAGGTCCTTGACATATCGCTGGGCAATGGTAGCGTTTTGGGGTGCCGTAGCATTTGCAGACGTCGAGCTGCCGGAGCCATTGTCCTGGGGCGTCGTAAAAGGAATTTGGCTTCGGAACCTACGATGGTGGACAACACAGCACGACATCTTCCAGTCAAACGGCATGCTTACGGTCGGATACTCATACCCCAATTACTACCTTGCTGAAAACTACAACTCCCCACAGTCGCCCTATTGGTGCATGCTCGCCTTTGCCGCGCTAGCTGTGCCAGAGAGCCATCCATTCTGGAGCGCAAAGGAAGAACCGCATCCATTTGCCAACCAGCGAGTTGTCAAATCCTTGCCTCATCCACGCCAAATTGTTGTCCGAAGCGGCGGGCATACATTCCTACTCTCGAGTGGTCAATCATGCCACTACGCGATCAAGAACTCAAACGCCAAGTACGGCAAATTCGCGTACAGCGCAGCATTCGCGTACTCCGTCTCGACCGGCTACCAAGAGCTCGAACAATTCGTCCCAGAGTCCACTTTGGCCCTCTCCGACGACGGCGGAGAGTTGTGGAAAATGAGGCGTGCGCACAATGGCGATTCGGAAATTGAAACCCACGACAGTGTGCCGGTTCTGGTCTCCAGCATGAAGCCCTGGCCCGATGTCGAAGTCCTCACATACTTGATCCCACCCGCGGAAGACACACCCAACTGGCATCTCCGCGTCCATCGCATCAGGACAGGCCGCGATGTCATGACTGCAGAAGGCACGTGGGCTTGCTACGGCGCTCGCGAGTCCGATGGCAGACTCCTCACTGAGTGGAACGGCACACTGCGCACGCTCAACTCCTCCATCCCTGAAGGTGGACACTCGGACGTTGTATCTGCTTTCGCCGCATCACCACGCACCGGCGCGGTCGGTATTGCAGAAATATATCAGGGGTTGAGGACGGGTAGTGTCATCTTATCGGACGCAAACTCTAATCTCGTCGAAGCAAGGACTGTGTTGCCGGTTGTGAGGAAGGATTTGAAAGCCGGCGAGACGGCGTGGTTTGTCAGCGCTGTATATGCACTGCCGGCGAGTGTCGATGGGTGGAAAGAGACGTGGAAGGCTGGGTGGGAGAAGAAGCCGAAAGTGCCGGAATGGGTCCAGGATAAGATTTCAGGGTGATGGATTTGACATTGTTGTGAAGGAATGGAAGACAAGGGCAGAGTCATGTTTGAAAGCTAGCCCAAATAAATGGACAATTGAAGTCGTGTTAGTTGATACAACGCAATACTTTCGCTGCATAACTATTGATATATACCTCTTCAAGTAATATGCGGAAAACAAGTCTGCAACACACTATGTACCTACTTTCTCTCAAGCGTCAAGCAAAACGCACCAAGACTATATGCATTCTCAACACGGCGATCTCTGATCATAATCTCAATTTTCCCTCAATCTTCTAGAACCTTACTCGTCGGTCTCAACAGCATGCCAGCTTTCTGCGTAGTTAAAGGTACAAAGTCAGTGCCGTTCTCACACACAGTTTGCCCATGAGGAACCTTACCTCGTACGTCTGATCAATCAACTCCATCTGCTTGATTGATTCCTCCCATTCAATCCAAGCACCACTGCCCTCTCGACCTTTGACTCTATTCACAAACTCTTCTAACTGATATCGATACGTTGACCACCAGTCCTCTCCTCTGTTTTCTCCACCAGTTCCGTCTGGCCATGTATACACCTTCTTAGACTTAGTCGACTTCTTCTCCTCGACTATCTCGCCGGAAGAGTTGCGCCAGATTGCTGTAGTGACGATATCAATCCGATGCCAGATATGCGGACCCATGAAGTTATTCAGCACAAGTGTCCTCTGACTGAAGTGCTCCAACCCGTTCTGCCTACCGTGTTTCTCTTCACGCAGCCTTACGCTCAGCCAGGGCGGCATATCCCTCCAGAAACACGGCCAGTTGCTCGTTAGCCAAGGAAACCAATATCCACCTCTTGCACCCAGATCTACTGACATTCTGCCTACGCCTCCATTTGGGAATTTGTAGGTTGCGGCAAACGCTTCGTCACAGCGCTGGTCGAAACCTTTGTAGATTGGCCGGGGAGTCGCGCTCATTACAGCAACAGGCTCAGACTGGAATATGCCACGCATTGCAGAAGTAGTGTAGTGCCCGAAGTCTGTCAGACTGCCGCCCGCAAGATCGTATTGGAAACGAATGTCGTCGCCAGAAAATATGCCTGCGGGAATCGAGCCCCTTACATCCACTTCTTCAACATCTTTCGAGTCAAAAAGGGACAATAAAACATGCCAAGCGGGATGAAAGCGATAATGACTTGCTTCCACTAAAACTGGTGCATTTGGCGATTGAAGGACTGGGTGGCGGAAAAGAGACCTTGCTTCTTCTGCGTTAGAGACAGAGGGCTTTTCGAGGAGTACGTGCTTGCCCGCTTTGAGAGCTTTGAGCGTCCATTCATAGTGCAACCCATTGGGGAGGGGGTTATATATGCAATCTATGGATGAGTCGTTGATGAGTGCTATTGCTGCTATATTAGCTTGACGTTTTGACGCTCAGTGTGCAACAACAGTCGATTGTCAAACGCGATTCCTGACGGTGGATGAAGGAGAGTAGATTTTTACCGTCGTAGTTCTCATGAACAATAGGGATTCCATGTCTCTTGGCATACGCTTCAGCTCTTTCCTTGTCTCTTGCTGCGACGGCCACGACGATGACTTCCGCGTGAGATCGTGCTGGTATTGTCAATGCTTGTGGGCTGCCGTGTTATTAGTCGAGATTCTTTGAAGACTCGCAGTTCTTAGCTAGCATTTAGATTTGGTCTCTAACTATACTCACGCGATGTTTGCCGCTCCCAGGATACCAAATCGCAGCGCATCCTCTTTCTTCCGTACCTCCGGCCGGCGCGAAACCCATTCCGCAAAGTCACCGATGTAATTGATCCAGCTACTGAAAGGCATTAGTGAGTTGAATGTAGTCTAGTTGGGACTGCGGAAGCAGGTGCGTGGCTGACTTGGGTATTTGTAGCGGGGTTATCAGGCAAGCATTCAGATTGCGTCAACGCACGTCGGAACCGGAGCAATATCAGAAGACCACTCCAACCCTCGCAGCATGCTGCCCGCTATGCTGAGCAGAAGTGATTTTAAGGTAAACTGGGTTGCAATAGAACATACATAATTGGTGTGTTCGAATCTCTTGTAAATGCTGTCAGACTTTACGATGAAAGTACAACTCTACAGACTAGCGATAGCTCAACCAGGGCGCAGGCACTGATTGCATCTTTTGTAACAGCCTAAGTGAGCATGATGGCGACATGAACGATTGCACCCGAGCCTGTGATAGAGCGGCGCCCACAGCATAGCAGCTGCCACTGCGATCTGCTTCTCACTCTGCCACCTACAGACATCAACCACAGCCGACCTATAACACACTCTGAATGTTAAATAAGAGGGGTTGAATATTAACAGAATTGGCATGAGAAGGTTGGAATGTCTATTTAGGTGAGAGAAGAGGAGGGTCCGAGGAAGAAGCTTTCGAGAGTGAAGTGTATTATTAAAGAGTGAGATGTTGATAATGGTGATGAAGTGCTCAATGCTCCGAATAAGCATTGTGATAGATGGATAATGTTTACCTTTAGGTTTAAACGGGGCGTACTATCTGTCCAGACCAGCACCTTCAAGCATGATAACTCTCAAAACCTTTTGTCGATCGGCGTGTCCACCGACCTTAGCATTTGCCTTCGGCTTTCCCAACCAAGGAAGCCATCGGTCAAACGCCGATTCGGTCCAACAATTGCCGGCAGAGCTACCCCGCCTACCCTTTTCGTCGTAGTGCGGGGTAGCTTTGGATGAATGTCAGTGGTCGAGGGCATCACTTTTACCGGTGATGACTTTTCATTACGAGCAGTTTTGAAAGTTCGAAGAGCATGTTGAGACGGAGTTGAATAACCGATATATTTGGTACATATACGCAACGCTGTCTCCAACTTACCTGAAAATCTTAGCGAACAGTGAAATAACAAGAGCGAAAAAGCAAGATACTATAAAAGAGCGAAGGAGAACCTACTCAGCATCTTATTCAGCGTCTTGCTGGATTCAGATATCAATATCTTACGTCTCTCGCCCCCAATCGAGTAGCTCAGTCGATATCACAGCATCATCAACCTAACTCAATCCATCTATAACGACACCTCACGTTTCACCAACAAACTCCCGGAAACCTACCAGGATGACTTCTAAGCCAGAAATCGGTTTCTGCGGCCTAGGAGCCATGGGTTTCGGTATGGCCACCCACCTCGTCAAGCAAGGCTACTCTGTAACCGGCTTCGACGTCTACCAACCGTCACTCGACAGGTTCAAAGCAGCAGGCGGCATCCCTTCGACTTCTCTCTCTGACTCGGCAAAAGACAAGTCCTTCTACATCGTCATGGTCGCGTCAGCACAACAAGCACAGCCCGCCCTATTCGACCAAGACGGCATTGTGAACGCGCTACCAAAGCATGCGACGCTCCTGTTGTGTTCAACAGTGCCGAGTGCGTATGCGCAGAGTGTGGAGAAAGAGTTGGTTGATATCGGGAGGAGTGATGTCTTCTTCATCGATGCGCCTGTTTCTGGGGGCGCGGGTCGAGCAGCAGATGGCACGTTGAGCATCATGGCAGGGGCTTCAGAGGCTGCTCTTGAGAAGGGCAAGTGGCTGTTGGATGAGCTATCTGCACCGTCGAAGCTGTTCATTGTGAATGGCGGCATTGGTGCGGGGAGCAATATGAAGATGGTACATCAAGTTCTCGCGGCGATACATATCCTGGCGTTGAACGAGGCGTACGGATTTGCTGCAAGGTTGGGTCTGAACGGCAAGGATGTGTTTGACGCTGTTGTGGGAAGTACGGGATGGAGTTGGATGTTCGAGAATCGAAGTCAGAGAACGCTGAAGGAGGATTACTTCCCTGGAGCGAGTGCTGTAACCATTATTCTGAAAGACACGGTATGTACTGTTCTCATCCTCGTTTTGTTTGCTGCGTTACCTTTTCCTAATGATTGGGGCAGGGTATCATCACTTCCATGTCCCGAAGCGTAGGTTTCCCGGCAACGCTCTGTTCTATAGCGGAGCAAGTATACTTCTCTGCACTAGATCGAGGTTGGGGCGCCAACGACGATGCCGGACTGGTCCGCCTATGGACCTTAGAGCCCGTGGCGAGCATTCAAAGCATGCTATCCGCCGAAGAAAAAAAGACCAGACTCCAACTGGTAGTCGATCTACTGACAGGTATCCACCTCGTTTCAGCAGCCGAGTCCATCTCTTTAGCAAAGCATGTTGACATTCCCTTGCCCCAGCTATATGAGCTGGCATGTGATGCCGCGGGAGGAAGTACCATGTTCAAGAACGCTGGCGAGAAGTTGATCGAGATCCTGGATGGGAAGGCAGATGGTAGTGGTAAGGTTCTTGGGGGCTACACTGAGAAATTGAGAATAGCTGTGAACGAGGCGCAGTCGATCAAGTGCCCGGTATACCTGGGTACCGGAGCGTTGAATTTGCTCCTGCAAACGGGCACAACTCTGAGTCTGGCCTCGTTGCTGAAATGTTATGGCGCACAGTAAAGAAGAGAATTTACAGAGCTAGTTGCGAAGTCGCCAAAGTAGAGAAGAATGCAAAAGTCCAAATGAAAATTAGATTTGTGTCATGATATCGTGATAAGCGATGTGCTGCTCGCATGCTTTTTTGGGGAATCAATACATGAAGCCAACGGATGATGGCTATAGACAACATGCTATAGTACGACTACATGGCTGCTTTCGCTCTACTGTGCAGTAGTGTTGCGTGATAGTGTCCGAGCAATACTTTTGCACATGCTCATGCACGTCCAGTTGGATATGACTTACCCTGTACCTACGATTCATGGTCCATCCCACGCGCTAGATGTAGGCACCAAACCAGCTTGATTAGTGGCGGAAGCGGCCATGTTGAGAAGGAAGACGTCCTGGTTCGTTGAAGATAGGAAAAAAGGGTTGGCCGACCCGGCTAATAATGTACTTCGGCACCAGAAGATGTGACGAGTGTGGAGGCCTGGAGGACCATCTGAAGCATACATATCTGTGAAACAACGGACTGGAATATTTTGCGTTCACGACAGTAGCGATGATGTAAGAAGACTAAAGAGAATGGGATCGGTTCATTGGTTTCGCAGGTGAACAGCCGGTGCTCTTAAGGGTGTTTCAGGTGAAGATTGTGGTGGCAAAGAACACGCAAGCAACCTGAATTGAATCCTTGCATGGCCTGCATGAACTACACAGTCCGTGGAGGCTGCTTTGTTTGAACGGCTACAGCGCTCCGTGCGGGATATGTGGGGGTAATGTACGTCGTGACTTGACGAGTGCATACCGGGCTGGCCAAATGAGCTGCTTAGATGACTTATCAGCGTTCAACCCGTGGAGAGGCGTCACAATCTGAGGGAAAGGGAGGGCATATGAGATAGATGGAATACAATGAGATCCATCCATGACGACGTGAAAACAAATTGGGAATGAAGTCGGAGCAAGACAGACAAATGGGAAATAGTGATCACTGCTCGGTGGAAACATCATGTGAAAAATTGATGCGCCGAGATGGAGATGGATCATCCGGAGCAAACAGCAACCGTGACTGGGGTATAAAAACCTCTTCCAAGGTTGTGATTGTCCTCGCTAACGCCGCGATGCTTGGCTTACGGTGATGGTGGCGTTGATCTTCAGGAGAGCGTGATTGTGATGCAGCGCCAAAAATGCCACATATAACCCATAGCCATTTATTACCAGGAATCGACCCTTAGTACTCAACGTACTATGTATGGTGTGGAGCGGTGACCCGACTGACAGCGAGTGCGGTGTTGGATAGTACTTGGGCAACCGGCAGTTTGATCTTCCAACGGTATTGATGTGGCAAGCGGTAATCCCGAGGACCTGGTTGTTTGGCGACAAGCGAAAGGGCAAGTCGTCGCAACGTATTCCGTGTCGAAAATAGTCGATTGCTTACCGCTCCCTGTGAGTCACCTGCAAGCGACAAATCAGCCCAAATAGCGAAGAAGCTAGGGGCCCGCCCGCCTGCCTAACCTAGGCTAATCGTGGAACCAGTACTGTAGCGTTGACAGCATCAGTCATGCTGCTTCGTGCTCACTCGCTCGAACCCACGATCATCGTCTGAGAAGGAGATTTGCGGAACTGCAGGGGTTTGCGGGGGGCATGTGATTGACGTGCCTGGGATTGCTGCATCGAAGGCTAATTGCACGTTTCCATACGTCGTGGCCCGTGAGGCGCAGGATGCACCAGACAATGGCGTGCGGGACAATACGCTGCCTTGCAGGATGATTTGACGTCTGACAAGGCGATTGTTACTCCGTACTCTGGCGATCACGACCCTGTAGGATCCATGAATAAGCGAAAAGGAAAAAGAAAAGGTGTCCGTGAGTAACCCTGCTAATGGGACGGACTCATAAGATTGCGTTTGTTTGATTCCTCGTCATGGGACCAGACGATTCGGGTCGTCTTCTTCATGTGGCTAACTTTAGCCCTGTACTGATAATGCATCCTTTCAGCGATGACAGAGTCAGGCCGATGGCGGGTTTCAAAAGCCTGATTTTGGAATGCCTAATACGAAGCGTGCTCACACTTGAGACAGACCGAGGTGTATCGATCCTGCGAAATTGCTGTGCCTCGCCTGCCGCGGATCTGTCTATCCTATCTCCGTCCAATGGCCCGGCATACGCATCCGAATCGAGGGATGAGGGAGTGTAGTTGTGGCTGTCCCAACAACAATGTAACGTATGCGGAGCCGCTCGAGAAGCGTCGAAAGATCACGACGTAGTTAAGCGCGGAATGCGCTGGCTGTTAAACGGGAGGTATAATGCTCAGGACATAATTATCTTGACAGACCCCTCACTAGTGCTTGCAGAGCGGTGAACGACGTGCAACATGAAGAATTACAATGACGGCAATCGTAGTACCAGGTGTCTAGTAGTCCCTAAATGATAGGGCCAGATTTGCCGCACATGTGGAGCATCAAGTGTAAAGAAGAGTCATCCGCGTTGGGTAGAGGCCGCTGCATTGCTCCCTGGTGCCTGAACGCTTGCGTGGGGGGGAACTGTGCAACGGAATAGGTCAGCGCCCTGCCGAATGCGACCAGATGATGTGAGAAACGACATGCTATTAATTATCATACCACAAGGATGTTCATGAGGCGGCTATCATAGATCCTGTACGGGCGGCCTGGTGTCGTGTTCTCTCCAACGCTAAGAGAACAAACCGGTCATGCGGAAGGCTCGGCAGCTGCGGGACACAGGAACATGCAGAAGCAGCGTAGAATATGTATTTTAGCTCTCTTCTAGGTGTACACTACGTCACAACGGACCACATGCGCCGAGGAACAGCTAATGTGTGTATGCCCGATGTGGAGGCAAAGTGGTAGATCGCTCATTCGTGGGTCACTATCCCCATGGACTGTTGGACTCCACTGAAGCCTTATTATATCTTGGCGGTGCAGCTGAGTGAACTGGGGATGGCCTATCGTCCTAGGACCGGGTAAACTTACTGGCGGAAAAAGAACGGTGAGCGTAGGGTCTGACAGAAAGCCCGAAGACATCTCATGCTGATTGTGATACGGATGATCGAACGCTGTTAGTGTGATAATATAGTACGGAACCACACTCACGTTTCAGATTGAGCGGTAGAGGCAGGTAGGTATAGAAGGTGATGATCTTGAGATCAATTAATGAATGCTACGAGAAAGATTGGGTATTCGATAAGTGTCCTCCTGGCTATAATGCCTCCAAAAACAGCAGTAGACTCCCAAAAGATAAGCGAAAAGATGCTATGGTATATATCCTAGCCCCCACAAGCCCGAGCGCCAAGTGATGCAATATCCGAGTCCAGAAGAAAAAAATCGCTCACTATTAGAAGGGAGGTGGTATATGCCATAAGGTGAGAAGTAGGCGTCTATGAGAATATGAGACCGTTGAGTTCCGTGCACCCGAGCCAGCGCGTGTTGGAAATGCGATAGCGAAACCATGGTCCGACGTTGAGTCAGAGAAGAAGAAGAAGAAGAAGCGGGCCACTTGTGCGGCAGGCGAAGGAATCGTTGGGACGCGTGTCAGCAAGGCGTGGTGAAGGCCATGCATGGGAGTCTGTGGCTTGCAGCAAGACTGATGTCAAGCATGTCGCTATGCGATCGATAGTTTGTCTTGACTGCTTTTACCCGGGAAGCGCGTAGAGTGTCAGGTGAGTGACAGGGGTTGTTCTGCTTCTGATGCACGAGGCGCATCGAAGATCAGATCGTGCTGGATGCTGCAGATGCTCTGCATGACGGCAGCACGCCTGACTGCGGCAATGTGCGGTTCGATGTCGGGGTGGGGCGAGTATTAAGGTGAGGTGGGATGGTAATAATGCGGTATGGATATCGATGTGGAGATGCGCCAAAGCCAGTTGCGAGTCGGAAAGAACGAACGTGGGACGAGGAGATTGACTAGGTCCATGTCTATTTGGAAGGGACCGGAGGCAGCGGGCGCGTTGGTGGTGGACCCGGGGAAGGAGGGAAGTTTTGGGATGGCATGTTGGACTCGTTGTAGTCGAGGGCGGCCATTGTATTGTGTGTTGTATTGAGAGTGAAGCGAAGCTTGGTGGCTGGTGTAGAGTAGAGGTTGTCGAGTACGAGTGTCGAGCAGGAGTGGCGGAGTAGTTGTTGGTATGCGGAGTGGAGCGTGTCTTGGAAGGGTGTAAATGGTAGACTGTAGAGCTATATAGCTCTTGTGTAGTGTCCTGCTGAGTGATGATGAAACAAAGGCAACAAGGTGGGGGGCGCAAAGTATTTATGTCTATGCTCAGATTGCAGAGGCCGAAAATGTCGGTCAGCTACGTACTTTTGACGATGTGTGTAATTATTCGCGGTAGCGCATGGCACGGCCCAAGCGGTGAAGGAGGCGCTGGGCTGATGGAGCAAGAAAGGGGTGGCTCCTGGCTTGTGCATTGAGCTAAATCACGCCGAAACATTGCTCATCCTGGTCCGTCCAGGAGCATGGGTAAGAAGAAACACGAAGCCCGTCCGCTCTGCTGCTGGCCGTTTCATCGTCCTCGTGACTGGCCGAAGATGGTGCTGATCCAATCCTGTCGCGGGACAGTCGCCGTTGAGGCATGCTATTCGCACAAGGCAGCAGGCTCGGCAGGAAGTGTAGAACCAGTCTGACATCACTTCCCCCCATCCTCGGCACTTGGGGGCTGATTATTTATTCTTAGCTGTATCGTTGGTACTGTAGTGTGAATGGTCGTAATAGTTGCCGTCGTGCCAGGACGACCTTACCACGACCGACCGCCTCACTACCTTTGGGCGCGAGAGATTCAGGAACAGGCCAGGTCCGCTTCTGGCCTCCGTGTCAAGAGTAATTTCTGACACGGCGACGGGCAGCGAGCGGCCAAACAGAGGTAGTAACAAAAATTTCGTCACCCAATTTGCGACGGCCCTCACTTGCCCAAGCTTGGCCCGCACTTTCTCCAGCGCAGGTGGGCGATCTAGCGCGCATACGGCGCCTTCTCCCGTGCTTCTTCCTGTCTTCCATCCAATTTCGACAGCCCCTTGGAGTTGGGTGCTCCACTGCATGTGCTGGTGCCCGTTGGCGGTGAGTGTTGCCATGTCATGCATGCTCCCTGAGCCTGACTCTTGCCTGGCACCCTGGGCACAGGGTCTGCTCTCGAGACAAGTAGGCTGAGAAATACGCAAGCCCATGTCAAAACTAGACGAAGAAGAAGAAGAAGAAGAAGAAGAAGAAGAAGAAGAAGAAGAAGGACAGGATTATTTTGGTCTGTCTGCTTGCCTTGTTTGTGCGACTCGTATTATCCTAGTGTGCGCGTGTCCAGGGTCAGAGTAGCTGCCTGCCTGCCTGCTGTGTGCGTGCCCTGTTTGTGTGTTTCTCGCACTTTGTCGGCGACCACAAATGGCTGACGGCTGGCTGAACTCTACTACGTTGGAACTCTCGTCCCCTCCCCTCACCTGGATACCGGCGTGGTCCGAAGGGGGAGCGCTGAGGTCGTCTAACCACCATTCCGAAGGACCGGAGAGAGGCCCCGCGGCTGCGTCTTTACAATTGCAACAACCACGTGGACTTTACAGGGATCCCATCTCCAACCTCGGAAGCGCCTTCGCTTGCTTTTCATTCGCAATTTGTCTCTCCTTGCCCCTGCCGCTCGCTAGATAACAAGGCAAAAAATTTGTTCGGGCTTTAGCTTGCTTGTCCGCTGGCTTCGGAAAGGAGCGTCTTTTTGACCGCCAGAAGAAGGAACGGACTCTGTACTTTGCTGTCTGCCGATACCTGGGCAACAAGGGACGCGCGATCGACAGGGGCACCCGTTACCTACGCCATGGCCCAATGTGGAAAACTGTCTGCCACACATTCGCCACACCCTCGGCTGTAGCAATCTCAATTCCACCACAAGGTTGCAGTTTCAGAGCTGCTAGTGGTAAAGAGGACCGTTACAGATAGCAAACTTTGAAGCTGACGAACGTCCCAGCCGACTGGACAAGTGCGGAGAAGGCGATGAAAAAGACCGAACCGCCGTTGGATGACAAGTCACCAGATCAACGCCGCTATTTCGGGAAACACGCAGAGACGAAAAAGCAATGTCGCCGTAGTCGTGTCCTCGGTCGCTTCATGCCCGTCATGGGCAACACAGCGTTCACGCCCAATAAAGTCGTTCTTGCGACCAAGCATAAGTTGCTGAAATCCATGTGCCGACTCTATGCGTACGCGTCCCTGTCGCAGAGCCATGATTCGAAGCCGGCACATTTTGACCTTCATGTGGCAGGCTTTGTAGTCGTAATCAGGAGTGAGCAGCCGGGCTGATGATCGCTTCACCAAGCACACTGCTGCAGGTACGCGCAAAGGCATCTCGGTGCCACGCGCCCTTGTGGGCTGCATGTGGCTTGCACCTCCAGCACGGATCAAGCGAACAAGGTAGCGCCCTCTTTCTTGGGAACGGCATGCCCGGAACGCCAACATGTATTTGGACAAACTATAGTCTAGAGACACGCCCGTCGAGAAAAGAAAGCCTACGTGTGCTACTAAACGTGGGATCGCAGCATTTACAGCTGGACGTTTAAACCTAAAAGCGTTGAGTGCAGCCGACCCAACAAAAACTGGTGTGAGTAGATGACATGTGCCTGGAAAGCCATTTCACACAGCCAAGAATAGACTATATCGCAAACGTTATTCCTCAGGCACGTGTCGTCCTTCAATGCGACTTCTCCATCATGTTCGTCGACGTGCAACGCGGCATGCGCCCACAGCCCATGTCCGTCACACTTCACGCAACCTCTGCCGCGTATATCGCCCGTTCTTGGGAAATGGCTCATTGTCTGAGGAAGCCCCCAAAGTACATGGTCGTCCATGGGAACCGCGCATTTATCCGGCCGAATGGTCAGCACAGTGCGTCCACGTGGAAAATCCACATGACACCCAGCCATCACATAAGCACATACAAGGGGTCGGCGATAAAGTTGCCTGGAAGCGAGCTTACTATGGTTATTTTAGGGTGTGGTGCCTCGTACCAATCCTTGTAAGACGATCAAACTTCCCAGTCTCGACGGTGTAGAAAGAACGGTTGGACTAGTTTGGCCTTCATCCACCACCGTCTTCGTCGTCATCGACCTGTTCGGCAGCGGCTTGTGTGGAAACCCAGTTCTCCAACATGGCCTGGCTTGACGGTGCGCCACTTCCTGCGTGATTTCTCGCGCCACGGCGTTTTACCACGAGGCACAATATGCGCCCATAGATGCTAAAGCCATCGTATGATGTGTTGAGGCCAAGCTTCTTCTTATCGTCTTCTTGCAGCTTGTCGTCATCTTCACCCTGCTCTCTGGCCCTTGGACCTTCTTTTGTCTTGCTTCGCCTTGTGCCCGGCCCAGGTACAAACAAGTCTGACCCCTCGCTGTTGCTCGGGCTGCTCACGTCAGCTTCGGGGATATCAGCCAGGTTGATTGCTTCTTCGTCCTCATCGTCTCTGATCACTATCGGATCCATGGCTTCTTCATCAATCATAAGCGGCTGATTACTGGTTCCCGTGGTCAGCCAGCCGGTGAGCTTTCCAGAGTTGCTCTGAATGCGAGCCTTGTCCTTGAACGTCTTTTGCTTCGTCAAGATGGAGTGACGGGATGAGAGCTCTGTCAAAAAGATTGATACCTCAAAGTCATCTGGCATGATGTTAGACGGTTGTAAGATGCGAGCTCTGCCGGCATTGCTATCATTTGCAATGCGAAAGCCTACGTCGAGTAAAAGCGACTAGGACAAGCAATCCTGGATATATTACGCACCCTCGACAACAACATCCTTGACACCCTTCTTCTTTGCTTTAGTGCCTCCCCGGCCTTTGCCCCGTTGATTCTCTTCTCGGAGTTTAGGAAGTACAAGCGGACGTATCGCTTGGATGACGCGTGGAAGGGCTGGATTATCGCTTTTCAATAGCCATGCCTCTGTGTCAGCTGGTCGATCGAGGTAGATGCGCACTTCCAGGACAGAGTGCTTCGTGATCCTCAAGTATCGTCTAAGCGGAGCCATGTTTCGTGTCTTGGAACTCGACAAAGGTTGGGAGCTGAAGGAGCGGATGTGGGAACCGATTTTCGAAGATGACGCGGGATCACGTGACAATGTGCCAAGTCAGGGTCCAGCAGCCTCTCATTGGTGAATGCAACAAGTCTGGTGCTTTCGTCGTGTGCATTTGCTCCCATCGCTTCCCACAACGCCTACGAGAGAATGGTGCTGGAGCTTCACGTCTGGGGCCCGGCCTTCGGACTTCCCTCAATAGAGCCCGAATGCATAGCTACGACGGCCTACTGCCAGCGCGTGATCCCGAAGGGACAATGGTCTCTCATAGCTGACTACAACCCCTCAATTGGAGCCACAGGTATATCCACTCTTGCCTTGCTGAGTGTAGTATGTTTCTCACAAACCAATAAGAAAGCCTGCCGATCTTATTCGACGATGGTATTGCAACCGCAACAGGATTTGAGGACATCGTCGCCTATCTTCGAAACCATCCTGCAATCGCCACCGATCTCGATGCGCATCTCACCAACCGGCAGCAGAACGATAAAACGGCGTCAGTACACTCACCATCCTTTCCTGAAGCAGATCTAAAAAGACATGTAGTTTCATTACCTTCCTCCAATCTACTGCAACCCCTCTGCTCGATCTCTCACTGTACGTCTCTGCCGAGAACTACAATACCACCACTTCATCCGCCTATACTGCGATCCTGCCATGGTACGCCAATTATACTGTTCCACCGAGGCGTCGAGATCTCGCGAGGACGCGGACAGCGCATATGGGGCTGAACAGTCTGGATGTGGACACGACGACCGAGGAAGGTTTTGCGCCTGGTCGAGGGACTGCATCTTCGGAATATGAGGCTGCGAAAAAGGCAGCTGGAATACCCACGGACAGTCGGCCTAATACTCTGAGCATGGGACGTCGAAAGGGCCTCGGCGGCCTCCTTGGTGGACCCGTGTACGCTGCTCGGTTCAGGCTCGATACACTCGCGAATGAGCTTCTAGAGCCATTATCAGACCTTCTAGGCGACCATGATTATCTCTTCCGAGGAGATCAGCCATCTAGTCTTGACTGCCTTGCTTTTGGGTATCTGGCCTTGCTACTTTATCCGGCAGTGCCTCAAGCGTGGCTCAAGGAGACGATGCAGACGAAGTACCCTCGCATTGCCACATACATTCGCAGGCTACGCCGCAACCTCGTAGACATTGAGAATGTCAATCCGGCCGATGTTTGGTCCGTTTCAACAGGCGCAGCTAAAGGAGCCAAAAGTTCATTCTTACCATGGCGGCCAAGGTCGCAAACATTTGCTTCAAGCACGTTGGCTGGCGCACGAGAGACTATTGGGAACCTTCCTTTAATCTCTTCACTTATGCAACGCAGTACGGTCATGCCATCGGATTCGTTGCAAACGTCGAGACGGGCAGAATCTGATCTGCCATGTCCATTGTTGGTCAACTCGGTACTAGGCATGGCGACTGCTTTTGCGTTAGGGTTGACGTCTCTTGCCATACTCCATCGGCGCTCACCACGAGAGGGCGAAGTCATTTTTTGGGCTTTGCGCCCGACATCTGACCTCGGAGAAGCAGGAAGTATCCTTGGCGTTTTGGCCAACCAGATACCCAGCGCGTCCTATTCGCAATTCTGATGCTTGTAACTTGACCCTGTGCACGATTGCATTGCGGGGCGCACGGGACGTTGGATAGCTAGTGGCTATACATACTCAGTTTGGTCAATTCCCAACTTGGACCGAGACCTCCCCTGGGCAAGATGTTCTAGGGTTAGCGTCGTTGTCATGGCGCCTAAAGGGATCGAGAGCACACCTAATAAGAACACACCAACGCGACGTCACAGGCACTAGCGATGCTCGGGAATTGATAGCCACGGCGCCAGCCTGTCCGCCTAAAGACTAGATGGGTTTTTTCACATGGCAGGGGGCGGCTATTGTGCGCTGCGCCAGTCCTCGTCAGCCTCTCAACATCAAAGTGCTGTTACTGCGTATCGTAATGGGTTGCAATCCATATTCTTGGTAATGACCGACGTTTGAAACGGATGGGGCTGGGAACGACGACCAGGTTGCTTTGGAGTTTTTGCGGGTGATTTGCGTGGTGCATGTGTTCAGTGGGGAACTAATGTAGATCATCGTACGTCATGGAGTGCTCCCTAGTCAAACCATCAGAAAACCGTCCTCACCTCCATCTCTACTCTCTTATCCACTCTACCAACAAGACTGCAAACTTGCAACTTCTCATACGTATTGCATCTTCCTAGAACAAAGGCAAAGCTTCGTTACAATGCACCGAACATACAGCATGCGCTCGTCTCGCGCGCCCACGGCGTCGCAGATTCAGAATCCCCCGCCTCCGTCGTCCTCGACCAAGACCGGGCGCTTCTTTGGCAAGGCTAACATCGGTAAGTTGTTCTGCTCTCGTCACACGACTCGCATCTCTCCAGCATACCGTCTCGGCGCATGGTGGGCGCGACCGCGACCGCTCAAAACCGCCGCATCCGCAGTCAGCCTCGTGCAAGGAGGGGTGACGACGAGCCAGTAGCGCCAACACGTTCGGGTGGCTACCACCATCGTTTCCAATCATCTGCACATGACGACCAATGCTAATCATCTCGTTCGTATGCAGGCCATACCTTCCGCCAGAAGTCTGCGGGCGCCTTCGGTCCCGACCTCGCCAAGAAGCTCTCACAACTAGTCAAGATGGAGAAGAACGTCATGCGCAGCATGGAGCTGGTGTCCAGGGAACGCATGGAGGTCGCTGTAAGCTTGCGCATCTCGAGTCTCACTCGTGCGACATGCTGACTGTCTCTCTTAGCAACAACTCTCCATCTGGGGTGAGGCCTGTGACGACGACGTGTCTGACGTCACGGACAAGCTTGGTGTCTTGATTTATGAGATTGGTGAGCTGGAGGACCAGTATGTCGACCGCTACGACCAGTATCGCGTGACCATCAAGAGCATTCGCAACATTGAAGCTTCAGTCCAGCCCAGCCGCGACCGTGAGTACCCATGACGTCTTTGGCTCTACGCAAAGCTGACACTGTGTTAGGCAAGCAGAAGATCACCGACCAAATCGCGCAATTGAAGTACAAAGAGCCCAACTCGCCCAGGATCGTCGTGCTCGAGCAGGAACTTGTCCGGGCCGAGGCCGAGTCCCTTGTCGCTGAGGCCCAGCTGTCCAACATTACCCGTGAGAAGCTCAAGGCCGCCTTCACCTACCAGTTTGATGCTATGCGCGAGCACTGCGAGAAGTTGGCCATCATTGCCGGCTACGGCAAGCATCTCCTTGAGCTGGTTGATGATACCCCGGTGACTCCAGGAGAGACTCGCCAGGCTTATGATGGTTACGAGGCTAGCAAGGCGTACGTCTGACATTCTCCTCGTTGCTCCTCATACACATACTAACCAATTGCAGCATCATCCAGGACTGCGAAGATGCTCTCACCAACTGGGTCTCCCAAAACGCCTCCGTCTCGTCCAAACTATCCCAGCGTTCCCGCACTCTCTCCCAGCGCCGCCGAAACCAGGCCCGCAACCGCGGAGACGGTGTTGACCTGTCTGGCCAAGACCAACCCCTCGACAGGGAGTCCGGTCTCTGGATCCCCGCTTCAGAGCACCAAGGTAACGGCTACGAGGACCGCGATGACCTTGACGACGATGTCCCGTCTACTATTGCCAGTGAGCAGCGTGGTCGCGAGGAGGAGAGGCCTGTTGCGGCATAACCGTCGCGCTGATGATGCGGCTAGCGTTGTGCCCTCTGTCTTCTAATAGTGCGTCTGCTTCTCTGCGACAAACGATGTATACCCCCTGACGGAGCGATCGATGCTGCGGCAAACGTGCATTCGACTTATTAGTCTGATGTGGCGGTCGCGATGTGAGGGCTTCTGGATCTTACACGCAGATGATGGAGGCTGCCTCTACTGCGTCTTATGTACACGATGATTTTTGGTTTGAACGAGTTGACGATGCAGAGAGGCTAGTACAGGCATTTTGCCAAATTAGTGTATTCCAACTTATGGCTTAAGCAAGTGCTCCTGTTCACCTAACATCAACGAGCCAGTGAGGTGCAAAGAAGTTCAGCGTCGCTAGGTGTAGCGACAATCGCAAGTCTGGTCCCCTGAATCAGCCTCGAAGAGGAACTTTGGAAGCTGTCTCAGACTATTCCGTCAATGGAATATGCGTGCGCTACACTGTTTTGGATTTTGCAGGTAAGTACATATTCGAGGCTCTCCAGGTTTCATTCCAGATAAGCGGACGTAGCTGGTGTTTAAAATGTGCTCACCAACTTGTTCAGCGGCTGCTCCACATTGGAGTGAAAGCCAGGCAGCTGCGCCTCACGTGCTTACCAGTAACAAGCTATTGGGCCAAGTGGACTCCAGCCGGGCTGCACCAACCCGTGAGCCCGCGTCTTCCCCAATCGGGAGTCCAGTGTCTCGGTCCTTGTCTTCTGTCTTCCTCAGCTCACATATTTCATGCAAAATTCCCTGGCCTTTCCAAGCCAGTCGACTCTTTTTATCACTGCCCCGCCATTCACTATACACACCGGATCTTCTCAGCCTTGCACAAAATCACCAAAAGGACTGAGGTGCACGCTAAAGTAAAGGCAGGCTACCTTCGCAATCTCAAGACGTCTTAAGAGGACTGTTGTCCTCCACTTTTAGTCTCTCGCCTCCAATCACTCCCAACTTTTCGGCCTGAGCCACCGGCAAACTATCAAGTAGTTCGCGAGGAGTACGCCCGCACAGAGCCTACGCAAATAACAGCCTGGAGAGCTGCACAACCTCACCACACTTATCATGCCACGGTACCATCATGAACAGCGGTCCAGGTCTCCAAGCCTGGATCCTGACGACGACCCCGATTACCAGCTAGCTTTGCAGCTATCTGCGGAGTTGAATGGCGACCAATCAGCGCCCCCAGATCATCAACCTGACTACGACGCTGATGCTGAATTTGCATTAGCTATGCAACTCCAGTTTGATAATGAGGCACAAGCGACCGAAGGACGCCATACGCCGCACACTGGGGAAAGCTCAGCACCGCTAACATTTGGGCACTCTGCATGGGGATTAGACGAAGAAGATTCCAGTGTAGCGGTATACCTTCCAGAGACGCCGTCTGGGAGAGTCCCCAAGGAGTTCACCGACTTTATAGCATGTCTCGTGTCAAGCAAATGCAAATGCGGCGAGCAGTTGTTCCGATCGGAGCTTGACGTCAATGACATGTTTCAAAACTGGCTCAGTGGCAAGAAGGCACTATCATCGTGGATCAAGTGCAGGGGCTGTTTGACTTCGTTATGTTTTGGATGCATCCCGGAGCCTTTCGCAAAACAGTCTACGATCAACGTACAAGGAAAGCAGGTTTCTTGGTGCTGCGCAGGGGGGCGCCTTTACTTGATTTGGATGCTCCTTTGCGGGTTCGATCAACATTTCTGCGCGGCGAGGGCAAAGAAAGAGCAGAAGAATGCACAGCCAGCTCAGCAGAACCAACGCGGCGGCAAGGCGAAGATAGACAAGAAGACTCGAGGCAGCGGCGTAGGCTTTGGCAGTGACCGCCGGTACTCCATGAGCTACATGCCGAGTAGCATGGACTACGGTAATAACATGGTCGATTTTGAAGATCTGGGAGGCTACCCAACTCCCTCCTTCTTTGAAGGCAAAGGCCACACTCTAGACCCAAACGCCAAACCTGCTGAGGAACACTGCAAAAACAAGGCGCAGAGCGCGCAACAGGCCGAAGATAACTTCAACACAATGATCCTGGAGCTGTTGAAAGGTTTGCTCCCATCTTTGGACAGGGATGTCGGCTTCGATGTTGATCCTCCAGAAGCCGTAACCGACATGCTGGTGGACAGTAAGATCCTCAACTTTTGCGTCGAGCTCTTGCGGAACGACTCTTTAGACGACGCTACGAAGCGCAAAAGTCTCTATCATGCACTCTTGAGCTTCCTTCAAGCAATCGGCATGCACGTCATGGCAAATCGGACACTGTTTAGTGAACGCTCGGTACAGCCTGATGCGGTCAATCTCCTGACGTTATCTTTTCGTGGGAGTAGAACCAGATCAAAGGAGACCGCTTCGTCTGTCGCGGACAGCCTCCGTAACTTAAACACCCAAAGTGTTCTAGTCCTCCAGAGCGCCAAGACCAACGAGAAAGACTTTCACTCGGTAGATGGACAAGATATGCTCTTGCTTTGCCGGGAAATATCAGAACTCTCGCAGTATATTCTTGCGTACACTGAGGCGGGGTCTAATCAAAACGTCAAGGCCACAATGGTGGACCTCGCTATCAATGACGTACCCGATGAACAGATACTGACAACTCATGCGTACGCTTCAAAAGCAACGTCCTTGAAATTCTCACCACCCGGCCGTTTCAAGCGCTTAATCACGGAGATTACAACTTTGAAGACAGGGCTACCTCCAGGCATCTTCGTCCGATATTGTGAGAACCGGCCAGATGTTATGAAGGTAGCAATCATCGGTCCTGGTGGAACTCCGTACGAGAACGGTATCTTCGAGTTCGATTTCTTCTGCGATTCAAGTTTCCCCAACAAACCGCCGATGGTACAATTTCGGGGAACCGGGGGAGGACGAATCTCCATAAATCCAAACCTGTATGCAGATGGCAAGGTCTGTTTATCTCTGCTCGGAACTTGGGCAGGAGAGCCTTGGACACGGGGCGAGTCAACACTTCTTCAAGTCGTTATCTCGCTCCAAGCGATGATTTTCTGTGACGAGCCATGGTACAATGAGCCAGGTAGAGAAGCCGCATATCACCGCGGCTCGGGGCAAGATCCAGCAGCCGCCTATAACCAAACGATCCGTGAGCACACAGTACGTCACGCAATGTTGACCTGGCTTGATCGACCTCCACAGTTGTGGCACGCTGTGGTTGAGTCTCACTTCAAGCAAAACGCCAATAATATCTTGAAGACCGTGGAAGAATGGGCCAAGAAGAAGGTTCCAAATCATCTCAGTCATTATGATTATGTCGGTTTCGAGATGGAAGACTTTATGCCGCCGATGGGTAGCCGTACATCGGCAGTGGGTAAAGCCGACCTTGAATCGATGCTCCCGCGACTACAGATTGCATTGCAGAACCATGGCGCGACTTATGTCATTCAGCAGACTCTACAACCCACTGCACGGCAACCTTCGAATGTACGTGTTTCAATGCCACAACCCACGATATCGTACCCTATGCCACCAAACCCCATGTTGCCGCTACCACTAGGACCACCACCGCCCTATAGTGTAACGCAGACAAAGTTCCCAGGTTTGAACCTACAAAACCAAGGTCGTGGACCAGGTCGTGCGCTTGGTAGTGGAGGTGGGCAATCTAGTAAGAGTGCAACAAATGCAGCTCCAAGCAGTCATGGCGGATCCATTTTCAGTGGCTCTTTCGACGGTTACGGTAGGTACGAGACGAGGTCAGCTACTCGTAGCCGCAGTGGACCTGCTGCGCAAACGGGAGATGCAAGCGATCCTGTTGGTAACGCGCCGCCGAGCCCATTCCCAGGAGACTCTAGAGGACGCGGAGGATCCGCAATAAAGATAAATAGAGGAGGTCGTGGTATGCTTCGTGGTGTTGGGCGCGATGATCCTCGAGGTCCATAGTCTAAGCTATTTATAGTCCTTAGGAAGGTGAGGTAAATGAATTGAAGCTGCGGTCCTAGGCTGAAACAAAGATAGTCTGGAGGACTGCTTAGCTAAGGCATATCAAACCAGTGTGTGGGCGCACTATTTAGATGTACCTGAAAAATAAAATTTAATGCTACGCACGATTATAGCACTAGAATGGTTAAGCTGACGTCAAAGTAATAACTTCACGTTCAGGTGCTCTTCACCAAGAGAAAAATTGCACGCATGCACATACTTAATCTCGAAGAACCAATTAGTGGAAGCGAATAATATCATGGGGCTTGGTGATGTAGAGAACAATATATGTTCACCTGATATTACTGAGGGATAGTGGAGGCATCCCAACCTGATTGATCCAAGGCATGTATTGGCCACTTTCTTCTTCCTTGCTATTAGTTTATCAACTAATTGATCAACCCAGTGATGAGGGTACATTGTGCAGCTGTTGAATTGAGAAAGAAGCACATCAACGGTGGCTGTATATAAGTACGGTGGCTCGTGCACATCTTGGCATACATTTTCCGCCTTCAACTTCGACATCGGTCCAACAGCATCCGCATCGCCAAACACAACCGCGACCTTAACAAAATTGTTCGCGGCCCATAGACACAAAGTTTCTCGCGCTGCTAAAATAACCGACAAAGATGCTGCCGCGCGCCCTCCTCCCCCTTCGCCGAACCCTCTTCGCCCGCCCAGCGCTCCGAACAAGCCTCCGCATCCGCTCAAGACACATCCACACGCCGACATGTAGCTGTCTACGCCCAAGCCTTCAAACCCTCCGAACCTACGCGCAAGAAAACACACGGACAAGCGATCTGGTGTCGCGCTTCAGCGGCTTAAGTGTAAATGGGCCCCGACAGCAAACGCGCGGCATGAAGGTGCGCAGCTCGGTGAAGAAATTATGCGACGGGTGCAAGAGCGTCAGGAGAAAGAAGGGCCGATATGTGTATATTATCTGTAGTAAGAATCCGAAGCATAAGCAGAGGTGAGTTGGGATATGACATGACTTGGGTGATTAGACGTGGACTAACGACCGTGTAGGCAAGGATAGGATGATTGCGGTGAGAGGTTGAGGAAGTCTGAGAGGGATGTCAGGCATGAGATGGAAGTGCAGTGTAGAGCAAGATCAGTAGGATGATCTGTATCATATGTATGCATACCGAGCATCTAGGGCGTTGGAAGGACTCTTTATAATGAAATGTTAGATTCTCAGCTACACCACGATATTTCGAAGCCATGGGGAAGAGTTCGAGAAGTATAGATTCTGTGGTCGTTTCGCATTATCATTATCTCGTTGGCCAGAGTGGTGTGTCCAGGTTCCTTACACCCAGTCTATCGTGACCAGATTGCTATCAAAGCACTCCCTCGACCTCCTACTTACCCCATACTCCCGCCACTCCTACTATCGGATATAATACCCGCCATTCTAAGTAGCTCTCGATCCATCTCCTGATCCCCTGTGCCCAGATTAACCCGTCTCCTCGCCTCTGCTTCTCTCTCCTGCCACGCCCACTCCTTCCTTTGCGCCTCAGCAATTTCATCCCCACCGCAACCCCACACTTCCAGACTCTCAATCTCGAAGCGATCTTGCCAGTCCTTCCGCTTCCTACATGGGAGGTTAGATGGGTGGAAGGAGCCGCCACCTTCAGAGAGGTGTGTGAATATGCCGAACTCGAGGGCGTCGTCTAGATGGAGCGAGACAGGTCCGGGGCGGAACGAGCTATGAGCAGAACTGTGAGATGCAGATTGTGCGGGGATTGGGGTACCAAAACCGAGGCCGGCGGGGTGGGTGGGCGACTTGTTGAAATAGATATAGTCGGTGCTGAAAGCTGACGTGGTGAAGACATCATGCATAGGACTTAGTTGAAACAAGATGGCCGACGAATCGCCAAAGCAAGATTTGCTGGTGTGTTTCCATTGCGTGGGTATGTACGCTCCGTATATTATGGTCTGGTTTGATGATGACCCCTCTGATATGCTACTCGGATATCGCGTGGGAGGCAGCATGTCCTGTAGCGCGCGCTCACGCGTGCTCGACGGTACTGTAGGGAGAAGACTACCCTTCACCAGGAGGATGGTGGGAGCGCGCCAGTTGAAGACTTGCTTCTCAAAGGAGCCCATGCTGAATCCGTGCGTGTTGCCGCTGTAGAGGGGCCGCAAACGTCGAAAAAGACTGTTCCCCTTGATGAAGAAGGAGAGCTGACTGAGGATGGTGATGTTGAGGATTTCACCCGGCTGTTGTAGGATTGGCTCGGGATCTGCTACGGATTTCGGTTGTGGTATGACGGTGTGAGTTTCCTTTGTGGGAGATGTGGGGTCGGGCTTGCGTTTGGAGAGGTCGAAGTCTTTCGCGAAGAGGAAGTGCTCAAACAGGGGGTTCAAGCCGTTGAAAAGATATGGAAGACACACCGAGACGACCTTATCAAACGTTCGATAGCTTACGCCAGGGTGATTCTCGACGCCGAAGGAAGACAGGATGATATTTGCAGTTTGTCGCAACTCTTCGATATGCTCGTCTGATAGTGTCGGGGCCAAAGTTGAAAGGCTCTGCTGAGCATCTATGGGCGCAATCAGAAGCAATAGCTCGACAAGCTTCAAAAAGTTGTCTGTAGGAATGATGGAATGGTGGACATTCGACTGTTCGCCGTGTTTGAACGCTTCTATAGCATCCATTGAGTCCAGCGCTGCCAGGACCAGCTCATCATCGTCCTCTCCGTCCTCCCCATCTCCCTCTTCTGGCGCATCAATTGCAAAGCCAAGATTTCCGCTCCCTTCTTCTAATCGTTGAAGATTTTCACTCGCCTTGTCCTTCTCCTTATTCTCAACCCCCTCGCGGATTCCTCTGTCATAAATCGCCAAACTCCTGTAAATCTCCCTCGACCAGATCTCCCTTCCCCGCTTCTTCACAACCGCAGCATACCTCTCCGTCAATATCGTAACAACCTTCAGCAGCGCGTCATGCGTAAGGATAGCAGGTGCTTGGCTGGGTAACGGGAAAGCGCCGAGATAGCTAGCCATCTGGAAGACGACGGAGCCCACGCCCAGGGCGTCTGGCAGCTCGAGGAAGCGACATAGTGTGCTTTCGCTCCAATATCGCACCCCTGACTCGGTGTCGGCTAAGGATCGGAAGACGGAGTTGAAGCAATAGAGTTCGAGAGGTGAGTAGCTCTTTTGTGCGAATCTTTGAGCTATCGTATGGCTCAGCTGCTCTAGCTGGTGTTAGCATACGAGGTTGAAAGCTGCCTTGAGCGAAGGCTAGGTTACGCACCAAGCGTCAAGTGGGGAGTCTCATGTGAGGAGTCTTGACCCATAATCACGCGATGTGGCCCGAAAAGCCGTGACACGTTTTGGGAGTTTGTCGCGTTCCTCCACCGTTCGTCGATCTGGGGTGCACCCGGCCCGGGGTTAACGCCAACAAAAGCCGAGGGGTTCGATCACTAACCCTCGCACACTCTGCTTCAAGCAATACACGTATCTCACCCCCTACATTATAAGTGCGCATGCAGTTCTCATTTTTCCATTATTCATCATTAAGTGGATATGATGACAATAAATTGCCTTGACATATAGTCTACTATCCCCGGAGAAGTTCGAGACGAGATTTATACCTACTATGTATACGAAGAAGCAGGCTGCTCTTACAACTATACCTCCCGTAGGCTGCACTTTGCCGGTGGAGAAATTGTATCTTATTTACAGCTGCAAAACGATATCCGAGGGGATGTAAGGCGTTTGTCTCTGGACGAATACGATTACATTCACTTTTAGCTTCGCAGACAAGCAGGAAAGTCATCACGGGCTTCGTAACCGGGCAGCACGCTTCGAGCGACTCTTGCATTCTGCTTATTGGACAAAGTTGGTGATGCTCCACTACGTCGCTGACTGTGTCACGGATACTATGGTGGATGAGGTTGTTCAAAAGCATCGGTCTATCAATAACCTCTTCCGGTCGTAAGTTTAAGCACTTCGGTGAGGAAGATATATAAGGCTGTGGTATTCAAGGCTGCACCAGCTTCGAGACGTATTGTCCGCTTCTTTCGGTGACGCTTTACATTGTACCCTGGACCTCGCCTCGGTTCGTTTTTATCTCCAAGGCATGCACCTCCTCAGTATTATCCAAGAGAGGAACGGCCGTTATTTGTTGAGGGTGCCCACCACAAGTTTTTTGGGTGGCGTCCGCAATCATGGTCGATTCCAAGCGACGAGGAGCTTTCCCCACTTGAGACCGTCTCGACCTAAAGAATCAATGTGATCACACACACCTCCGCACTCGAAGTACTTTTATAGAACTAGCGATAGCTCAACTAGGGCGTAGGCGCTTTGAACATCCTCTTCCATACTTGGGTTACTGCTGACCAGGACCATGATGGTTTTGACTACGCCAAAGACTACAGCGATCTAAAGTGGTATTTCTCAGCGACCCCAGTATCGATTCGAGTCCCCAATAGCCTGAACCTAGAAGTTCTTAAGCAACTCCGATCTATTGTGCTTCGAGAAGACTGCAGAGGCTTTGGTAATCCATAGGCTCACGCCGAAGGGCTTAAGAGTTTTTGTCTAGAAAATCTAAGCTGAGAATACTAAGGCACGCCGGACTCCCAACAAACCTTGTACCCTCTCTGTGGGCTCAATATACATCCGAGGACTTATCTCAGCTGCGCGACGGGATGACTTAGGCTCATAAATACGTCTGTGTTATAGTTGCATGGCTACTCTGCACTGCTCTGTTGCATCCTTGCAGTATGCCCCCCGACTCATTCACCATTCATCTTGAAGCTGGATCTGAACAGTCCGTCCGATTATGGAACATGGTTGAGGGAGCTGCCACCATGATGGTAGCCTTCCTTCAGTATCTCCAGGACCTTTAAACCAGGTGTGTTTTGCGTATGGACTTCTGGGTAACCCCTATGGAAGAATTTGGTGCCTCGAGAAGTCATTTTCACCACTCGTCAGACATATCGTGGCACGCAAATCCCTTATCAGATTGCAAGGATCCTGTGGTGGACCCTGGGATGCGTCGACCATGATAGAGAAGTGCTGCAAGTGGACTCTAAAAGACTAGACCCTAGCTTTCGATCCTTTTTTTGGGTACCTCGAAAAGTACTACTAAGGCCTAATTGATCGCCTAGAATGAAGCTGTCTCAGGTGGCTTGGAATATATTCTGCCTTCTCTATCTAATGCATACTGGTCAAGTTTGAGTGTTATGCTAAAAACGGTCTATTTGTAGCGTAAATTTCAGAGTTTTAATTGCTATCTGATGGTCTCTCTATCTGTGGACCCTGACGTCTTTCCTTTGTTCTCCTAGCCTTCAGTACTTCTCAAAGTTCTCAAAGTCTCCTCAACGTACGCGTTCAATTTCTTCCGCCTAGGGTAGTCTAGCTCTCAACTATAGTTTCCTAACCAGCCCATTTTAATAAAAATAATATTTTAGTTACCTAATTTCTGCTTTTGCATTTAACTAAATACTAAACTTTTACTATTATTTTAGCGCTTATAGTCCGTACAGCCTAATTAGTTATTTTTTTATTATATTTTTAAACTGTTTAAAAAAAGCTATATATATCTAATTAGCTATAAACTTAGTTTAGCTAATTAGTTTTTTAAGTAATTAGTTAAAAACTTTTATTTTAGCTACTTTAGTAGGCTTAATACTTAGTATAGCTTTTAGTATATTATTAGTAAATAAGTATAAAAAAATAAAAGCTTTTTACTTATTATATAATTTTAATAAAAAAAGGCAAGTTGCATTATAGCTATATTTTTTTTTATTTTTATAAATTGCTAAATTTTTTTTATAATAAAATTATTAAAAAAAAGCTTTTGTAGTTTTAGCTAAAGCAAGTTTAAAAAATTAATACTAAAGTAAGCAAAAAAAAAAAGAATTTGTTGTACTATTATATATTAAAAATATAAAAAATAAAAAATAAAAATTATAAAATAAAGTAGCTTTATATAAGCTTTAAAAGCAAATAACTTTTTTTATATTTAAATTATTAAGCAGATACAATTAAAACTTGCATCAGACTTATTAGAGCAGAAAATTAATATATAGTACTATAAAAAAATAATAATAAAGTTTAAAACTATAGTTTGCAACTATTTTAATTTATTTTAAAAAAATTAATATAATTATAAATACTTCTGCATTTAAAGTACTTTTATAAAAACTAGCAATAGCTTAACTAGGGCGCAGGCGCTTTGAAAATCCTTTTAGCCTTCAGTACCGTTATCACTATCATCTTTGAGCCTGCGTGGTACCTGTGAACGCAGCCAAATTCAGCATTTCTGAAGTTCAACCAAATGGCTACCTTCATCGCTCATTGTGCAAACCACCATTTTCTTTTCTGCAGATTCAAGTACCTAAACCTCTCTGATGTCCCACGAATATCTCCGAACAATCGCAACAAGTCCATGAGAGCGCCCACTTGGATGCGTGCTTCGGTCATTTGAGGGCCCACAAACTAGGATCAGTGCCACCCACAGTGAAATCATGAGAGCGGAGTGAGAATATTAGATGACGGAAATCCAAGTGTCCGCCAGCGCTGACCAACGTCAGGTCACATCGAGGACAGAGCGAGAATTAACGTCTTGTGTTATATTCAATAGAAACGGTGTAGTCATGATGCGAATTGGTATTGTAGACATTTTCGAACGCATGCATTTTCGCCGAGGCCACCATTGCATGTACGCTTAATGCTCCAATATCAAGGATACTCATGGAGTAGCCGGTACACCACAAACACTCTCTCCTCGATCTGAATTGATGTCGACGTCTCTCAGGGAACTTCCTGAGGAATTGATAACAAACAGATCATCAAGGCTGTGTAGCCTCCGCGGCACGAAAAACGGGAGCGTTTCCACAGGTTCGACTATAGAACTTTTGTAGATGGCAGAGCCTTCAGGATGTAGCCCTGAGTTGCTCCGCAGTTGCTGACTCCCAGGCTCCGAAGTCAAGTGACGTACCCTGTCAGGGCCGCTTGAGCTCAGCGACTCAGGAGTGAGAGAGTTTTGCGAGTATATAGATTGTTGGCCATCACCAGGCTCCTCGGGCGAAGGAAGAATTGGCTGAGCTGTATATCGAGGTATGGAAGTGTCAGATGTCGTGTCCCAGTGCTCGTGATGAGCTTGGCTCGATCCTAACTGGACTCCGGGACTATGTTGCCGAGGAACGTACGCATCCCGCCATCCATCTTGCTGCGACATAGTCGAGTGGTGCATTGCCACGTCTCGGAGCAGGATGCCGTTGGTAATAATCCAGAGGATACTGCGACACGTCAGTGGAGCACCACACGCAGTTTGATCATACTCACACTTCAAATGCCGCCAGTACCGCGCTTGCAATTAGTGCTGCAGAGTACATTTTGGCTGAGGCAGTGATCCTTTTGTGGAGAGATGGGGCCCGTCTTGCGTACGTCGTGCACTGTGACTCTGCCTCAAATCCGTAGGCGCATCGAGGATGCTCCCATAAGTTTGCCAGGTACGCTAGAAGTCCCAGATCTACACTCCAAAAGACAAGCATCCATATTTGAAGCCCTAACGCTACGTGTACATTGTTGAGCTTCGGTAGAATGTATTGTGACGTGAGCAGATACGTGCAGACTAGAATGGTAGAAAGGACCTGGAATCATGAGTTACCGAGTGCAATCGATCAGGTGTACTTACAACGACCAACGAGTAGATCAAGACGCTGTACGCAACGTAGTGAATACAGTAGGCATCAAATCCTAGGACGATAATCGCTAGTAGCAATTGCGCGCAGCGCAGAAGCACCACCGGTAAACGTAGATAAGCCGGTCGCTCATTCTCAGTCTTGCTCATCTCGTTACCCCGATGTTGATGTTGTCGCCGACTGAGGTCTGTTAGAAATGATGCAAACGAAGGAATTGATACTGGTTGTAAGAGACAGAGACGTGTGCGGAAGTTGAGTGTTCTTGTAACAAGACGTTGTCTCATTCTCTTCGCCTTGACATGTACCACGCCACCAGCAGTATTCAGAGGGTCTCAGAAGAGTTGCCTCCGCACATCTCGCCCCGTTCATATCCTGTGCTGTGCGGGGCGCTGAAAGAGAGTAGTGAGACCTGAGATCTCAAGCTTCTAGCATTTCCTAGCGGTCAGGCTGTTGAGCATCAGACGCCAACAAGCTGCCGGCATACCTGCCATCGACTTCCCTGTCATCGGTCGTGAAGTGAGTAGGGTGTAGTCAATTCCTTGAATGGGGAGGCAAGTAGAACTGGAAAGATATAGCTAGCTGTTTGTATCGGCAAATGCTTTTTCTACTAGCGTCCGGTTGTAAGACCGTTTCTAGACCGCTCTGTCGTACGTCAAGTTGGCTAAGCTGAGACATGGTTTCGACACGCTAAATAGGCACCCAGAGTAGCATCTCTCTCGGGTACAGTGTGCGTATAGTGAGGTAAAGAGGGACTACTGGTGGTTTAAGATTTGATGATGCTCCGGAGAGCGCAAAGTATGTCACCCAATCAGGTTAGACTGAAACTTCTGGGTGACCTGTAAGCGGCAAAGTTGTTAAAGCATATGTTAAGGATGGCACCTACTTTTCCGAGCCACTGTTCGAGGGTCTCGGTGATCCTTCACGAAAAGGAGGTATCGACGCCGAAGGGGAGAAGACGGGGCAAGAGTATCTCACCGCCACGGCCACGCGAGCCATCATCTTCGAAGCCGACAACAAAGACTTGGGATTGGTGTGTTTCTTGGGTGTTGGCATGACGAAAGTCAGCACTTGCGATATAACGGTCAAGGAAGGCCAGTACGTCAAGAAGGGAGATGAGAGTGGCATGTTCCATTTCGGCGGAAGTACACATTGCGTGCTATTCAGGAAAGAGGTTGGCTTGGATGGATTCCCGAATACTGAGAATCCGGAAAACAATGTTCCTGTGCGGTCTCAACTGGCTGTAGTAAAGAAGAGTAACTGAAAAAGAGGCAAAACATACAACATACATAGTAATGAATCCTAGAATCTCTTTGTCTCCAGGCTTCATCAAAACTCTCATATATACAGCCCCATTTCACCCAACATACCGTCGAATATATACAAAGAATCTACCCGTCCAGCAACGATAGCACTCTCCTCACTTTCTCCCCCAACTTACACCGTGATAGTGTAATCCACCGAGTTCCCCTCCTCCCTAGGATAGAACTCAATCGTGAACCTCGTCGTCTTGCCCGCCGCTCTAATCGCATCTAGCACCGCAGCCTTGATAATAATATGACTCCCATCCCAATTCCACTGCCCATTGTACGTCATTCTTCCGCGCTGCAACTCAGGCAGGTTCTGCGTCCAGTCATCGACCAAGAAAGTACCGTCGCTCTTGACGGCTTTTACCGCGGCAGGCCGATTCTGGCCTGCCCATGTGATGGGTATGAGCAGGTCGGCTGACGTCGCGGGCAGCGCGGAGCTAGTTGAGCCGAGCACGGGCGTGGAGTATCGCAGTACGTTCACGAGGAGGTCAGTGCCCTTGTTGAATGACAGGGTGAGATTTGCGAGGGAGCCAGTGGGGGCAGTGGGTGTCAAGATTGTAGCGAGGAAGGAGGCGGAGAAGGTTATGGTCTCGCCTGCAACTTTGTAATCCTTGTCTTTTGTGAGGGCTTTGTTGGGGGCTGTGATCTTCTTGAGCGTGTTGCCGTTGAAGTGGAATGGTAGGATGGTATCATTGACATTGGTGCCCTTCTTGTGGTAGATATACGCTGAGCTTTGTTGCTTCGTTATGGAACCGTCGGTCGTGCTATCGGGCAGTGCGTTTGGAGTGCCTTTTACTGCGTTGCGATAGATGTCTAGTGCGACGGGGTCACGCCACTGGTGTGTTGCACGGTCTAGGAAATCTGCACCATTGTCCCACAAAATCGTTGCGGTGTTGTATTTTGCAGCAGTCCGGAGGAAAAAGTCAAAGTACCGCCAGCGTGCCGCCGTCTCGGTGGCCACGGGTGAAGCGGCCCACTCGCCGATAATGAGGGGAATATCTGTGAAGTTTCTGCGTACAGCAGCGATGTCGGCTTCTAAGCTTGCCTTGTCCGCTTCAGAGCCCCAGGTGGTCTTGCCCCAGGCTTGGAAGATGTAGTCATCTAAGGGGATGTCAGAACGTATAGAGTGAAACGAAGGCAGATTAGACTTACAGGGCGAATAGTAATGGTACTGGATCCCCCATGGGTTCTTAAACTTCGCGTCTGGCCTCTCAAACCACTGAGACGTCTTTACGGCATCCTCGCCTACACCAACAAGCGTGACAACTCTCTGCGGGTTATAACCTCCGGCATCGTTAATGGCCTGGAGAAAGATATTGTTCAGCCGATTGACAATCTTGCCATGTTCCGCGGTCGTTCCACGGATCTCGTTGATAGTTTCGAAAGCGACCTTTTCACTTTTGCAGGCGAGTTTGGTGCCTATCTGATACCACAACTTCGCTAGTCTCTCTTCAACCGCGGTAACGTTCGTGCTCGCTTGTGTCAAATCCGCCCATGTCCAACTATCATGATGCACATTTACAATCACATAAAGACCCCTATCCGTAATGAGATCGAGGACATCAGAAACCCTCTGAAGCCACTTCTCATCAACCTTCCACTCCGGACCCTGCGAATTAAAGTGGTACGCCCATGTGACGGGTAGACGGATGCCTTTGAACCCAGCTTTCTTGACGTCGTCAAACGTGCTGGCGACGACAGGTGGATTGTTCCAACTGCCTTCAGTCTCGACAGCATCTAGGGTGTTTCCAACATTCCAACCGGGATTGATCTCGGCAAAGAATTTGGATGCAGGGATGGCGGAGAACTTGGAGGTTGAAGGACATGTGACGCGAGTGCCGTTGGTTGCTATTGACTGTTAGAGTCTTCGGAAAGGAATTCGGGGCTTTGGACGTACACTGAGCGAGAGCAAATGCACCGTTGAGCAGCAGCGCTGCGCTAGAGTAGGACACCCTCATTATTGATCCTAGAGGTCTTCTTAACTGACACAGGAGGTCTGAGAAGCTGTAGACTTATGAGAAGATATACTTTAGTGAACCGCAAGAATGATGCAAGTGCTTCATCACCTCGGTATTATAAAGGACCAAAAAGCTATGCGATTCGGTCCTTGTTAGTTACCTTGTGATTAAATCCATAGATGAAGTGGCACCCTAAGAAAGTACTAAATTAGACTAGTTCAAAGGGTGGTGCATTCATGTTCTTTGCTTATATTAGTGTAACTGCCTTCTTACCCGGTTTTCGAGGGCGGAAGAAGCACGGAAGGTTTCCAGAACAATGGCCCACCATCATTAGTTACGTGATTGGTCAACTGCAAGTTTTGTTTCCCTGCCGTCGGATCTATATTGCATACCCCGGATATAGTTTCATATGCAGGTCCCGACGGGCCTAACCTCCAAATTAGCCAGATTGACGTTAATTTTCCACCAAGGACCTCGTCAGCCATCTGAAGACGTTGAATGTAAAATGGTTCTGCGATTTTACAGTCAGTCGACTGGCTTGAATAGGAAATCGACCATGTACCCAGGGAAGCAACCGAATTGACGCCGAGATCATGCGTTACAAGGTTTACAGTGTCATGTACACAGACTATAACAAAACACAAGAACATTGCAAAGGTTCTACACATAGAAAGAGGAGCTGGAAAATGCTTGCCTGCTCCAGGCAGTTGACACCGCAACACCGTCCCGAATATGCAGGATTAGAGGGGTTGGTTAACAGACAAATTGCTAGGAAAACAAGAGTGGGAAAAGTTTTCGATTCCTAAATGATGACTTTGCCTCCCCTAGAACGCCAAGGGTAATAAAAAAATAGAAGCGAGGAATAGGTCCATTTCGCAGGTCCTGGGTCAAAATAAAGGATGTTAGATCCACGAAGCTGGACTATCGCGAGGCCAGCGTAGTCCTAAGGTTGCAAACTTCGCCAGTATCAACTAGGTCAATAGCGGGGATCCCCATACACTGGAATTGTTCGTGGCATTGTTGTAAGCCCAGTTCAATTCGCGTGACTGATCGAAATCTGGCGGATTTTGTGGCAGATTATCACTCCGGCCGTGGTCGCTTGGCACCATGGGGATTCTGCCAGCTGCCATCGTTACCGCCCTGATTCCCTTGAAAGAACGCCGGGTTAAACTGCTGTGGATTGCCACCGAAGCCACCCCCTATATGATATGTTAGCATTTGCCCAAACGAATTCAACGCCGAAAACATGTGGGTCAAGTCACCGGTAGTAAGAAAAGCCCTCGACGTACCCATTCCTCCCATCATTCCCATGTTGCCGCCCATACCCATCATATTGCCTCCCATTGCCATCATATTGCCACTCATAGGTAAGTTCATACCACCCATCGGATTGCCGCCCATCGTGTTCATGCCCATGTTGCCACCACGTCCGCCGCGATTGTTCATGCCGCCGCGCATGTTATTGCCCATCATGCCACCGCGATTGAAGCCGCCACCAAAGTTGTTCATGCCGCCCATGGGGTTGCCAAAGGTATTAATGGGCGCTTGCCCACCATAGCCTCCCATGTTGTTATTACCACCCATGTTTCCACCCGCGGGACCTGAGAAGTTGCGGTTGTTCTGGAAACCTACGTTGCCACCTCTATTATTGTTGAAGTTGCCCCGGCCATTGTAGGATCGGTTGAAGTTGCCGCCACCTTGGTTGCCATAACTTCCTGCTGTAGCGCGATCATTTCGCCCACCCTTCTCCCGCTGAGGAACGTCCTTTGGCAACGTTTTAAATGGGTTGTGATGTGGAGGATTGAAAATAGCGGTCGGCTTCTTGGTGTGGGCTTGGTCTTTGAATAGGTTGTCTATTTGGTGCTTCAGGGATGTGGCAGCTTGCGGTGATTGTAGCTGAATGTAGACTTGTCTACGAAGTAGAGTTAGCAAAAATGCTGCTTCCAAAGACGGTTTCATTGCCTACCCTTTGCTCTTGCCATTAACCTTATGCTCATTGAAGGTGACCTCATTCAGCTCATCCTCGCAGCCACTTTGATTCGCCCACCCACGGATGTCTTCCTCGCTAATCCACCAGTTGACATCATTAATCATTAGCGCTGCTGTAGCACCAGGGTCAGTGGGGCGGTCATCGTCTTGGCCTTGCTTGCGTTTCGTGCCTTGTTGTTGAGGAGCTTGTTTGTGAACGTCTAGGTTACCTGCCGAGCCGCCTGTGCTTGCAATCTGCTGGGTGCTGCTCTCATGATGCGCGTTGCCGTTTGTTGTGTCACCCGAGGTCTCCTGTTTCATCGCTTGGTCACCGCCTTCGGACTTGGTTTGCCCAGTTGAGGCATTCGACTCGCCGGTATTCGCATCTGTATTCGGTGCATTGGCATCAGTCAGGTTTGTATCTTGCTGTGCGCCGGATTCTTGATAGGTGTCGTCGCCATAGATGTCGATGTCGAAGTTGTCGTCGTCGGCCATGTTTGCTGTGGTTTGTTAAGTGGACTGCAGTAAGCGGTGAGATAAATTCCAGGACTCTTGCTTTGATTGGCTTGTAGATACTTGAAATGGCGGTATCAATGGCCAAAGTACATGCAACTCTGTATGCAAGATACAAATCAGCGAAATATAAGACAAAAATGTAGAGTTCTAGAGAAGATTCCGCGTGTAGCCCAATTGCGATGCAACAGCGATGGATGAAACAGACGCAGCGTAGAGTGAGGCAATACGTACAGTGCCGCTGTCGAGGCGTGGTGACAAGGGACAGTTTAGACGCGAGATATGACAGTCCGATCGCCTCTGGCAGATGCGGTTGTGTAGAAGGTACAGGATGTGCGTGTGAGAAATGTGATGTGTAGCCTCAGCCTGAACTCTTGCGCGTGCCTGGACCTCGCCAGCAGCTCCCAGTACAGATTTGCGCAAAGCGTGATTGTGGGATACAAGTTCCTAGCGAAATGATATGGCGCAATACCATGCGCTACCAGCAATGAGAGCAGAAGGAACAGTAGGAGGATGCGCTCCAATGTGGAAGCCAAACACGTCCTTGCAGCGCGCGCGATCCCCTTTTGGCGCGTCGGTGCGATGCGAACAGCGCGGACAGCTGCGAAAGCTTATCGTAGTCGGGTCTGCAACTGAAGTGAGTAGAGTATCTCGGCTCTGCAACAAACCTCGAGGAAGATTGCGGTAAGACTGGATCTGTGGGAGAATTGGTGAAGTCGAACAAGGTGACGACGGCCCTGCAAGGAGCTGGCATGCCCTTAGCGTACTTGGCGGTCACTAACCCCTGTCGGCTTTCTCCGCAAGGCCAGATTGCTCTCCTCTCCGTATTCTTTGGACAGCTGCCCTGACCTCAATTGATATTGCGATTCTCTCGACACCACCACCAAATCACCTCTATTCCCCCGAGCACACTTTAGTCGCCATGGAGAACGTCAAGGAGTTTGCCGAGTACGCAGAAACCAGCGCCACACGATGAGCAACTTGATGGGCTAACTTGTCGCACAGTATGCCCGCCGAGTTCCTCAGGGAGGGCACTCTATTCATGAATCGCTGCACCAGTACGACTCCCGCGACGCGTCCTATGACAATAGATGCTAACGTCATATCAGAGCCTGACAAGAAGGAGTTCATCAGGATCTCGCAAGCAGTAGGAATCGGATTCTTGATCATGGGTCCGTAAACTGATGCGTATACATTGACGTGATTGCAAAGGTTGACCAAATTGCTAGGTGTCATCGGCTACATCGTCAAGCTCGTCCACATTCCCGTAAACAACATCCTCGTCGGAGGCTCATAGCCAACCAACACCAATCATCTTCGATTTTGCGATCTCCGACCGTTTAACGGTTCCCTTCCATCATACCATCTTGTATTGCGCTCGAGGAGGGTTTAGGGGGCAATTGGCGCCGAAAACTTCACATAGACGGCATGGCAAATCCGAAATGGCTGTACAATACGGACATTGGGTCAGCGGGAGTTTGATTATATCCAATTTGAAAGCCTGCGCAATCTTCACGTCGCGCTTGTCCAACAAATCCCCATTCGATTGAATATACTCAGAGTTAACGTGCACCAAAACACCAGCTTTGCGCCAAAGCGCTTGTGGCCACCCACGCTTCCCAAAAAGGCCGCATCAGATGCCCGTATGCGCCGCCAAACGAGAAATGGCAATCCAAAACCTCTTCTATATCTACTCATCCATCGGGAACCTGTATCTGTCATCAAATTATGCACATTCAATCATTATCCATCCAGTCATCGTACCACATAGGCTGTCGTCTCGACCTGCCTTCGGCACTTCTGTACAGTCGTTCATCGTGTTGCAACTGCGCGTTGACTCTCCGCCCAACTTGAGGTTCTGCTTCATCTTCTTCCACGCCGTCATTCCATGTATGGACAGTGCATGTTCCCTGTGAAGTACCCCATCCATTCCACGATGTAGCTGGCTCATGTTAATGTGTGCTCTAAAGGATCAAGGGCCCGCGCACTAAGAAAACTTACCGGCAATCATCGGCGCATGTGGATGCCAACTCGCATCTCTGACACATGTCATCCAGCGTCCTCCATTTCTTCCCCAGTAATCATACGTCTCAGCTAGCAGATCAGGATCCCGTGGTCGAGAATTTTTAGTTGCTTTCAGGACGTTGACTTTGCCGGCTAGGGTTGCGTCCAGATTCCAGATGTATACGGAACCGTCGTAGCTGCCTGAATAGACATATCGTGAATCTGTACTACCGGGTGGCGAAAAGTGACATCGGATCAGTGTCTTGAGAACCTTGTGACCACGGAAGGTTACAAGGGAACAATCATGTGGATGAGGCCGGTAAAGAGTGTCGTCGTAAGCATTGGACCGATATTCGAAACGCGTCGTGTAAGCATTAGGATCAATCTGGTCAGCCTTTTCCTTAGACATCATCTTCCTCAGATCCCATAGCTTCGCAGTCTGATCCTTGCCGTTGCTAAGCACATACCGACCGTCTCCTTTGCTATCGACATAGGTCAAGCCCTCAGTGTGGCCGAGGAAAACACCCGCTTCGCGGCCGTCACCCATGCTTCGTCGGTCCCAGACTTTGAGCGTTGTGTCATCGGAGCCAGAGTATAATATGTGTGGCGATTGTGAGTCACCAAAGCAAACTGCATTCACATCATCATCGTGACCCCGTATACGCAAGACCGACTGTTGCCGCTCAATATCGTAGACGTAGACGGAATTGTCGCCCGTACCAGCTACAATTTCTCGACCATCACCTGAGAATCGTATCGACCAAATCTAATTACTTTAGTCTTTTGAGCGAGGCAAAGGCAGGGAAAGCTTACGCCAAAGTTAGTGTGAAAGCCTCGGGCATTAGAGCCACCTATATTAGCGAAGTCAAGGAGATTCGGTTCTGCCTCATTATCTGGATCGGTAGGTGCTAGACACACAACACTCCTTATCGAGCTGTATGCTAAGAATCGGTTGTCTGGGCTCAAAGACGCATCTGTGATTGTCCACTGTCCATAGGGGTACACCACAGACTAGAACACGTCAACTTGGTCAATGGTTCAGTACGAGAGTTTGAAACCGACCTTGTAGTACTTCCAGTCGTATGGGTTGGAGGTATCGTACATTCGCACCCGGAAGTCCTGCGCACACGAGAAGAAGAAATTGCCATCGTCCGAGAATTGCCCTGAATAACATCGCGCATTGTAGTGTATGATGGTATCGGCGACAGACTCTGGTATCATGTCTTGCTTCAACAGCCTGTTGGCATTTTTCTGACGTCCGTCGCTGCCTAGGCCCAGCTCTCTCCGCATGATATCGTATGCTAGCCTCTTCTTCCGGTTGATTGTGTCTTCCTTCCGTGGATTGGATCCAAAGTTGCCGGCATTCATGAGCGCCCTACCCTGCTCGCTGGGTACCTTCTCGAATGTCACTCTACCTCGCGGACGCTGCGTTCTTCCAGAAGTCCTCCGAGGCCCAGTGGGATCATGTCCTGTGCTAGGGTCGCTTTCCCCTTCCTCCTCGTCCTCGTCTTCCTCTACGCGAGCTCGTCGTCGCGCAGATCGTGGTGTAAAGTCAGATGTGAAAATCCGGCCAAGTCCCGCATGCCCGAGTAGTTGCATGATCTGTTCGCGAGTGATGTATACCGGCCGCTGAGGATTCGAGGATTCGCCCTCTTCAGCTTCATCGTCATCTTCATCGTCCTCGTCCTCATCCTCGTCTTCGCCGTTGTCGTCAGTGTACTCGAAGGCGATCTCGACCCCGCTGAGGTTACCCAGTCGTTCGGCAGCATCTAAGCTCAATGTTAGCTTTGAAACACCACTTTCTTGCCTCTTGAATAGTACTTACCATGAAAGCTAACATCGCCTTCCTCGTCTTCATCCTCATCGCTGCCACCTTCTGCTGGCAGATAGTCCATGTCGTCATCGTCATCCTCGGTATCTCGCCAGAACGGGTCATTCGAATCGTATACGATGGTTCTTGGACCTTCACCGTCGCTAGGCGGGCTAGTCGGTACATGCGACGAACTCATAGCTGCAATCCTTGAAATCTAGGCGAGGTTGCAGCTCGCAACAGGTGCGACGAGGCATCATGATAGTAGTTGACATGGAAGCTATGGCGACAGCGAGCCAATCGGCAGCCCCACTTCAACGGAAGCAGAGAAGAGCGTTAACTCCGTTTGCTCCTGCCACCCCATGTTTGCCCTTTTTAATCATGTAACTATCAAGATCTCAAGTTGGTATAATGATGTCTCTAATTTAAAATCTATATATTAGACTCTAGTGATACTTAGTTCCATCATGGCCAGAGTCCGGGTGTATGAGGCTTAGTTATTCTCAAGTTTGCAGCGCATCATCTGGTCGTTCACAGCATACTAAGGGGAAAGATGCCCTGAAGACAATTATACCGGATAACATCATTAGGTATCTTGCAAACTTCTACGGCAACGCCCAAGCCCGCACTCACTGCTCATGTGTCCCAACAAACCGAGGAGGAAGGTCTAAATCCCACGAAGGCCGTTCCACAAGGACCACCTCAGGCGCATGATGACTGTCATCGCTGCTTATCGGGAGGATGCCTAGTATTGGGCGGTATTTGAAAGTGTGCCACCATGGATCGTTATGTTTCCGCTGATCGACTACTTCACCAACCTCTCCTCCACCCGTCATATCTTCAAATGTGCCGTTGGGCAGAAGTTCATTGTCTTGCGTAACAGTCCGTCTGAGATTCGCCAGTGGTTGACTACTCTCTTCCACGTCGTCATCGTCGTCTTCTTGAGCCGTCCTACCGTTGGTAGCATTCACGTCGACCCAATTCGTCTTACTAGATTGGGTTTCCTTAGCCCCTTGGAATTTCCGCATCTTGGTAACCGATACTTCTTTCTGGGTCATCGCGGCACCGGCGCCGCTATGGTCTTTAGCTGCCTCTCGTTTCCGCTTCTTTGAAAGGCCGGATTTACTAGAGTCCGAGATCGGGAAGTCCTTGGTGAGGTCGAACATGAACAGCCACTTCTCCCCATACAGCCATATTCGCTGTTCTGTGTCTTGAATGTCCCAAATACAGCCTTTTGCTGGAAGATCAAGCTGTTGATATTCGTGAGGGTAGCTCGAGAGTGGGTTCCTTCTTGTCCATTCTGACAGTCGACCAGCCATGACCTCGAAGAGGTATAACTGATGCTCTGCAGATACGACCAGTAACCGGTAATCTGTAGTAGGCAATTCGCGCGAGTGAGGGTGCGGGTTCTGCCTTGTGGGGTGGACAGCCGGGTTGCCATTCGGTTGCGGTCGATCCAACTCGTCGTCTGAGCTCGGTTGGAACGAGAGTAAGACAGGTGTGGAGTCGAGGCGTGGGAGCAGGTGGCTAGAAGGATTACGTATCCAGCGCTGTCCCAAGAAGGTTATTTGTTCCTTTGTCTCATCTTCATCATCGTGGGAGTCCTCTTCCTCATCATCAGCCGGGGCTGTATCATCAATGTCTACCTCTGGCGCAGTCGAGTCCTCATGTCCTTCAATGACCCAAGTATCAATGTAACCAGCGAGATCAACAACGGCAAGAAGATTGCCGTCCGTGGAGAAGTCGACATGTGTGATGGAGCGTTCATATGGCCCCGACGGTCCATTGAGTGAGTTCTGCGGAAGATTATCACGATGAAGACGGAGGAGATGCTGCAGCGTGTCCAATGCGCGAGGTGAATCGGCTGGGTCATCCGTCTTCACGATCCTGACCAACTGGATGTCGTTTGTTGCGGTGACTACTACGAGCCATTTGCCGTTTGCCTCCAGCTTCACAGTTCTTGCAGCGGCAATGGAAGGCAAATCCAATTTCCTTATGCGGAGTCCTGCGCTAGCTCCTAGCTGCGGACGTACGATTTGGAACAGCTTCACCTCGCTGATGGTCGCAACTGCAAGGAGCCCACCGTCTCGGCTGATAGAAACCGATGTTATGTTTTCCTCGCCCTCGAGTGCTAGGCGTGCAACCACCTTTGGCTTCTCCGTACCATCAACCTGGGGCTTGACTCGCCATATGCGCACTTCTGTGTTCCACCAGCTGACCAGAAGTCGGGCATCCGGAGCACTCACGAGGGGTGGGGTAGGGGGCAAAGCTGGAAGACCACGGCTTACCTCTCTACCAAACGCGCGGATGGGGACAACGATGGGCTGTGTATCGATGCCTAACCAGGAACTGTCAGCGAAAGTATGTTGTTTTGAAGTGGCAAATGTTACCTCCCGAGACCATCACGCTCAGCTTGTTGCCCTCATATGTCGCCATAGCCTTGACATCGTGCTCGTGGTACCTCTTATGAGACATCTTACGCCATTTTCCACTCTGCCCCTGGGCAACGCCCTTCTTGCTGGTGTAGAAGCACGTACGGCGGTCCATGCCCGCACTAAAGATGCTCGACCCATCTTGAGAGACTGCAAGGTCAAGCACGTCGGCCTCGTGCCCCGAAATTCTCTGTGTCTGACTAAAAGTCTTGCCATTGTAGATCCTGATGTCGCCGGTAGAGTCCCCAGACACAAAGTCGCCATCCGGGAGGCATTTGACTTTCCATACTAAGATCTCTTTCGGCCCACTATGAGGGCCACTTCCCAGGGAAATGTTCCTTATGACGTTTCCGTTTCTTGTATCAAACACACGAATGGTACTGTCCGCAAAGCCGGCCAAGACGACGTCGTTGTCCTTGTATGTGATACTGAGAGCACGGGCTTTCTTGTTCGTTGCGCGAGAAACGAATCGCTCAAAAGTGAGCTCGTTGTCTTCTGTAGAAAGCAAGACGAGGGTACCGTCTGCGCAGCCGGCGACGAGCTTTTGGTGCGCATAGCTGTCTGCCTTTCCTCTTCCTGGTGTCTTAGCGCCCATCCTGGGCTGTGCGGCAAAACACCACACTTCGCTGTGATTGCCATTCGAATGTCGCGCGGGAAGACCAGTTGCCAAATCCCATTCAGTGACGCTACTCGAGTAGCCAATGCTGAACAGCCGCAGCCGACCTGATATGGTCTTGTTGTGCGCGTCCTTGAAATCCGGTTCTTGTGTCCATGCCAGCCCTTCAACGCTTCGGTCTTTGCCGCCGTAGAAAACCTTCTCTTGCAGCCAAGCCCCGTTGGCCGGGTTCCATATCTCAACGTTGCCGTTTGCACGTCCGATGGCAAGTCTCAAGGACTCGGGCTCATGACTCCCATGCTCGGCTTTGGTGTGTGAAAACGCGAGCGCGTTGATCGCGGACGAAGTGTAGGGCACGAACCGGGATCGGTGAATGTCCATGATGATGGCTTAGGTCGGGACTGTCCGAGGGCGCAAAGTAACTTGTATGCTGAGCGCAGAACTATGAGCCAGCGCTAACGAGAAGACAATACGTTCATCGCGGTAACCAATGTCGTATGTCGAGGCATGAGAACTCGAACTTTTGGCTTGGCATGAACTTTTTCGATGGGTCCTTTCGGAGACTGGTCAACGTTTCTCCGACGTCTTTGACTTCTGCTTTCACTCTTGCGCTAGTCGTCTTTCACTCCACAGCTAGTTTAACAGGTTCTATATCTCGAGATGTCTCCGAGAATATAGTTGAGCGCTCTACAGTACTGATCAATACATGACAGATCTTATCTATCTTTCGTCTGCCCAACAAACACGTTTCCACACTCGTCTACGCTTCGACCGAAACAGTCTGTCTACATTGCCTCGACGGCTGCCCAATGCGTCTCGTACAATAATCTACATACTTCGTCTTGTTCATGGGCTAGTGGTAGAGTGTAGTTGCACCGGACGTTGTTCAGCTATGTACGATATACGTGTCAGAAGGACATGAAGGCTGAGAACATGGCAATTCCAGCTTATCGGCATTGAGATGTGCGACAGTGCATTGCTACGCTCAATTACTGTAATCGTCGGAGCAGTGCTGTCACCAAGCATCATGTACAACATGTCTACGCAATTGACGTCTTTCCAGGCTTAGGGACATGTGAGTTTCGCCACTATGTTATGCCTTGTGTGGATGTGAACATGACCTCTCCTGCGACTAAAGCATGCACCGTATGAAACAATTTGATGTACAACATGTCACTCGAGGGTCTATCTTTGATGGAGATGACTTGATGAATATTCTGCGAGCCAGGTAAGCTCGCCCTACCTGGCGTGGATGTGCAATGATGAAACTTTCTGCGGTACGCGGATGCTCAAGGGCTTCGTGTCGCTTACGACAACCTCGTGACGCTGTCGCAATGAAGCATTGATGGAGCCTTCACAAGACAAGAGCTTGGACCGTCGGGCGGGGTATGTGTTCCAATTAAGCGTCGCTGTGTCAGCCTCGACATTGGTGAAACGGTGGCATTCAAAAAGGCCAGACTGCAGCACTAGTGAAGGTTTGCTCCTCGCTTTGGATGTGGAGGAAGCGTGTTTCGTTGAATATTGAAAGCGAGCAGCCATGACCGAGACGGTTGAAAAAGTTTGCTCAACGGTGGTGCAAGTGTGCACAGATCTCTGACGGTAATGCAGTGTCCAGCAAGCGATGGAGCTGAAGGTTAGGGATCCCTACTACAGGGTTCTGGTGCATCTTGGTTGCTGTGGCAAGGTAATTGACGTCTTGTCATACCGGCGTTTCCGCCTCCCAGAAGATCCGCACCGTTGTCAGAAAGAGAGAAAATTTGATGAAAGCAAGGTAGTCATATGCAAGTGGCTCCACAGGCAGCACGCGACATGCTCGTCTGTGGGCTCGGCGTGGGCACGGAGAGGAATCAGAAATAGCCCAGCGTCCGTAAAGTTTCGTCACGCGTGTGTTGGCGGCTCAAGCACTTCAAGTCGCGTTTGTTCGCGTCTGAGAAGTCCGCTTTGGATCCTGACGTGATGGGCTGCAGTGGTGGCTGGACACGGATGCCGGCTGCTGCTTAGCTGCAGCAACCGTGTGAAGCGGGATGGCTAATCATGGAAAAACGAATTACATACAAGAGCGCGGCGTTGGGCAGGGCTTGGTTTTTCTGGCGCTCAGATGTGAATTTAGTTAAACGCGAAAGGTACGCTAATTATTCAAGACGGCCGTCGGCTTGGTAGTAAATGATGAATTGAGGGCCAACCCAGCCGCTCGCAATCTTCGCAGCCGGATCCAACCGAATCGGCAATTGCCAATTGCCAATTGCTTATTAACTTATTTTAACTGCTGATGTGCATGTACGTGACGGACAAGGCAGGACGCGTCGAGCTGAGGTGCGCCTGAAGCCGCAACCGGCACGGGATGCTTCCTTACTCGATATCATGTTGGGCATGCATGAGAAGACCAATATGCTCTTCACTCTCACTGCGTCAGATAAATCCGCTGCCTCTTGTTGCATCGTCAAAGCGCCGTCACAGATGATGCGTTTTGCATGCGGCGGAACAAGGCCCTCCTCAGAGACGACCGGGACCCAAAGCGCGCCAACCCCGCAAATGGCAGTAGTTTCAGCAAGGGAAGGTCGTTACTCTCCAAAAGTCTGCAGCGGGAGCCCTTTGCCACCCGACCACTTACCCCCCACGGTAGCAGAATTGGCAATTTTAGGGGCAACGGCAGCGAGACGCGCTCAATTGCTGTGCTGCAAATATTGGACGCGTGTGTTCACAGTCGAAAATGGCAGGCGATGCAGCACGGTATGAGGCTTCTGGAAGCGCATCGTAACCAGTGCAGTGCAGTGCAGCAGCCATGGCAGAGCATCACCATCACGATACGATGAATCCAAACTTCAAAGGTTCGGGCCCAAGGTTCCAGCAGGGGAGGCGTCTGTGGTACGCCGGCTACAAGCGCTGGTACCGATGTTACCCAAGTCTCCTTTAAAGTACTCCACCATGCGGAAAAACGTGAGCGAGCCGTGGGGCGGTCCAAGTCATTGTTGGTGTAATCGCCATGTCTGTCTCTGGACTTGGGCAAGACGCATTATTTCCGTCGACGACGCGAGACCAGGATTTGCCGTGTGGAATCGGCACAAGGAAGGGAAAAGGAGCGCTACAATAATAAGGGGCTCTCGTCCATTATCAATTATGACGAGATTTCGTGTCGATTCAGGAGCTGCATTGCTCCGCCGGGCGCAGGCTAACCTCAGTCGCCCCTCCAGCATATGCCAGGGGAACCACGGGCAATGGAGCAAGCATGCATGCATGCATGGCTGGGGGGTTGGTGGTCAGTCAGCGAGCCGTCGGCCACAGTGCCATTTGCAGGTCTTGGCCGTGTTCAAAGCAAGCTGTTCTGAGCGCGCAGGCGAGGGACAGATTGGACAGCAGTGTTACGCTCGTCCTGCACGCCTTGTGTAGCTGCATGCGTTGGCCCCCAGGCTGACCGGGACACGCTCCTGGGCTCTGATTCGAGCGGGGAGGGGGAGGCTGGCGATGAGCAGCGCGCTGCCCAGCCGTACAACAACTTAGTAGAGTTGCCCAAGCACGTCGTCCAAAGACGGCCGCGTCGAGAGCAGCAAGCGCAGCAGCGAGTATATTTGTGCGAGGCGGGTGGGCACACAGTCCCACGCCCGAGGCTTGCACGGAGAGTGGATGCCAGTGCGTGTGCCACTGCAGCCGGGAGGCGCGACAGCGCGCGAGAGCTTGGATAGTCGTAGTCGTCGTCGTCGTCGTCGTGGCCGTGGTCGTGGTCGTTGCGGTAGATACGGGACCAGGACGCGTGAATATGGAAGCGTGTTCCTGGTCTGCGAATTGCCAGCTGCAACACGGCCGAGCCTATCGAACCGTCGTCCGCCCGTGTAGTGCGGCGTCCATGGCGCAACTGTTCCTTGCTGTAAGCTGGCCGCCCGTCCAACCAGGCTTAGCGCTTTCGCTCCACTCAGCCTGCTAAGAGATGCTGGCCATTCGTTTTCTCAAACTCAGGCCCGTCTGAACATTGTCCTTCCTACTTCACCTCCTCTCCTTTCACCCTTCTCTTTACACTTCCTCCTCACTCACTACGGTCGAGCACGGAGTCTTGGATCTGATGCGGTGCTGACTCTTTCGGCCCTATCTTTCCATAAAACTCCCCCCCCCTCTCCTGCTCTCGGTGTCCCCAAACCCGACCGCTCTCCTCGAATAGGCCCGTCAAGCGTATCAGACCCCTTCTGTACCTTTGAGCCTCATTCACCCCGCCTACCTCCTCCGCCTCCTCTTCCTCCGAACCACCTCTCGCTGGACGCAGAGATTGCTGAGAACAAGCTCTCGCTACACTCGTCCATTGCCCCCAAATACAGCCGTCTGCCTCGACTCTCTGTCCGGTCAGCCTCGTGCGTGTAACTGTACTGTGTGGACTTTGTGTGCCCTCTGTTGAATTGTCCTTGGTATGTCCAGCATCGTGCTCTGTTTCTTACCCTGAGACCCTTTTCTTCTGCCTGTCACTGGGACCAACCTCAGGACGATCCATTCCCACCTATGCGGGTCTCCACCACCAAGGTCCGGGTCACCGCCTGCCAGGAGATTGCCAGCCGTGCCGGAGCGTATACTATACTATTGTAGCAGCGTCGGAGACATGGCCGACAAGGGCAGAAATAACAAGACTGGGAGGAATCTTGGAAGCACAGCTGTCTGTCCACTGGCAAATGCAGGGTTCGAGTCAAGGGGGTCCATAGGGTGCATGCCACACGATTGGATTGCACTTTCCTTCTACGTCGACCAGAACTGTCTCGCCAAACGCCCTAGATCTCGCTTCACTCGAAATTGCATGCCACAACCACGTCGCCCACCACCTCACCCACCTCGAATGAGCTACACATGATGGCAACGGAGCACTGCAAGCCAACGGAGCACTTGCGCGCCCGCTACAAGCCGCCCTCTAGAGAATTGACGAGACCACCCACATGCGGAAGCTTCTCGTTCATGGGCATCATGGTGATGGTGCATCCCAACAATCCCATGGACTTGCTGCGCAATTCCACGATTATCTTTTTGCGCCTTCGTCGTCTCTAAACGGAGCCTGCCGCCCCCCCATTCCAATAGTTGTACCTAGACTTCTATCATTTCGACTAGCCGGCTAGATAGATCTGGATTGTGCTCCCTTCCTTCACTCAGCGGGCCTTAATTCGTTTCAGGAGCACCTACTGACTACGTTACTCACTTAGGAACCACCACAACCGGCTATACCCTACCTCTGTCTTCTGCGCCCTCGGTGCCTGAATACGTCGTTGATTGTAAGCCTTCACCATCATCGCACTTCATGTCGCTCCATCCTAATCCTTGCTTAGCTTAGCTCGTGGTTGCCAGCACTGGAATTCTCACATTCCAGCTCTTGGCGATTCACCTCCTCCCCAATTGGCGGACTCGTTAGCTCGTGCTCTGCCTAAACGACCTCCCTTTTCACAGCGGTACAGTACCTGCTGCGCAATACGAAATCGCGCTCGATTCCACCCCGCTTCTGGATGCAATTAGCAAGGGGTCCGACTTCCTCGACATCTCCCCGTCTCTTTCGCGTTTCTGTACACCTCATTCGCTCCCTAACGTAATACTCTAATTCTTCAAAGGTATGGCACCTCTATCCTAGCCTTGCATGACACAAGGTCGGATTCCCTCAGGGTGTAGGCTAACGCAATCTGTTCCAGGCTCTCTACGCTATATCATATTCCCACCTCTCAAGCATTCGGGAATCACGGACCGGAGACCTTCTTTTCATACCAAACTAATCACACTCTTTCTTCTTGTTGCCTTTGAGGCTGCCACTCTCTAATACGGTTCCATCACGAGCCATCCACTCACTTGAGCCCGAGCGTATCATCGATCGGCATTGACCACGTCTATCCCGGAGAATCGACGTCCACTCTTTCAATAAGCAACAACCACACCACACAATATGGAGTACCAAGCACAATCCCGCTACGGACACTGCGAGTCATACTTTGTCGAGGCGCACGATGACGGCATCTATGCTATGCGAGCCGAAGCTAGGGAGCGCCAGCGGGCAATTGCCAGGATGCAGCAGCGAGCCCTTGGCGAGGAGCTGTCGAGGCTGACTGCTGATGAATATCAAGAGGATATCATGGAACACATGATACACATGGAGGTTGGTGTCCACTGATATGTTGGGCAAGACGCTGTGCTAACGTAGTGCCAGTCACAAACCCTGCCTGACGTCAATTCAATTGACATCCAGACAGAGATCCAGTGGTTCATGCGCCCTTACCTTCTTGACTTTTTGGTCGAAGCCCACGCCGCCTTCCAGCTACTTCCAGAGACACTATTCCTCGCTGTCAATCTTCTTGACCGCTACTGCTCTCGTCGCGTAGTCTACAAGCGTCATTACCAACTGGTCGGCTGCGCGGCCCTCCTCATTGCTGCCAAGTACGGTGACAAGAAGGATCGTGTACCTACTGTACGGGAACTCAAGTCTATGTGCTGCTCCCTCTACGACGACGAAATGTTTACCCAAATGGAGTGGCACGTTCTCCAAACCCTCAACTGGGTCATCGGACACACTACCGTGGATGCTTTCCTCCAAATCGCCCTTGCAGAGGCCCCGTATGATGCTGAAGTGGAGCACATGACCTTGTACATTGCTGAGATTGCCCTTTTTCAAAAGGAATTCGTTTCCACCCGACCATCAGTCCTTGCAAGATCCGCACTCGCTCTGGCGAGATGTGTTCTATCCCGACCGCAAGCACGGACTTCTGAATGGGCCGGTGCTTACGATCCGCAGACGGTAATCGGGCTATCCAACCACTTGTATCAGCCGTCTCCTGTATTGTCTCGCAAGTATGCGTCGCTACATCTCTCGAATGTGTCTGCTATTGTTGATGAGTTCCTGCAACGACAAGCGCAGATTGCCCGACGACAAGCTGCTCCACCTACACCGCCACCAACAGTTACTTTGGAAGCGCCACAGCCTGTATCAGAAGCGTATGGACCTCAAACGCCCCAGAAGAACCCTTATGGGGCTGCTATGGTGCAAAATGGATGCCTCACACCACCCATCACACCTGAGAGCGAACAATTCGGACACGCCAATGTTGTCAAGTCACAGCCGGTCCCCATGTATCCGTCTACGCCCACACCGGAGCACTCATTGAATATGCAGCATCAAAGCCAATACTTCCACAACACCTATCTCCACCCTCAGCACATGTAAAAAAATCGACTCCGCTGGGGAGTGGCTGTTGCTGTTGACTGTTAAACCCCTTCAAGTGCCAAGGACTATCTCCCTCCGTCCTTGGATGTCTCGTTGTACCAAAAATACTTGTGTGTGAGCGTCATAGCGTGGTCATCTCTCTAGCATTTTCACAAGCGTTTGTTTCTATTTCACCCCTATACCAAAGAGGTTGTCGTTCCTGCTTAAGTATTTCCTATGTCACATCCGACCCCAAAAACCTAACGGTCGTCCATCGCTTTGCTTATTCGACTCTGGTCAACGGCTCAGTTTGGTGTATCGGTCACGGTCAGACGAAGTTTCCCGCTTCTTGGATATAACATCCACTTAATATGGGTATTCTGATCTGGACCGTGGCACTAAGGGAGAGTATGCAAGAACAGGCTGAAATTGGAACACGAATATTTCCCACTAGGGTTAGTGCCAGAACAATGAAGCTGTATCGCAGCTGTTGTTGCATAGGCGAGCAGAGATACCCTTCTTTTCTTTTTAAAATCTATTAGACACCCGTTTGATCTCTGGGCGTCTTCATCACTTTTTGCACCTGCGGAGGAATGTTGGAAAAACACAGCATGCATTGGCATGGAATATGGGCTAGCTTAAATCGTAAGCTCATCAGATTGTACTTGACAGCGGGGCTGAAAAGGGCTATGACGAGCATTAGTTATAGAAAACGGTCGCCAAAATAAAGGATTGGTCTTCCACGCACGCCTGCTCTTGATTCCCGCTTCTCGTGTTTCAGTCTACGTTGGTATCCTGTTCAATGCATTGCGCAAGTGGACGGACGCAACACACCCTGCGCCGTAAGAACTATCCACTCGATGCATGTTTCATGTCTATTATTATCAATGCGACGCCGACTCTTAAAGCTTACAATGCTCTGCTCACTCTGGTGCTCGATTCACTCTACTCGTGTAACAAGGCTGGCGAACATGCCTCTGGTGAGCACAAGGCGCTTGCGCCGTCCTATCAGCGCTGCCATAGACTAACCGCTCAAGATGTCCACTACGATTTCCAGACCAACGACTGCGGGTTACAGACCCCTCTCACCCTATACTGACGATGTCACGACCTTCGCGAATGAGCTACTCTGTCTGCGATACGCTGAGTCTGATCCCGCGTCCGCGCCGCCATCTCCCGCATCGATAGAATCTTTCGATGTCCTAGACAGCGTACCTTGGCGACGAAGCTACGTTTCACTAGACTCAAGAAGGAGCCGGAGCAACACAGGTGATATGTTACGGAGACGATGGAAGGATAAAACAGCGTATATTATTGCGATAATGCTGTTCTGCACGCTCTTCGTAATCGGCTGCACACTCGGTGGATATCTAGCCATCAAACACAAGAAAGAAAAGCTCAGAGATAGTGGATAGAGGCTTTGAGTTTTCAAACCAAGAACTCTCCTCTAGGTACGACTAGCCCTACATATATCAGTGTAGTAGATGTATAATAACCTAGAATATTGTACAGCTATAACTACAACCATCAAGCTCTAGCGATACCACGACACTAAGGGGTTTGCAAGAACTACAGCGACACTGGTTGTAATGGTTTCAGTCCCGTTCCCGGGTGCAAACCATCAGGTAAGACGGTCAATGCGAAGGTCTGCATATTGAGTTTTCAGTATGCTCTAGGACGTTGGTGAGCACATTTGCCTCGACAAATTAAACTCCAACCTCTATTGCCACGAGAAGGGCCACATCGCAGCCTCAGGTAGAGGACGTCACACCGGCGCCAAATACGAAAAGGCTCTGTAATCCACTCCCTGAATACTCTCATAGAAATATTCAACCCCTCGCTCCCACCCCATTCGCTCATACATTCTGATAGCAGCCACATCCTTCTCCAGAACAACAAGCACCAACCTCTTTCCCTCTTTATTTCCCCATGCTACCACTTCTTCAACCAGTCTCGCCCCAATGCCTTTGCCTTGAAGCCTCGGGTCCACGAACAGGGAGACGAGTGTAGCGAATGAGGTGATTGGAGCGTGGGATATTAACGACTCTATGACCGCAGAGTTGAGGACCGATGCAGATTGAAGCTGCGCGTGGCCGGCGAGATTTCCATCGCATAATGCAACGATGGAGCTTAATGCATTGGGATTTTCTAGTTTGGCCGAAAAGGTTGAAGGGCCGTCTACGGGATATTTGGTCAGAATATGGACGTCGGTGAGGATTCGGATGAGCGCGGGGAGATCGGAAGGCTCTCGCGGCCGAATGGTGACTGCATTTGATTCAGACATTGGGTACTCCTTGATGATCTTTCCATGTGCAGTGACAGAGCAACGGAGAGTTTTTGTAAAGGGCGTGGGGCGGCGACTTGGACATGTCCGAGTGCGCTTGTTTGAGCTCCGGGACGGAATACAGAGCCGGAATGTTTTAACAGGAAAGATCAAACTACCTAGTGGTCACAGTCAACGTGCTCAGAGGTAGTAGTGCATAGTCTCTGTAGCTTTGACAGCCTGTAAGTATTGACATTAAGAGAAATCAGATATATGCAGTAAGCTGAGCAGGTCGCTCAATCAGCATAAAGACGAGATAGTCTTGTAGATACGGAATTCCACAACCTGTAAGGACGCAATCCAACCAATATAACATACTTCCAACTAAGAGAGAATAGGCATACCCCTTTTCTTGGACTGTCCTCAAACCACTTCCTCAACTATCATCATCATCACGCAGCGTCTCACGATAAGAGGAAGAGGGAGGTCCGCAAGGGGTTTCTCCAAAGGCCTCGCATGCGATGCGGTCCGACCTGTCAAACAAGCTGATTCCTCGACTGGACGAGTTGTCTTGCGGGCAAAAGGCATAGTGATTCGGTGATTAGACATGTTCTGTGGGAAACCTGTCTCAGACCTGTAGGCGCCGTCCGTTTTCTTAATCTCGTCTTCGGTCAGTCGGAGATATAAACTCATGGGAGATACCACAGTACGAGCAGCCGATGTCTAAGCACTAGTGCTATTGCGTGGCGTTGCGCATTCCGGGAAGCCCGTCGTCTTATCCCTTGCAAGGATGCTCAGCTCTCGGCGCAACAGCCACATGTGAACCGTGTCAGGATACCAAAGAGTGGCAAATGGGCTCAACACGGCAAGATGGCTACCTGCCCTGTGGATCAATGGGCTGAGCGTGAAGAGGGATCATCGTCGCTGGAGATGATGAAGCAAAAGGGGGAGATTGGCTGATGAGGCATGCTGCAAGTGTGGATCGATAGCGCGACGCGCTCGCCATTGAATGCTAGCTAGGTTAGCCCTTGAGCGGCTTTTTGGTCGAGATTGAGTCTAAAGGTACATTGGCGAGAGTACGCGTACATTGCATGCCTCGGAGGTAAGCCGTCCCCGCAAATGGCCTCGACGATGTTCTGTTCGGACTGCAAGGTACGAGTCTATTGCTTCACAGATTGTTTGTAAGGATGAGTTTCAAGGTGCCATATCGCGCATCACGTGAATGTTATCTTATCGTGTCTCGAGATAGTGCACTTCGCACATCTGTCAATGATAAAGCAAAGCAAAGCTTCGCTATCAACTTACCTCTTATACGGTCTACAATGAAGAATGCCCGCCGATGATAGCAGAGAGCAGCTGCTCACACGCGCCATCAGCACACCATCACCATGCTCAACGCCCTCCCCAGCCCCATCTCCGATACACCCCAAGCCCAACAAACACTCAATATGGCCCATAGTCGTACTCCTTGTCTTAGTCCATCTGTCCACGGTCCTGTACACACTTCCACTCAACCGGGTGGTCGAACTACGTCTGTGTCAAGAACATTATGAACGCCTGAACCAATCCCTCATTGCACCCGATGCCACTATTCCGGAGAAGCTTTGTAAGATTGATGATGTCCAGCGAAAACTGGCCTGGCTTCAAGGAATCATGGAAACAACAATGGTCGTCTGCGGTACGTGGTGTGATAGTGACGATTCCCGCGTCCATATTACACCCGTCGGCTAATTCCTAGTACCAGATTTCCTAGTGACAATACCGTTCAGTTTCGTTGCTGAGCGGTACGGTATCAGTGTTGTGCTATGGTGTAATCTAACTCCGAGAGCTTTTATGAGTGCTTGGGCAATTGCTGTGGGTGCGTATTGCAATCACATGCTCGTGCACCATGTCAGCGGTACTGAGGCTACATCAGGTTATTATCGCCATCTCCTTCCGACACAGGCTATCATTGCGGGACCATTCATGAATGTGCTGGGCGGCGAATGTGTCTTTCAATCCACGGTATTCACACTGACATCCGCGTTGACGAGCGACTATGCTCAGCGGTGAGTAACCTGCCGCGACATAATTTAACACCGAGTCTGCTAACGGACTTTAGAGCATCATACTTCTCGTACATCAGTTCGACCTCATATGTAGTCTCCTTTATGGGGCCTACACTTGCTGCATTCACACTAAGCAAGAACTTGTGGTTACCGTTCTGGCTCAACATCGCGCTCTTGACATGTGCGGTACCGACAATTAAAATGCTTCCCCGGACCCGGAAGGCGCCTATCAAAACATTGACATCAGCCGAAACCGGTAGCGAGGAAGCAGACGAAGCTGGGCCACTACTCGGAGAAACGGATCTCAGTCACCATCGATATTCTAATGCATTTGAAACACATCCGGACAGGTTCCAAAGTATTCCCCATGTAGTACGCAAGATGGTGCATTTGGTGACCGGTCGCCGGAACTTCCAGATCCTTCTTTGCTCGTTTTTCCTCACGGCTCTCGCGAGCTCGGACACGAAACTTTTAGTGCAGTATATCTCGAAACGCTATGAGTGGACGTTTGCAAAGGTGAGACTACCTATTGTCAATGTAACTGAGATAACAGCTTATGATTCTAGGCCGGATATATGCTCTCTGCTAAAGCCCTAGTCAACTTTACATTGCTTGCCATAGTAGTGCCACGCATCATCCAGGCATCGAGGTCATCAAAAGCGGTACACGGCTCAGAAATCAATCTCAATATTCTTGGAGCCGAGATCAGCATCTTGATTTCTGTAGCTGGCGTGCTGTGCGTTGCATTGGCCTTCAAGTTCTGGATGCTACTTGCTGGTAAGCATTTTAGTCCTCGTTGGGCCAGTTGTTAGAACAGACTTAACGTGTTTAGCACTCATCGTGTATGCGCTTGGTTCAGCCCTACCAGTATTCACCATGTCGCTAGTCAAGTCACCACTCATCGCACTCGCACACTCAGACACCCAAGACTTCAGTATCGTCATGCTTACCAAAACACTGGGATCTCTCGTCGGTGCTCCCTTTATGGCCGTCTTGTGGGTATATGCAATCAAGCTGGGAGGTTTTGGCCTCGGGTTACCATACTTTGTGTCTGCTGTGAGTGATGAGACAGGAAAAGAACGTAGCATATATGCTAACAAAGTCAAAGTGCATATATTTGATTGCTGTATTTGTCGTAGCACGCATAAAGGTCTAATACATCAATTTTCCGAATGTGCCTTCTTGATTTAAGGTTATCCCACTTGCTCAACCTGTGTCGTAATCGGGGTCACAAGGATCGACTCGCGGCTACAGTGTTTGCGTTGACTCCCGAAAGCACCCTGAACCTCGAACTCACAGTTCGACCGAAGAACGCCGAAGAGTACACTTGTGAGCGTATTCTGGGTTAAAACATATTGAAGCGAAGAAGGGTTGCTCGATCGAAGAATTACCTGTAGTTAGCGTTCAGAGATACGGACGTGGCCTTCTATGAGGGATAGGATGTATGTATTTGTGACCACATCGGTCTTTGGGCCCCGCGAGAGAGCATATTCGCCTCGACTTTGATAACTACGTGTGTACAGTGTATCGCATATTTCCTTGCTTCGGCAACCATGCTTACCCTATTCTATTGTCGCCCTCCCCGCGGCTCGATACGTTCAAAAAGATCAAATAAACAGCAAATCGTCTAGGCTGTTGTCAACGTTGAAGCTATTAGGATTCATACTCGAGTCCAAAGTGATTTGAGCCCGTCCGCTCCATGCTGGTTCTTGACCGTACCCTTTCGCGTGTTGAAGAACATATAATTGCCCCGTACTTGCTCGATTTGAACTCCTGGCAAAACTCTAGTCGTGAAGGCCTGCAAAGCCTCTCCGGCTTCTGCTTCAAACCCATGAAGATTGATACCGCGGAACGTCACCTTTCTAAGGTTTGGCCATACACCTCCATCGGCAAAGACGCCTTTCAAGATGCGGTGGTAAACGTCAGAGTCGAAGCTGTCCAAGTCCGGAATGAACTCGGTTTGATCGTATGAAGAGATGTCCATTCCCATGTCGAGGAGGTAATCGAGGTAGATGGGCCGCTTTTCAAGTACGATTTCGACCACAGTAGAGCGGACGGAGAGGAGAAGAGAAGCCCATTGCTTGATTTCCTTTACCTCATGTGCTTCGTCTTCGCGTATGTCGAGGTCTTCTTCTTCGGACATATCCAGTGGGCTATCGAAAGCACCGCGTTTACATAAGAGCAGGTGTGTCAGTGAGCTGAATGGAGACCATGACTCTTGGGTGTACCAGAGAACGCCTCGAGGTCCAACGTAGAGCGGAAATCCCTGCATGTTCTGAAACTCCATCTCCTCAGCGTCACCCTCAAAAAGTTGAGGCGGTTCAAGGATGCCAGTGTCAAGGCTGACGATGCTGGATACTGAGGCTTTGCACATTGCAGAGACGAAGCCTCTAGGAATATATCCTCGTAGACGCACATTTCGAATCTTAGTCGCGGCAGGCTCCCGGAGCGCTGCAACCGCTGGGGGGCCCTGATTGTCGGCAGAGTATTCTCCGATAACCTCGACTGAGTCGAGATTCGGGAGTGAAAGAATCATCGACCAGATGTGCTGCGGGCTCTTGTGTGTCACCGTAAGACACAACTGCCGCACACATGGAGCAAGCCTGCTCCAAGCCTGGGATTTTCCGGCGGCCCTATACAATTTCCGAATAGCGGCTCCGAATTTTGCATTACGTCGGTCAAAGTCGAAGTCGGTTCCAGTCAATCCTCGATATGACCAGGAATCGCGAAGCTGATCATCTAGGTACGCCCGCGCAGTTTTTGGTTGATTCGAGAGACCGAAGCAGTCATGATGAGCGTCTTGTCGATGTAACTCAATGTTTCGCCAGAGTGCGGGCTGAGCAAACTTGCGGTACTTCTTGGAGACTCGAGCCAGCTTCGTCAGATCGTGCGGTCGCAAGTAGCCAATGACCTCGTTGATTAGTTCCGCAGGTAGGGTGTCAATTGTAACCATGGTGGGATTTCTGTCGTAATTCTTGAGGCCGTTCATGATTCCGTTGGGCTGGCTTACCAAGGGCTCTGCAAGTATTACCAGTGGTGCTGCCATCAAGGGTAACAGAGAGACAGCTCAACCGAAAGGCAGTACGCTGAGAGTCCAGAGGTGAATGAGGTTGTGCAATGAGAGGCCTGGAGGTGAGGTTGTGCAATGAGAGAGCATGAGGTTGTGCAATAAGAGGCCTGGAGGTGAGGTGAAGCAAGGAAACCGTGACGTAACAGTACGGAGAGCGTCCGTTGAAAGTGAAAGAGCAGCATATGACGGAACGCGCTATCACGTGCATACGTGGTACGTACCTCGAAGTAACCTCGGAAACCCAACCCCGTTTCGTTCTCGAACGAGCAGCCGTGTTTTTCATGATAACAGGTCCACGAAGCCCAAATCTTCTCCCGAGAACACATTAAACGATTCAATCATCCTCCAAATACACCACAAGCCTACAAGCATGCGGTAGCGGCGCAGTCCACCCAGGCTTTATACACCTCAATATTCAGCCCAACCTTCACAAGCTCATCTGCGGCGTAGCGAAGAAATATGATATCTTCAGGTACCATTTCATGTGGTAAAAACCTCAAGTACTTCCGTTTTCAATCCTAGCGTGAAACGGTTGAAGGGGAATGGTAGGTTAAATATTTCAGAGCTTGTGAGACAGCTTCACCCGAGTTTTCCGCCTCTTCGATGTCCTTGTGGAAAATGGACGACAAGCGATTCCCCTCGAGTATGGGGATACTATCTAGTGTTAGTTATTCGAGGCTCTCGGGGAACATTCCATGGAAACTGAATAGTGATTTCAGGTGAACGTCGCCATCAGGGATGAGTAAGTTGTAGTCAACGCTAAGTTCGCGAAGTTGTTTCAGATTCCTGAATGTATCAAATCGAAGAACGTAAGTGTATGGAGCGAGACGTTGAGGAGGCGCGGTAACCTTTCATCATCTCCCACTCCATGATAGCGTACTACTCACTACTCAACCCACGCAACCTCCCGCTGAAACCATGACAACTTTGTATTGAACATCTACGAAGCCTCATGCACAAAAGAACGTGCTTTATCTACCTCAACGCAATGTATAAACGGGGTATTAACCATGTCCATCTACAAATACCGAGAAAACACCGTACTACCATATGAATGCATTTACATATGAAAAGACGCACATAATGCTGACCGGCCACAGGCCTCACACAACTCCAGCGGTTAAGCCACCTAACATCCATCGGGAAGTAACTCATCTTCCGAGTCTGTAAACATCGAATCCGTGCTCGTCTGTTGGGATATCTCATTGTGATACTTGCTCTTCTCGTTGACGTCAGGGCCTGGCCATGCTAAGGTCTGAGCTAATCCGGAGGATATCTTGGAACGAGATTCGAAGACTATGCAACAACGCAATGTAGACCAAGGCTCTTGCTTTTCGTCGGGAAAGTCTTCTCCTTTTCTAGATCAGCTGTGCACCTAGACACAAGCTTCGTCAAGGAAAGGATAGGCAAAGTAGATGCGCAGGAACAACACTACGCACTAGCAACGCCCAACCCCTCACAAAGCCTCTTCCTCCACACCCCGCAAGCGTCCTCAAACCCATCCAGTACACTTGCACATGCTCTTTTCGCCTCGCGTTCTCTTAAACGTCGATCCCAATCACCATGCTCGATGAAGTCGTGCCCTTCTTTCGATTTCTCATCTTCACGTTTCCAGTCCTGCAGCTGCTCTTTGCTGACTTTCAGTCTTCGCGTAGCATTCGCTGTGGTTTGCCGTGACATGTGCAGAGTGTCGCTAACATTGGCAAGGTGTTGGAGGAGTTCGCGAGTCGAGAGGGTCAGGTGGGAGAGGGAAACGAGTGGTTCAGTTGAGGGGTGCGGCAGTAGATCTAGAGTTGACTGTATGAGTGGGAGTAGGGTATCGACTGTCTCTGGGTCAGGAATGATGGCGCGGGGACCGGAGAAGGATGCTGCTAGGGAGGTCAGGGTGCGGGTTTGGTGAGTTAGATGTGTTGTTAAGGCATCATGGGCGGTTTTCAACCTGGCAATCCATTAGCATTGCAGCTTGCTAGACAGCTAGAGTTACTCAGGACGTACCTCGTAGCCCCATTCTCAATGGCAATCTGACTACCTAGATCCCTCAATTGCTCTGTGACCCTCTTGACGACCTGATCTGAAGCACTCCCATTCTCTTCCATGCCTCTCCGTGCTAAGCTCTCAATAGCCGCCATTCTTGATTCAAGCGCTGGCGAGATGCCCTCGTTTTCGAGATCTGAATCCCCTCCATAGTCTGACCCATCATACAAGGAGCGCTGACGGTTGTGTTTTCTGGTCTTCATAGCTGACCCTGGGCTTAGTCTTGCTGGCGACGAAGACTGCATAGCTACCCCACTGTCCCGTACGCCATTGACGTTCACGTCATGGTCTATCCATGAGGACCCGTCATGTTCTACTGCTGTGCCAATATTTACCAGTTCATCTTGTGGCATGTCTAGCTCTTCTCCAAACTCTCCGTCCATTCCCTCCTCTTCTTCTTCTTCATCGTCGTCCCATATCTCGCCTAGTTCATCGGCCAAGTTGCCCAGGCCGTTGCCATCTCCCCCACCATCGAAGTGTTGCGCCGGACTACCGTGTTCGAACTCGTGCGATGAGCGTGGTGTAATTGGCGAGTATCCAGAGGAGCGACGATTGAGTGATTGTCGTCTCGAAGGTGTGTTGTGGGTCATATCGAGGCTGGAGGGATGCCGGCGGTGAGAGGACGCCGGGCGCTGGGCCGGCGTTTGGGGAGGAGACGACATTGTGCAGTTTGTTCTATGACGGTATTGTATGTGTCGCACTCGTCGGAGAATTTACAACTTAGGTAGAGTCTGTAAAGAAAGCCCACATCGAGGGTGCGGTGGTCGGGGGTCGGCCTGGCGTGAACCTGGGGACATGCAATACGTGGTTGCTCCCCGACGGTATTCAGTCACCAGTAAGACGCGCTGTTATGCCAACGGGCCTCAACCTGTCCCCAAACAACCCTTATGAAAGGCGAAAGCCAGGTAGTGGGGTACAGACGCGTCGAGGAACTAACGCTCCGTGAAATGTGGTGTCGCGGGCTTGGCTGCGGATAGTGGAGCGCCGAAATGTAGGGCTCGGACTTTGATCTGCTTTGGAACCGTGGCTTGTGGCGTCTAGCAATGCAAAGTGAGTGGCAACCGCTGTGTAAGAAACGAATATGGGAAACTGATTGCTTGAAGTGTTGCACCTGGGCTGTGTTTGTTGATGATTCGGTGATATGCCAGCCGAGTGCACCTTCCAGAAGATCCTAGCTGGTGAAATAACGAGGACCCTTGTGCTATGACAATGCCAATTATAGCGGTGAAACAGCACGTCGAACTGGTCATCTCCGTGAGATTTAAACAATGGGGCTGTTTCCAGGAGATGTATTTGTCGCGAAATGCACAATAGTTGAACATTCATGACGACTTTGTATCGAAGGTGTGAGCATATACATGAGATCCCTTTCCCTGTACCCTTCCAACCCTCTGATATCATCTACGTTGTATCAAGCCCAAAGCGCTGTAACAAGACCGGAAGGGTATCGCTCGAAAACCATTCCAAACCGGAGTAAACCCGGACTATGAACTCCAGAACGCCCTCGCAGCCAAGCATAATGCTCTCAAATTTCTGTACAGAGAAGCAAGAAGAGCCTGAACATACAGCCACCCATATGATTTGAAGCCCCGAAGAACTCCCGCAATGCCCTTGTAATGCCGCTGAAACAAAGGTCGGGTTTGTGTGCACTTATTGCGTCGGCTTGTTCTGGTCGATAGTCGCGAGTTGCTTCTTGAGTTGCGTGAAGAAGTCTTGCCCGGAGGGCATGAGGTGGGACATGTTGCCTGTTTTGTGTTATTCCTCGAAGATGTCCTCGAGTCATTCAAAGGCGCTGTACCTTTTACTCCCCAGGCACCACTGCTCCTTTTCGGGACCGAGTCGCCCTGGACCTTGTGATATACCGACGGTTGATCTTCGAGGATGTAGTTAGTATGTGTATGTGATCAGACGAGTAGGTGTCGAGCGAGGCGTACCAGCCGTGCTTTCGAGGTATTCTGCAAGCCAATTAGCCTAGTTCTCTTGCGGTACGTGTAGAAGCTTCCAGTAGAGCCCCCCCATAGCTCTCCGAGCAAGGTCCGTCCCCAAAGAGAGATTCAAATACGTACTCTTTCTCATGAAGTCCTTGACCTCGTCGGCATTGAAGTCCCGCACGGGGATGTGGTGCTCTGGCTGGGCTTGGGCAGTCGCCGTCGGCGCTGGACCTGCAGCCTTCCCTTTCGCTCCCCAAGCATTGCCAGGGAGCGCTGCCACGGCCTGCTGTCGTCCGCCCTCTTTGGCGGGCGTGTTCGAGCTCGAAGTGCGGTCCTGGTTTTGGCGGTTGGCTTGCCCCTGCCGCCGCCAGCTATTTACATGGTCAGTAGAGCTCGTTGGTGACAGGCGCTATGCGAAGCCTACCGGTTCTCAGCCGCGCCGCTCATTGTCGGAAATATTGGAGAGAAGGTAGACGGAGTGGAGGGGTACGATGGTGGAGATATAAAATGATGGAAGCTCTCCAATCGCTCCTGCTGCGCGCGAACTGGGTCTGTGCTGCGACCAATGGTAATGCTATATCGACGGATACTGGTGCCCTATTCTGGCCAGCTCACCACTGCTAGCCGCTTCCAGAGGAACCTGACAAACTATTCACGAGCATTATCGGATGAGTGGGTGGGACTATTTGGAGCTTGCTGAGCCGCCGCGATGTGCTGTTCATCACGTGTAGAGCTCTCCAATGGAGAGAACGACTCGGGTATTGCATGGTACACGAACAGCAAGGTTACGATTCCGCGGCGAATTTGCATTGTGACAACTCAAGGCAGTACGCCATCAACATGCGCACCCAGTTCCTTTAGTATACCCCGAGGCAGGCGAACACCGTACAACGACAGTGCAACCGCTAGGATACAACTGAATTGCTCCGTACCAACCTTCTGTCATTACTCGCACACTTCTGTCGTGGTGATTTGGGCCACAGCTAAATTGTACGGGTCCACGCATACCGACCTTTGATATGCGTTCCTATACCATCACCAAGGTCGAAGTAACCCTTTCAAAAGGTAGGCTACCTAGCGTTACATAGTAATGGCTTGTTCTGCCTCTATATATGGAAGAAGAAAAGCATGGTAATAACTTCTCAAGTACTCCTCATGCCACTCCTTTTGCGCCTGTGACGCCCCTCATCAATAACTCCAAAAGTTTCATGCAGGTCAAACAAGATGTACGGTTCCAAGATCTTATGCGGGTGCAGCAGCACCTTCGCCATTCTCGCCTCCATTTCCGCCACCCGTCAAACTTGACATGAACTCTTGATACCGGAATACCTCCCCCCGTCCCAGGCTCTTTCCCCCTTTACCGAAAGCTCTCCGCCCGCTGAAGCCTTCGATGACCATGTCGATCTCGCGCTCAGTCAGTTTCTTCTCGCCCGGTTCAGGTGCAGTATGCAGCAAGGCGTCCTTTAACTCTGCAAGATCGATCTGGCCGTCGTCCCCGTCATCAAAGGCCTCGAATGCCGCGCTGAGCTCGTTTGCATGTGATAGGCCACCGAGCAAGTCTGACAAGGTGTTTAGGTAGGTTGCTAGATTGATCGATTGTGCGCCATTGAAGTATGCTGAGAGCTGGGAGGGCGTGGCGGAGAGACCGAGCTGAGATAGCATGTCTGCGACATCGGAGGCATTTACACTGCCATCATTGTCGCGGTCCATGACGCTGAAGGATTCGCGCATGCTGTGCAGGAGAGGAGGTGGTAGCTTGGACAGCGCATCGCTCGACACGCCGCGTGTCAGTGGAGCTGGTCGTGTCGCTGGACGCTCTGCAGCTTTCTCTATGGGCGCCAATCTCTCAGTAGATAGGGCCTTTTGGGCCGAAAGCGGTGGCGGTGTATGCTCCCTTCCAGTGTCGAACTTGGCAGCAATTGATGCCGTGTTCAAGGCTCGTACGGTGTGTTGTGTAGAAGAGGATACCTGTCGCGTCGGAGACGGTATGTTTCGGGTTGGCGAGCTGAGCGGCTCTGGTGTTGTCGCTGTGCCTCGTGTGTTCAGCCACGAGGGTGCATTTTGCGAGGCGTTGCTGGTTGCAGACTGGCGGAGGATGGCCTGTGAGGGAGTCGTCGGCGTGTCTTTTGGCTTGAGAGGCGAGCTACCCGGTGTCGCAGGGCGCACTGTCGACGGGGAACTCTCCCTGATGGAGCCTGGTCTGCGGAAGGGCGACTGGCGCGGGCTGTTGAAGGAGAGCGGGGAGGGCTTGTATGGTGTTGGTGTTGTCGACTGGGCTACATTAGCATTTGCTGGGGCGATGCACGTATAGACGACTGGAGAGGTATACCATGGTGTGTGTGCGGTGTGTGGAGTTGGAATCCGTAATTACTGTTACCCGAGGATTGATTGCGCTTCTCTTCGTGATGATGTCGCGTGTTTGAGCGGGTGGTGGTGTTGATGCTGGCTCCTCCTTCGCCCCAGCAACCGGCTGCTCGCTGCAAACAGGCCAAACCTCGGCTCGGTACACGCCTATCGATAAGCCGCATCAGATCCATCAGGGTCCACACCACTTTGTGTGTTGACATGCATGCATGTACGCGCCGCCACAAAGCAATATCATATCATCTGTGCGAAACATGCGCGACGTCGCTGACGTCTTGACTGAAACTGCCAGACACCCCCCCGCACCCCTCCCTCTACTTTGTCCGACACGGTAGCCAGGTCCAGTTTTCCCTGCGCCCATCGCTCCCCACCTTGCGTGATCGCGGTTTCAGAAGACTACCCCTGGCGGGGTCTCTAGCGCTGGCTCCCGCAGATGCATGATGCTGGCATCATCGGTGCGCCCTTGGAGAAGATGGAAACACACATGGCCGAAGTAATGGCCCAGCGGTCCAATGGCCCTGCCGCCTCGCAACCGGCAGCTGGCCTGCAGCGACAACCCTCCTTCTCCTCGTTTCCCCCCTCGAGATCGCCCTCGTCGAGATCGATTCGCAATGACAAAAAGGCCCGCTCCCCGCAGCCGCCCATGCTCCAGGAAGGGGACGACGAAGACTCGGTACACTCGTCACGCGATTCTTCACAGCCATCGCTCGCCGCTGTCCGCTCCAAAGCCGGCATGAGGCTCCGATCGCAGTACCCCGCCGATGCCATTGAGAACCATGTCGAGTACATACTCGTGGCCTCGTTCGACATTGACCGCGGGTCGGTCATGGAACACCAGTATCCAGCTGCCATCAGTGGAGACGAGACCATGTTGGCCGAGCTCATGCTTCCCGACCAAGCACACGTGCGGAGTCAGGACTGGACCATCTTCTTCTTGCACAAGGACACCACAGCCGAAGAGGAGGAGAGGGAGGCGAGGAGAGAGCGCAGGCGGAAGCGAAAGCGGCGGAAAGAGGGGCTGGACGACGACGACACCACGGCGGGTGCTGAGGAACTGGACGGCGTCGAGGACGCCGAAGGGGATGATGATACCGAAAGTGAGGAAGAAAACGACCTCGACGGCCCGCCGCTGGTATACGTCTTGAACTTGGTGAACACAAAGCAGGACAATACCGTGAAAAGGTACAAAGTCTTCTCAGAGTGCTTCTTCCAAAGCTGACACAAGACAGAGGCGCAATTGTCAAAGCAATGGCAATCTGCACGCGACACTCTTTCCTGCACATATACAAGCCGCTCTTACTGCTAGCCCTCGAGGAATACTTCAGAGCGCCAGTAATTGAGACACTGGCCTCGCTATATAACGCTCTCAACGCCATGGATCTGTCGCTGCTACCAAAACTATCCGGCCTGGAGAACTTTGTGCTTGGCGCCAGCGATGCCAAAGACATGTTCATCGAGAAGTTTGAGCTCATGGTCAGGCAACGCAAGAAGATGGATGCCGCGCGGGACTCGTTCGAAACTTCGTCCGACCCTCTGTTGAGACGCAAAACGTACGCGCTGCCTCGAGATACGCACGAATTCGAGTCCAAGATCAACTACAATGGTATCCCAGTGCCCGTCAAAGTCCCGACAGCCCTCGGCCCAGAAACCGTGGGCGATTTCTCTCTCATCAAGCTCATCCAGACATTCTCCACACCCCATTCAACACAACCTCAACCATTCGCACTGCACCCACATCTCACTACGAGTGGGGCATACACTCACCCCATCATTGTCCTCGTCAATGCGCTCTTGACACAGAAGCGCATCATCTTTATTGGACACAATCGACCCTCGAGCGAAGTCGCCGAAGCTGTGCTTGCAGCTTGTGCTCTCGCATCTGGCGGAGTCTTGCGTGGCTTCGTGCGGCACGCCTTCCCCTACACGGACCTTACCAAAGTCGACGACCTGCTCAAAGTCCCCGGCTTCATCGCTGGTGTCACCAATCCCGCATTCTCCTACAAACCAGAATGGTGGGACCTACTATGTGACCTTCCCACCGGCCGCATGAAGATTAGCAACCGCATCGAGACCGCCTCGCCAACAGAAGGCTCGCTCTTCTTCCAGCAACAAACCCTACCCACAACCAGTCTTGGCGGCCTGCAGTTGAGTTCTGACAGCAAAAATAGCATAGATACCACAGGCGATAACCAATTCATGGAGGGCCTCCTCCAAAGCATCGCGAACCGACACGGTGAAAACGCCATTCGAGCGAAATGGCGCTCCTGGGTTCTCAAGTTCACACGCATCGCTGCCGCCTTCGAGGAAACCGTCTACGGTGCCTCTGCGTTGTACATTGGCTCCCACGAGACCGACGGGGGCATATACGGTGTCTCTGGACACGGATATGTGTGGCCGGATGAAGGCTCTCGGCTGCGCGAACTCGCTGCGAATGTGCATCGCATTGAGGGCTGGCGGAATACGAGGAGCTATTACAGCTGTGTTCAGGACCTCGCGAGACACTGGAATAAGAGACCAGTGCGAGGGATCGACTTGCACCATCAGCATGATAAGCTGAGGTGCTTGAAACTCACCCATGATCAGAGTGCGGCGATATATCTTGCGCTTGCAAGGTGTGTGGAGGAGGCTGGATCACCAAGCGAGAGCACAAATGCATCCTCCAGCGATCTTTCAGCCATGTCGCAGTCGCTTCCGCACACGAACCATCCCGAGCAAAGACCTGGTCCGCAGCTCCAGTACGATACCATTCTTCAGCTTCTCTGTGTTATACCAGAGACCAATGCCGGGCTCTTCTACCTGAGTTTGGGGCTTTTCCACCCGAGGCAGGATGTGAGAATGGCGATTGTGAAGCTGCTGGAGAGGATCATGGATCATCCCGCTGGTCGCCACTTCTGGACGAGCCTCGGACGCTTTGCTAAGCTGGCTTTGTTCCGCGTGAAGAGGGAAGAGGGAGCGCCGAGGTAGTAGCGTTTACTTTTTTAGTCTATTCGGAGTTGGGTGTAGGGCTAGAGGCCAAGAATTGCGGCCATGTGATTATGGAGTTTGTGTTGGATGGAACTTGGACCTGAAGGCATTTTCCAGTTTCGAATCAACTTGCGTGTGTTTGCTTTCTTCTTTCGTGGGGTGGGTGAGAATGAGAATCATTACGGCTGACTTGGTGAGATTGACATGTGAAAGAAGGCGTCCACCGTCCAGATGACAAGCACAGGCTTCCCGTGACTTGCGCCAACTTCCTGCAGGTGGGCCTCGTGAGAGAAAAATATGGAAAGATGACTACAGATGAGGAAAGGATAAGTCTCGAGCCACCCCACGATTTCCAGCATTGATCCTTGCGATATGCGGAGGGGGTGGGTGGGATGAGGATGCCGCGGGGCTACTTGTACATACAGACTTGTACTGTGGACAACCCCAAAAGCTCCATCTATTCTCCGAAGATATCAAGAGACTTTGATAACGGTCCTGTGCGAAACAATATACACCATGGACAGCGGTGGGCAGGATGGATGACGAGGTAATCCATGACAGCGGTGCAGTAAGCTCCCGGACCTTGCTGCAGGTCCCAGTAAGAAATTCCCGAGTGCTATCGATACGACGACCATGACGGAGACTTGACCCACATGCGTGCGTGACGATGCATTTATCCCCTACCTTCGCGCTGGCAGCAGGTACTTGAGGCTCCTATGCTCATTCTTATGCATGTTGGCTGTCTTCAGCACCATTTAAATCGGAACACACTCCGCCGCGCAACTTCCGCCGCGACTTGCGCAGCATCCGGCGCATGACCACCTGCAGTTGACGCATTTCCGCCACGCCTACACCGCGTCCTTGACGACGACACTGATATCACACCACGAAACCACTTCTTTTCTTCCTCTTCTTCGCACCTGAACTTGTCGAGATTTTGACTACCTAGCTGTCTCTATAGTCTCCCCGGCATCCGCGCGCTCCATTCGACCTCCGGCCTTTTCCTCCATCACCGGCCAACGCAGCCTTCACAGCACCTGCGCATGGCGGACGCTCCTTCTCCATGTCCCTGCTGTCCGACACTGTTCTTGCAGGAGGCAGTACCAGGCTGCATATAGCCGGACGAGGCCAGAAGAGCGCACAGGAAGTCCTCAGGAAGAGCAAGAGTCATGGCAGCTTCCTTACACCTCTCGTCCAGCTGGTGAGAGACCCAGCAGGGACCCTCGGTAGCGCTATCGGCAACTATAATGTGCCTGATACGGATGCGGCTGCATCGGAAGCCCATCGCAGACAAATCCTGTACCTGCGCATGAAAGACGTGGGTCTTCCAGATTGGTTCCGTGTTCCTTTCACATGCTAATAGCACATGCAGGCCGAATCCTACGACGAATGGAAAGCCGCAGCGACCGAGTTGGACGTGCTGGAAGGAAACGAGGCCTGGAAAGAGCAACATGACTCACCAGAGTATGACGCGGCGCTGGTCGCTGCTCGTTTGAGAGAGCTGGACCATGCACGCCTCGACTGCGATGTGAGGAGGATGCTTTTTCTGATACGGACCACGCTCACACGCGGATTGGGCGACATGGGCCAATTGCGCTTGTACAAGCACTCGCACATCGGGACCAAGAGACTGATCGAGAGATACATTGATTCGGCACAACAGACCATGGCAGCCTTATTGGACGTATCGGCTAAGCAGGGAGATCAGTGTCCCGTCGAACCGCGACGACTCGTAGAGCAGCTGCTTCAAACACGCCAGTCCTTTGGGCGTAGCGCATTGCTGCTGTCAGGAGGTGGCACCTTTGGCATGAACCACATTGGCGTCGTCAAGTGCCTCTGGGAAGCCCGTCTACTCCCGCGCATAATCTCTGGAGCATCTGCCGGGAGTATCGTTAGCGCAGTATTATGTACCAAGACCGACGAAGAAATCCCCGACGTATTGCACGAGTTCTGCTACGGAGACCTGAACGTCTTCGACAATCCTAGCGAATCCGACACTGTGATACACAAGGCCGTGCGCATGTTGAAGTCAGGCGTTCTTTTCGATATATCTCATCTGATGAGAGTTATGCGGGGACTACTTGGAGACATTACTTTCCAAGAAGCATACAATCGGACTCGACGCATCTTGAACATACCCGTGTCGACCTCCTCCTTATACGAGCTACCCAGACTCTTAAACTACATCACGGCTCCTAATGTCATGATTTGGTCTGCAGTGTATGTCTCAAACAGGGTTCCATAATTATAGCGTGCTAATCTCTTACAGATGTACTTCGTGCTCTGTTCCACTGGTTTATAAGAAGGCATCACTTCTTGCCAAAGACCCAAAGACTGGCAGGGAGGTGCCTTGGGATCCAAATCCTGACACGACTTGGATCGACGGCTCCGTAGATAACGACTTACCAATGACACGCCTAGCCGAACTCTTCAACGTCAATCACTTCATTGTCTCCCAAGTCAACCCGCATGTGGTACCGTTCCTCGCCAAAGAGGAAGAGATTGTGGCCGCAGAAGCACATCAGGGTACTACAGTTCCTGCAGGACCCAGCTGGCTGAGCACTGCGGCAAGCCTTGCTAGAGGGGAAGTGTTGCATCGTCTGCAGGGGTTTGCTGATATTGGCTTCCTTCCAAATATTGTGACCAAAGCAAGGTCCGTCCTTAGCCAGCGCTATTCTGGTGACATCAACATATTCCCGAAGATATCGTATGCAGATTTCCCGAGAGTTCTGAGTAATCCCACTACGGAATATATGATTGGATGCATGCTCACGGGACAACGGGCCACATGGCCTAAACTTTCTAGGATACAGAATCATGTTGCGATCGAACTTGCTCTGGATGACACAATCCAGAAGCTACGAGCGCGTGTTGTCTTCTTCACTCCGAGCCAAGTAGATCTGCGTCTCAACAACCTTGGCAGGCCACTATCTCATGGAAACGACCTTGCGCCTGTGCATCGAACGAAATCGGTACACAAAATTACCCGTTTCAAACTCAAGACCGAGCCACCCAGTCCAATTCTTCGGAAGTCGGCACCAACAAGCCCTCTTTTATCAAGAGCCACCCTAAGGTCGCCATTTCAAACCACCCCCAAGCAACACTACAAATCAGACGCCTCGAAGCCTAGGTCCTCTGGAGCCTTGACCATTGATGCAAGCTCTCTAGATGTCATATCGTCATCTGCCAATGATTCGTCTGACCAAGACTACTTCGCGGATCCAGAATCGGACACCACGGATGTCCTGTCCTCGCCTTCCCCCCCTACTTCGCCTTCTGTTCAAGGCCTTACCCTATGGCCATCAGTACGCCAAACACCTATGATTGCTGCTCCACATCCTACTACCACATACCCTGCTACACCTGCCGTTACCACCGCCATCGATCGTCGCACTGGCACCTTGCTCAACCTGGCCATGACCTCAGCCACTGGCACCTCGCCAAGCTCACCAGAGCGGCGCTATAAGCGACTATTCCACCCGGACGGACCCATCACGCCGGAACCAAACTCGGGCGCTTCGCGATTGGAGCTGAGAGACATATCAACGCCTCCCCACACGGAAACAAAGTCGAACAGCAGGCCTGGCAGCAGGCGCGGCAGTGGGGGTGGCAACGGCTCTACTCTTGGCCTCACCCTCGACCATTCGGGTACCAGGGGTATGCTGTTGAGGAAAAAGAGTTATAAGCAAATGACTCCCGACGATCCGATGGAATAAAACATCGGCCTCGCTCGCTTCGCCTACGATTCTTTTCTTTTGTATTTATATTTCCTTGTTCATACATCAGTTTTAAATACTATTCTTCTTACGCATTTTCGCATTTGGGGGGAAAGGAGCTAGATGATGGATGCTGGCATATTAGATGGAGTATTTTTGGATTTGGATTTGGCACCAGAACGAGTTGTACGACGGAACGGAACGGAAAGGGAATAGAATGAGCGATGAAAGGGAGGTGGTAGATACCCACAGCGTCAGGATACATCAGGATGGGACAATTGCTATTCGATGACTGCATACTTTACACAGGAGTTAGACTCTTCTATACACAAGAGATACACACACAGAGAGAGAGAGTAGTGGGGTGTTACTATTTACAACCTCTTCTATCTCACTATTCGATAGAAACAATGAAGCATTGCTCACTCCCAAACGCGTATACGTATAACTTGAAACATTTCCTTTCGTCTTTGCTTTCATAGCCGTAGCATTTTACCTTATATACATGAATCATACCCTACGCCCCCCCTCATCCCACTTCCGCCTAATCTCCCCCCTCCACCGCTGATACAGCTCATACCCCACGACAATAATAAACGGTATCCCCACTATAATCGCCGTCACCCGTCGCGCGGCTGGCTTGTACTTGGCCGGTAAGCGGATATCGGGCGTGGGCTCGATGAAGCGCGTGGCCGTGTGTGGTTTCGATCTTGCGCCATAAGAGGGATAGGGATAGGGGTTGGAGTTTGACGGATGAGGAGGTGGTGGGCGGGGCGCTGCGGGCGCGGGTTTGGCGAAGGAGAGGTTTGGTTTTGGGGGTTGGTGAGTAGAAGGTGACGGGGCGGGTAGGGGGTTGCGCGGGAGGGGGATTGTTGTTGGGCGTGTGGGGAGAAGGGGTTTGGGCGTAGCAGCAGCAGTGGTGGTGGTGGCGGGGGTGGGTGTTATGGGCGCTGTGGGTGACGGAGGTGAGATTGTGGGCTTTACAGGCGCTGCCTCAGGGTTTGCAGCGGGTGTACGGGTGCTGCTTGTAGGTGTCGCCGGGGTTATTTGTGAGGGTGTGGTCTTCGGCGGTGATGTTTTCAGTTGCGAAGAAACGGTCTTGTCGACGTTTTGGCTTGCGGCCTTTTTCGTCGGCGTAGGTGGTGTCGCGGACACAGACTTCAATGTCCCTGTGGCGCGGACTTGTTCTAATATCTTGCTCGTTGTAGGTGTGATTGGCGAAGCTTGTCTTGGTGTTGTGGTTGGCTTCGGCGCATCGTCCTTCTTCTTCACAACTGCGGCTTTCGGGGTCTTTGCTGCTGTTGCTGCTGCTGGCTTCTTCTTTGCCTCGACATCTTTCGTCGCCTTTGAAGAATCCTTCTTCGCCCCCGCCTTCTTCGCCTCTGCTGCTACTACTACCGGTACTGTCCTCGCATCGTCCGCAACCACTTTCCTGGGGCGTCCGCGCTTCTTAGCGGCCGGAGGATCGACTGCAGTCGTGGTGGACATTGCGGAATGACCAATTGGACTCGTGGGCAGTTAAGATAGTCGAACGGGACAGATACGATGACTGTGTTTTGCTGCGACGCGAAAAAAGGAGGTTCGAACGCGTCGAGGGGTTACTGCTGGGGTTTGTGTCGGAAATTCTGGGCGAGTAGGGCGAAGGGTGGAAACGATGCAGGGATTGGCGTGGGCCAGGGGTTCATCATCGTTTAGCCGACCTGAGATAAACTTCTTGAAACACACTCGAATAGCTGTCTACATTACTTGTGGAACGTTTGAAGGGCCGTGGATTTACACCACGCGATTGCATGAAGCCATTGAATTGGGTCACGCACTATGTCGCCATCCACCTTGCTTGGGCAATGCGTGGCTGACACTACCAAAGTCTGCATCCTAAAGGAGTCACTGGAAGCACCTAGCTGAGATATCTCAAGAAAAGCTATCAATTGCTTACTACCAACGGTAGCTACGTTGTTCAGACTGAATGCCACCACCTTGAAAGGTGATATGATTTTAACCCGAAAATAGACGATGCTACTAGATGCTCATACCCTAGATTTTGAAACGCCTGCTATCGTGGCAGTCCATGCTGCAGCTACATGACTGTCTAGTGTTCTCCTCAGATTATACACAATGACTTTCTTCAATATGAAGCGTACCGGATATTCACCAGCTTCGGCTCCTCACCCTCCCGCCGAACCACACGGAACCAACCCTTGCTCGTAAAGTCCTGGTCGACAGCCAAGAAGACCTGTTCCAAGTTCCGCAGGTAGATGAGCATGTTAGGCTGTGGAAGCGCATCTGGAAGAACGAGCTGGGTAATCGCGTCGAGCTGCGCACATGAGACCCGTTTCTCCATGAACAAGAAGTTGAACATGATGTTGTGGGAACCGAACGATATCAGATTGTGCTTGAAGGGCAAAGTTGCAGTTTCCAAGTACATCTGTCGGCAGACATTGTTGAGAAGAGTGAAGCCGGTTGAGACGTTGACATATGGTTGCTGTGACTGCTTGAACGGGTTTGTTCGCTTATCGAAGACGGTACAATGGTACCTGAAGATGGGGACGACTTGACGAAGCTCGCTGGACTTGTAAGTCGCCCGGTAGGTTTCGAAGCCAACGTTAATCGTGTTACCGCCAAGCACGTACTCGAATATGAGTTTGCGAACATCTTTGGGGAGCTGTAGGATTTGTGATGTACTCTGATTCGCAGACCACATCTGAGCCTCCTTGGACTTTTTCAGTAAGCCATGTCCCAGGATGGTCCTACGCGGCGCGGGGGTTCTCTCATCTTTGTAGACTTTCGGTTCGTATGGCAGCTTTGGCTGCTCATTCTTTATGACCTTCTCGAAGAGCCGCGACGTCTCTGTTGGCACAAAGGATGTTTGCCTCTTCGTTGCGGGGCCGACCGCGCGTGAATCAGCCGTTGGCATCATATGGGATTTACGAGGCTCTTGATGAGCCTGTCTCTGAATCTCTGCAGGCGGCGTTGGCAGATGACCGTTCCTCGGCTTGGGATCAGGCTGCTTCCACTTCTTCCCGCTCTTCCTAGTCTCTTCAAAATCCTCCCGGCTACCGTAGATGTTCTGTTGCTTTTGTTTGGAAGCTTGAAAGCGCTCTTTAAGAACCTTGTCAAATACTGCCAGTCGATTGCTACTCTGCGGTGCAGAATCGACAATCATCTCCGGCTCAGGTACAGAGATAGGCCCGCCGAACGCTTTCAGAGTCTTCTTCAGCAATGAAGACGTCTTCTCACCTCGGCTTGGCGGCGGGGATGGAGGTAAACGCAACTCGTCGGAATCGTCCGTCTTGTATCGCTTTCGGCTGTCACTGTGGTCTGGGCGGCTCTGTTGTCCATATGTAGATTGCCGCTTGTCGCGTTGTGAATATGTGCGTTTAGCCATGTTAGAGACGTAATCCAAGACTTTTGTGATGAAAGCAAAAATGACTTGAGCGTTTGAAGGACTTGGATGCGGTCGAAGGCTGTCGAAGATTGGCTGGGCGCAGTGATTTGCTGGAAGCTGCGACAGTCGAGAGCGGCAACTTGAGTCGAAGGTATGACTGCCCGCACAGATGTTCGAAATGGCCTGAAATTCCTGGTCCCGACTTCTTTCACTTGCAATTCTCAAGATGGGGCAGCAAAGCGCAGAGTGGCCCGGCTCCGATGTCTGCAGCCTAGCTAGGCGAACAGCGACCTTTGGAGGTAGAGATCGCGACTCGAACGAGAATGTGTTACTGTAGTTGAATGTGTCAAATATATGCGGAACCACGGGGGGTTTGAGCGACACTGCCTGCGAGCCATGGTGACAGAAATCCATCTCCCCACTTGTCGCGCTCTCACGTGAACGCAGCCATATCTGGCTAGCGCGTGATTACACCTCATCTCATGCAGTTGTTGGTGGCACGGGTGAGAAAAAGCAAAAGCAAGATGGTCATTCACCCACACAAGGCGACATCTAAGGTCGAGGTACTTCAACCGCCTCCTTCCAATGGTGTATCCACTTTGGAGAATGATGATGAGGTCTGATGCCATGGTTGGCTCGAGCCTATCCCGGAAGGTCCAATGCAATCACAAACATCTCCGCCCTCAAAGTACCATCACAGAACCAGCGATAGCTCAACAGGCAACACTAGGGCGTAGGCGCTTTTGATATCTTGATATAGCTCAAAGATCGAGATGTCTCTGAGCGTAGGCCGCTCACTTTCACAGAACCAGCGATCGCTCAACTGGCGTAGGCGCTTTGGAAACTCTCTCACTACAGGATGCACAGCGCTGTCGACCGATCGAGTCTTTACTATTGTCAACTCGAGCAGCCCATCATCGCATTTCAGCAGGTTCAGGTACCAAAAACTTTCATTAGTAGCTTGGCGATGCCCTCGTCATCGTTGGAGATGACACCACGCTCAACAATCCGTTGCACAGTCTTCATTCTTCTAGCACTGCTTGGATGATGACAAAAACCTGGGAAAAGATGATTGATCCAAACCAATCCATGTATTGGGAAGAAGAAAGAGACTGAGCTGTCGGAACTATCACTGTAGTGAAGAAGGTATATGACTGAGCGTTATGCATAACCTCTAGGGGTTTCTGTTGACGGCTATGGGTATAGCCAGCGCAAAGCAAGGCGACGAATGCGGTGAAGAAGTCATGTCGTGATGCGGCTTGGGTGTATACAAGGCTTGACGTCACTGTCACCCACCTCACTGTCACCACCTCACCGTCGCCCAGCAACGGCTTGCGCCGGCAGAACGGGAACTTGCTTTTGCCTGACCATCGTCCGCAGCAACAACACAACTACTACTCTACATCAATCTCAGATCAGGCAAGCTGCGTCCCAACTGGTCTCAGCACCGCGGCCTATCACCAATTGAGCTACGCGCAGACGCCGTTACAATGCCCTTATTTGCTCCCAATGAGTCAGGTACGTTTCCACTCTATTTGGTAGGCGATATCGAGTTCGTCTTGAATAGCTTTGTCACCTCGAGCTGCATAAAATCAACCCACACCTTCACCGCATATATACTGACAGTAGTTTAGTAACTGCCGATGACTTTTCATGGGACGCCTTCCCCCCGCCACCGCCTGAACCGGAGCACTGGCAGCCCGACCCCGACTCAGTTGCAAAGCCGGGCAAGCTCCCCGATCCGCGATTTAACCATGATCCGTACGAGGATGCAAGAATGAAGGCTTTCACGAACGAATACAAAGTGTATCACATTCCAGCGGATGTCGCTGCGAGCCTGAAGTCCGGTTCACCATCACCAGCCGTGAGTGAATCAATTTCAGTCCGCTCAGGCCTAGGATCTTGGCCCACTCCAGTTGCTCGTGCCTCAGGATATCCTCGCGACCTCGTCAATAACGTCAGTTCCCCGCCGTCCAAGAACTCAGTCGGATCAAGTGCGGAAACCACAGGCTTGCCTGACGGAACACTTACTACGCCCGCCAAGCGCTCAACTACTCGAATCGCTACTTTTGCGAAAGACAACATCCCAGTCAGCTTGTTAGATTGTCTCCAGTCCCAGGCTCCCGCTATCTCAACTACCTTAGCGAAGTCTATGCCAGCAGCCAAAGGCGTCGCGCCGGCATGGGCAGCTCCTCTAAGAAAGGCTCTAGCAGAGGAGATTCACACGGCACCTACTCAGTCTAGTAACCCGTCCCGCGCTTCCATTCCTCCACACCTGCGGAAGTCTGCCAAACAGGCTGTTAGCATGGCTAGCCCGCGTTTAGACCCTGCCGCAAAGGTCTACGAGCCTCGCAAAGATCATATTGGCGAGATGGCCACTCGTCAATTAGCAACTAGAGCACCTGAAACACTGGTCAACGGGGAGGACAGACTTGATGATGAGGCACTAGCTTGGAAAATGGCTACGACTGACCTTGATCTAGACAACGCTAAGGACGTAAGTTCAGCCCGGCGGACCGTCTATCACATTTTCTAAGCTCGTCTAGGGACTACAGCTTCAAGAGAAGATTCTGGGCGACTTTAACGGCAAGCAATCCGATGTGCCTATACCATCTACCCCCATGAGAATGAGCAACCACCGTCGTGGCAATCATGGCCACTGGATTAAGACTAGAATGGTGATGATCATGGAGGAAGATCTTGATCTAATGAAGCCTGCAAATGAGCGTGAGCTTATGGCCATGTCGGATGATGAGATCAATAGATACCTTGTGAAGGTTTCGTCCGCTCACGAGCATTGGTGGGAGGCCGAAAAGAGGCTCTACATTGACGAGGCCAGTGACACTGAGTAAATGGTCAGTTCATGCAGAAAGCCTCAAAATAGTTAACGCGGAGCTAAAGTGCAGCAGGCCATTCCAACATCTTCTTAGCTATTGAAGATTGGACTCTTGCCCGCTTGAAATCAAGGTCCGAGGGCGCGCATTAGGCGTACTATATTGACGGAGTTCTGCGATACTTTCATACTAGACACTAAGGTGCATCTACCCTTAGGGTACTCATGGCTGTTGAAATCACGTCTCAACTGGCTTGAAGGGTTTGCACTGGAGGTGGGCGAATGCGGAGAACCACTCTATGCTTACCTATGCCCGCGCAACCAAACTTTACAAAGATCCTGCAAGAGGACGGAAATAGAAACCCCATGGTAGCATTCATGTAGCACTGCCCATCCCGTAAAATCTATAGTTGATAACCTTCATGCACTCGTACAGGAACATGAGACAGTGATGACGCAACTAAGAAGTGTGCTAGGCGCGCATTGTCATGGACTGAAGAGGAAGGAAATTTGAGGGGGGGTGTTGATGACCTGAAGAAAAGAAGGGCGGTGTGTTTGATTGGGTCCATGTATGGAGAAGCTGGGAACGACTCGGTTTAGGTATGAATTGGTCGTGAGGATCGGCTACCATTCGGGACGGAGGCGGGGGGAAGTTGGATCGTACTTTTGTAATGCTCATGTGACACAGCTAGAATGTTTCAGCGCATCATGTATCATTCATACTGCATTCGTAATGATTACCCCGCATTGTTGTGATCCACGGTTCTGGTATCCAGCGTGTTGAGATAGAGGCTGGTGGAGAAGTTTGATAAGTTGGCCTAGATGGCTTCGCAGCACTATCTGCATGCTGCTATTACTCCTCCAGAGCAAATGCAATACTAGGAGAGCGATGGCCGAATGAGCTGCCTGCTTTATGCTGAATGAGCTGAGCCCGTGGCTCCTGGCACGCACAAACAGCGGGGAAGCGGTGGCCTTGATGGACCATGGTACTGGGAGCGGGCCGTCCAGAGTTTCCGTTGCCAGGCACCACATCGTCACTGGTATTAGAGGTTTGACTATTGAGCCTTGGGTGATTAGTAGCAGTGCATCCAAAGTTAAAGGACCCTAGTAGCTCGGTCCCGGTCTTCTTGTAGTAATGAAAATACTTATTTATTAGTCTCCGCTCCCCGCATTTCCTTCCTTGTTCTTTAATATTTTCCTACTTTAATAGTTAAGGAACCTTTGGGTATCTTTAATATCTCAAAACTACTTTAATTGTGAGTATACGAAGCCACAATACTGTAGCTTTTCAGAGTTTAATAAATTTATTAAGTAACCTGCTAACTTTGTACTAGTCTCTAAATCATGGCGGAATTAAGGCATGATAGTGACCCAAGTGTCGCCTCTGCCGGCAAAAAGGAGGCCACAGAGGGAATTGAGATGGTTCCCACGCGGAGCCAGAGCCTTCCACCAACCAACCCTGATACCCCGTTGACCCTCGACGAGGCGAACGCCGTTGAGCACACGGCATATATGTTCTCCACCAAGAAGAAATGGTGGATCTTGACCGTCGTGGCCTTGTGCCAGACGAGTATGAGTGAGTAGTCATAGACGTCCTCTCTTTTGATCCAGCGTTCAGTGACGCTGACAGGAGATAGATTACAACGCGGCGGTCTACTCAAATGCGATAGGCCGTCTCAATGCCGAGTACAACCTCGGCAGCAACCACTTCACAAACGCCAGAGCCGGCATGGCCTGGTTCTTGATTCTTTACGGTTTCGGTTGTGAGCTCTGGGCGCCGTGGTCCGAGGAATTTGGGCGCAAGTACATCATGCAGCTGTCCCTCGGCCTCGTCAACCTCTGGCAGGTCCTCGCCGGTGCTAGCAACGCCTGGTGGATGGTTCTACTCGCCCGTCTTCTCGGTGGTGTCTGCTCGGCAGGTGGCTCCGTCACGTTAGGAATGGTTGCTGATATGTTCGACCCCGAGGACCAGCAGTTCCCGGTGCTTTGGGTTAGCTTGTGGAGCTGTCTCGGATCAGGTATGTTGTCGCCGAAAGATCCGCAGCTGGTAGACATGCTAACGATTTTCTAGTCATTGGTGGCATCTGCGGCGGACCGATCGAACAGTATCTCGGCTGGCGCTGGAACTTCTGGATCCAGCTCATATTTGGCATTGTCGTCCAATTCATTCACCTCTGCTTCGTTTCTGAGACCCGGTCGACGGTTATGCTCAACCGCGAGGCAAAGAGACAGCGCAGACAGAACCCGAATACAAACGTCGTTGGTCCTACTGAGAACGAGAAGATTCGCGTGAGTGAGACCCTGGCGATCATGGGCCGTCCTTTCAAGATGCTGGTCTGCGAACCCATCGTTGGTTTTCTGTCCCTGCTCAGCGGATTCAGCGACGCCCTTATTTTCAGCTTCCTGGAGTCCTATGGGTATGTCTTCAAGGATTCTGCCTGGAACTTCACGCCCAGCCAGCTCGGTATCGCCTTGTTTGCTCTCTTCATCGGTTACTGGGCCGCAGGTTTCGCCTACTTTCCAGTCATCAGACGGCACAACCAGCAGCGCAAGTCTGGCAAGGAGCTGAGCCCCGAAAGTCGCCTGTGGTTCCTACAATACATCGTCCTGCTCCTACCGATCGGTCTCTTCATCTCGGTATTTACGGTGACAGGCCCGCCAGTCCCTTGGATTGCACCACTGATCGGAGCTGTTTTGATCGGGTGCGCAAACATGGCGATCTACTACGCCACGATCGACTACATGGTTGCTGCTTACGGAGGAAAGTATTCTGCTTCCGCGACTGGTGGTAACGGCTTTTCGCGCGATGTTCTCGCTGGTATCTGCTCCTTCTACACCGGCCCTATGTACCACAAACTCGGGGTCCAAAACTCAACATGGGTGCTCTTTGCCCTGTCCGTGGTTGTCTGCATTCCAGTCTTTGTCATCTACAAGAAAGGACCTCAAATCAGAGCCCGAAGCAAGTACGCCAAGGAAATCGAGAAGGAGCGAGTCGAGAACGAGGCAACTAAGCAAGCCATGGGCGAGAGGCGTCGGGCGCTTCAGGATCCAGAAGTTTAGGTGTGGTAAACTGGCAATGCACTATGGCATCGATTGTGAGGTCTGCAGGCTTCTTGATTATCATGCCCTTGCTCTTACTGTCGATGGTATGTCATGGCGACTTCGCAGAGTTCTTTCCGCGTACGATGGCGCACATTGTAGATGTTCTGGAATCATTTAGATGAGCCTGTCCAGCTCTGTCGATTGGTCACCAATGTATGAGCATCACTATTGCAGTGACTAGAATGATCGATACAGTCTTGTGCTCTTGTCGTTGGTGTCGCGGCCGGGTTCACAAGTTGTGCCTTTAACAGCGCTAGATTCAAAGAACTGTATTCTCTGGTTTATCGATATATGAAATATTGGGCGGTGTCGAAGTAGCCGTGGCTCTCTAGGGCGAGATGGGGGAACACGTGGAAGCTAACCGAGGGGCGCTCAGACTCCTAAGGTTGGTCGAATATCGAGAGGCGTTCGAGATATCATCAAACAACCGACTAATACTATATTAAGCAGAACTATCTTTTGAAGGCGATCAATGCTCCACTACAGTACAACGCTAGTATAGAGTCAGATTTCACGCTTCAGCCGAGCGGCTAGTGCTATGCCACCAAAAGAGACGTCTGAGGCCTAGTGAGAGTGTGTTTTGCAAGCACAATACACGTATTACTATCGCAAAAGACTACGTCATGAGCATATATTCATTGAGGTGACAGGAGTAGCTGTCTTTCGACATTAGCAGCATCTCCGAGGTACGGACCTGCACCCCACGCTAACCAGAGACTCGATGATGAGGCCTAACACAATCCGAGATACCTCCAATCGAAAGAACTCGGGTACATCGCTCCAACGATGTCGTTGCGAAGTCCTTTGTCCTTCATCAAATTCTGCATGGCAAGATGAACCTTCTGGTCGCCTGACAGAGTTCTGCTCCACGCTCTCGTTTTGGGGTATGACACCGCCTTTTACAGTTCCGAATTCGGCTCCTATCTCCACCGCATCGCCCAAAGGAGATATACAGCGCATCTCCCGCGGGCTACGCATGCAATTTATGCGTCTTACCCACCCCCCGCAAGTGCTACATCTGATAATGACGTCAATTGTCATGTGCCCCGTTCCTGGCGCGGGCCGTACCCGTCGCCACTCCAATCAAATGGGATATGACTAGTCCAGGCACCAATTGCGCGTTGCCAGCTGTACTCGCGCATACAAGTGCATTGCCTAACATGAAGCCGTTAAAAGAGAAGGGGTTGAGTGGGGAAATATCACTCTAGTGCCTGTGAATAATTTACGAACAGCGGGTTGCACCGGCTGCCCAGATGCCCAAATTGGGCTTCTTTCTCTTAAGCTATATGGCCTTTTTTATCTCTTGAGAGAAGATCCACTTACCGTATGAGTGAAGCGAAATCAAGCTTTTTAGAATGGGTGTCGCTGTAAGTTTCTAAACCGTGTCGACTTGCACCGCTATGGGAGATGCTAACTACGAAAGAACCCACCTGTTAGTACTGTAAATATGTTACAGGAACTCGTATACACCATCCTAGATGTCTTTAATGCCACCAGAGACTTATACCAGACGTTAGAGACCAAGGAAAAGAGAGATTATCAACTTGTTCTCCAGTCCAAAGGCTATCCCACTTCAAGAAGGATCGAATATGTCGAAGATGGAAGACTTGGTAGCGATGAAGCCCTCGTAATGGATAAAGTAGCAGTCTCGCGACAGTTTGAGAATGGCTACCAAGCCCTAGGTGCTCAGTTTGCTATGGGTGATGGTGAGTACTACTCTCTTACAAAACTCGCGAGAGGAGTGAAACCTGTGGGTCCTACCGCATCGCCATCTGGGTTGCCCTTGCTTGTAGATGTTCACTTCTTTCCTTTCTTGGTTATCACTGAATTCCCGAGGAGCAATCCAAAGCTAAAGAGCAAATGGGTTGCTCCGCCAAGCCCTGCAGGTGTATCTGGTTATGCAAGTCTTGGTTCAACGATCGCGCGCTAATGGGATCTCGGATTAGTACTCGCGCATACAGCCCTTCAATCCCAGATCATTGCATTACAGGGAATCCTCGTATCAACCTTCCTTTATGGGCCCACATCGTCCGATCCCATCTCCCATCAACTGTCAAATCTCAATGCAGCATCACAAGCAGCAGCAACAGCCTCGGTCAACATTCTAGTAGCTCAGGAACGACGACAGAAAGATGCACTTCTAGACAATTCTCGATCGGTGCACTCTCCAATAGCGCACTCCAGCCTGACTCATGCGCCCACCGGGATGAGCTCAAAGTCGACAGCTCTGATGAAATATCCTGAGCTTTCCCGAGCACGAGGTGGCAGCCCGGTCAATACAACGGTGCTCGAATGGAGAGGCAGGCCTAAAACGGAGAGAACCGATACAGACACAACATCGATGACTGGTCCAACTTCATACGGAATGAAGTCGGCTTCACATGACCTATACTGTCTGTACGCTATTGACCTCCAGCGCCATACAACCCAGCCACTGTCTGCGAGCATAACGTCTGGCCCAGTGCCAAACTGCCCACACTGCAAGCAGACGTTACATCTCTCATCTGGGAGAGCATGGGAAATTCTCAAGGAAGATGACGGGTATGAGCGATGTTTTCAGATCTCCAACCGTTTTGTCGTCAAGTGCCACCGAGATGGTCCTGATGGGCAATATGCGTGCGTCATATGCTCAAGTTATGGCACGGTTGATACAGTTTGTGGCGATGTCAAAGCCCTCGTGAAGCATATCTCGGAAGACCATGACATCCGTGAGCTGAAGCACGAGGAAGATATTGTTGAGATAATCGAGCAGCCGGCTAAGAGTGGAAGAGAAAGAGACAGCGGCTATGGTGCATCGCGAAGCAGCAGGAGGAGTGCTAGTTTCGGTTCGAGCAGACGGCGCAGGAGTATGCCTGCATGTGAGCGCGAAGTGGAGACGTTTGGAATTAGGTCTCCGAGATGGGGCGCCTAATTGGTGTACCCACGAGTCGAGCTTGTTCGTCTGTGGTGACTTCTGGTTCCTCAGTTCTGATTATGTATGACTATAGCTATTCTGCAAGCAATTCTCCGAATAGATTTTGATATGATCAGTTGATTTAACAACGTTGACGATGGCACAAAGAGCCTCACGTATCACCATATGCTTACTATCCGTGCATCGCCCCACTTGAATACCCAGATTGCAGTTGAAAACTAGAATAACCTCGCTATCACGCATCATATTCGGCACCTCCAGCCAACTCCTCTAAACCTGTACCAAAACGGACAATGCTTCAGCCCAGCAATCAACACTGTTACCTTCAGATACCGCATCTAGTAATCTACGATGCGGAGATGATACCAAAGGCAAGTTTTTATTGTCAAACATGCGAGGTTCGCTCCCTTTTCATGCAATGTGCTGCAACAGTAGTTTGAACGAAGACCATTGTCTAATTTGGGCTTAGTCTTGCCTGTTTGGGATGTGCGTGTGTGCATGTGGCGTGCTTACATACGGCACGTGGTAATTAGATGGAGAACGAACATGCATGGATGTGGTGTGAAGATGCGATATGTCGTGCATGAAGGACTTGCTGCACTGAGTCCTGGACTGGGTGTTGACAGTTTGCTGCTCGGGCGTAACGGGGACGCCGATGGGGCGTTAGTGAGAAGCTGAGGAACAAGCGACTTGCACTTCCGACCGGGGAGCATTTGGCCAAGGCTCCACAATTCAATGTTGGGAGATCCTTTCGCTCGCTGCCTTGTGGCAATCTTTGTATACTCTCTGTAATGGGCAAAGGAAGACTTCAAGATCGCTTCTCGCGGCCTTGAACCCGGTGGGAAAGTGTCGGAAAGCGTCGGAAATTGGTTCGGGATGAGCGCGGAGTCATCAGCTCCCCATTCCTGTTTGCAACAACGCCCCGTCCATGCTACCTGCGCTTCCACACTATTCGCCCCTGTAATTCCCGTTCAGCTTCGAAGACGAACGGCCTATAAAGATGACACCGTCTGCAGACGGCTCACCGCCGACCACAGTCGCAGCAACCAAGCTCAATACGAAGAGTGAGCAGGCTACTGTTGCTCAGGCGCTACAAGCAGCAAAAGCCCGATTCGCGGAGAGAAACGTCAAGAGCTTAGGCCTGCATCAAGAAGCGGCTAAAAGCTTGCCTGGTGGTAATACGAGGAGTCTGCTGCACACTGCTCCATTTCCAGTATTTCTGAAGAGTGGGAAAGGCCATCAGGTCACAGATGAAGATGGGCACACATATACTGACCTTGTGGGCGAACTCACCGCTGGCCTATATGGGCACTCGCAGCCACTTATTCAGCAAGTGTTGATTGATACGATTAAAAACGTGGGGCTCAATCTTGGTGGAACAACGACGTTGGAGACGAGGCACGCTGCTCTGATTTGTGAGCGCTTCAAGCTCGATCGTATCCGCTTCACAAACTCTGGGACTGAAGCAAACCTCCATGCTATTCAGGGTGCGAAGCGCTTCACTGGTAAAAAGAAGGTCGTTGTGTTCACAGGCGGCTACCATGGAGGCTGCTATACCTTTCCTGGAGATCGGCCGGCAGAGAACTGTGTAGATAAGGATGATTGGATCATCGCCGAGTACAACGACATTGAAGACACAAAAAGAAAGATTGAAGAGTCCGAAGATGTAGCGGCGGTTTTATTAGAGGGCATGCAAGGGCGAGGACCATGTATTGTTGGGAAGCATGACTTCTTACATCAAGTTCAGCAATCAGCGAGAAAGGTCGGCGCTGTCTTCATCCTGGACGAGGTGCAGACTAGTCGGCTGGCTCCAGGAGGCCTGCAAGAGCACGAAGGTTTGCAGCCCGATATTACCACCTTGGGCAAGTTTCTCGGTGGAGGCATCGCTTTCGGAGCCTTCGGCGGGAGAGAAGACATAATGCGTGTATACGATCCGCGCGAGTCCAATGCACTCGGCCACTCTGGCACCTTCAACAACAACACCCTTGGCATGGCAGCAGGCTATGCTGGTCTTTCGCAAGTATACACGCCAGCAGTATGTAGCGAGTTTAGCGGCATCGGCGACAAGCTTCGCCAGCGCTTGCAAGATCTCACTCGAGACACAAAGATACTTGTCACTGGCCTAGGAACTATTATGGGTATTCACTTTCTGAGGGACGGGAAGAAGGAGCTGAAGAGCTTTAGAGATCGTCATGAGGATGCTGAATTGAGAAGGCTGTTCTGGTTCGAGATGATGGAGGATGGGTTCTGGATTACGGAACGGGGGAGTGTGGCGCTGATAATAGGGACGCCATGGGCAGAGCTGGAAAGATTCGTTGAGTGTGTTGGGGAGTTTTTGGAGAGACACCGAAGTTTGGTGTGCCTTTAACGGGTATGCCTTACTATTCTGTCTTATATATGTTGATCCTAGCTCACCGCCGACACCAATCACGAACCTATCCTATAACTACACAATACAAGAGCGTAAACGCATTAGAGAGAGAGTTCCTGCCGCTATCAGAAGGTTTTTGTCAAAATACTCCGCCGGCGTAGATGTGGGTGCATACGAGGACTGGAAGGGTTGCGAATGGGCTTCAGGAAGCGCATTTAGAGCAATGCGGGCGTAGAGAAGTAATAATTCTAATTTGTGAACTACGTGTGAGACGAAAGCTAACTTCGTAACATGATAAACGTGCGGGCGAAGCGACAGTACTATTACAGGGACAGGGGGATGACTATGGAGAGGTTCTTTAAGAAGTATCGGACAAAGGAGATCGGGCCTTGTGTGAGATTGTGAATTGCATTATTACTCGACGTATAATATCAAAAGTGCGTATCCATCTTCAGCTGTAACCACGTGGGGCACGACGCGTGGACATCCGATCAGGTCGCTTATGTAATGTCAACAATATTGCTGCCAAGTACTGTGCCTTGGTACCACCGAGATGAAGAGCAGTAATGTTCGGGCCGTTGCCGATCTGTGACTTTTCCCCACGTATAGTAAGCTTGCTGTCGCGCTTGCTTCAACCGTCAGCGGTCCCGCAACATTCCGATCTTCAACATCACATCCCACGCTCATATTACCAACATCAGCCGTTGTAAGCCACTTCAACATGGCGAAAGGATCAATCGTGAGTATAAGCATCCTCTCTAGAAATCCTGCGTCGAAATTAACTTGCTGATAGTATCTTATCGCCCTAGCCATCGTAGCGCCATTCCTATACGACCGGTACAATTGGCTTTCAGCAGTCGTAGCGAATCGGCCAGGCAAATTACAAAAGATCTACAACATCAAAAGCCATGAGGTCAAGTTTCAGGATCAGATTAGAAATTGCGAGGATCTGTTGATTGAAGAGGGTATGGGCATTGCATTCTTGGGCTGTGATCCGGGGCGTGATCGGTGGAATACTGTTATGGTAGGTTCAGTTGCCGAGTTCTGAAGACTCATCATCCTGTTGAAAACTACAATATTTCATCAAGGCGAAGAGCCAGAGTATGCGCTAATATTCGAATAGGGCACTTTTCTCCCTCCCACCAGCGGACGAGCAGGCAAAGATGACGCACACATTTGGATCTACGATTACTCTACGCCCAATCTGCCCGACTCAGAAGCTCTCAAGCCTCTTGTGTTTACTGATTACGCCAGTCCGGCGGACTTTCATCCCCTGGGCATGGACTTTGATACGTCCACATCAACTCTATATGTGATCAACCACTCGCGGCACTCCGGCTCCATCATCGATATCTTCCAAATCTCCATAAAAGATGCAACGGCAAAGCACATATCAACATTCAAACATGATCTGATCCCCGCACCAAATTCCGTCCACTCGCTCGGCAATGGAAAACTCCTGGTGACAAACGACCACTACATGCGCGCGGCCGTCTCGCCGCTCCTTTCCAAAATCGAAACCTTCTCCGGCCTCCCAGGCGGCTCGATCGTGTACACGGATATCCATAACCCGCAGGACACCAAAACACTAGCACGCATTCCCTTTGCAAACGGTCTTGCTATGCTCAACTCGACGACTGTGGCTGTAGCTTCATCGTCCAAGCCTGGCGTGTACTTGTACTCACTCAACTCGTCTGATCATAGCCTCAAGTTTGAAAAGTATATCCGCACCCCTGCTAGCGCAGATAATCTCTCTGTCGATTCAAATGGCAAATTGCTCATTGCAGGCCATCCATTTGCGCCGACTTTGATGAAAGTAACCCAAGGGCGGTCGAAGTGTGATTTTGACGGTACAGAGGAAGAGAGGGAGGCGTGCGAGTGTACTGCGCCGAGTTGGGTGGCTGAGTGGAGTGAGGAGGAAGGATTGAAGGAGGTGTATAAGGATAACGGAGAGGAGTTTTGCAGCAGTAGCACGTTTGCGAGGGATGTAGGGAGGGGAATTGGAATGGTCAGTGGATTATATGAGAGGGGTGTGCTAGTGTTCAGGGAGTAATGGATTTGATACCTGGCTTTATTAGGGCGTGTAGTATAGGTTGCGCGCGATAAACCTTAAAGCGACCCGAAGACCTCTTCAACCAATTATTCCTACGCCAATCAATGCTCTGAGCTACATCATGATCGCCAAACTAACTAACTGCACAACTTTCACATGTTTTGTAACCTCTACGTCCTGCCTGTGGCGTCGTTCTCCAGCCTCTTCGCAAGCGGCCTCAGGTCAATCCTCAGCGGCTTACAGCTTTCACTCTGCTCCCTCGTCCACGGCAGATAACTCCACCGCCTCCCCGATCCCTGAGTCTTCGGTGCCGTATTATCTACAGCTCGCGGCTCGTCTAGTTGATACCCGCCGTATCCATCAAAGTGCGTCCATTGGCTTGTGTGTATGAATAATTTCTCCAGAGGCTCGACTTTAAGCGTGCCATCGGAGTGCACGACGACGACTTCGCGTTCAGAAGTGGTACTGGCGTTGTAATTGACGGACTGGAATTTTCTAGGCAGGTGGGTCGCGTAGATTGACGGGTCGAGTATATAACGTCCTTGGCCTAGAGGTTGGGGTTCCGGGTAGAGAGGGTGGACTGGCGGCGCTGCTGTTGTTAGGTTGGTATATGTGTTGAAAATAGGGTGATTGCTTACCGCATATTTTTCCTCCCTCGTCCCGCGGTAGTCCAAGGCGCATGAGCTCGATCTGTTGCTCAGAGAGAAAATCTTGTGGAATACCGTACCTAGCGCAATGTCTTTCCCAGTGGTCCCAGCTCTGGATGTAAAAAGGTGGCGAATCGTCTGCTTCTCTCATCCTTCGCGTAAAGTATTGCCGCCCTCCGCTTTTGTGAGGAATACGTTCAGTGACTACATTCGGAGGGTTATGCAGGGTCCAGAATTTTTCTGAAATTGGTTTCTTTTTGAACCATGAGGGTCGCCAATGCAGAGATTCGTTCTCATTCATGCAAGTCAAAACTAGAAGGTCTTGTTGAAAGCGCTTCAGTTGTTGATCTGCATCCACAGCGACTTGCGTCAGGTTTGTGGGAATATGGAATGTGTGAGTATATGGCGCGGAAATGAATGACCCTGAGTTGATGCTGACTGGTGTGGCGATATTGTCTGCAGTCGCATCGAAGTTCGGCGTTGTTGGACCTGGGGTATAGGGCTCTGAATAAGGTGACGTATCGCGATATTCCATTGCGGACAGAATATGAGGCAGTAATTATCGTGATATTGCGTAAAAGGATGTTGTCATGTAGCAGGAGAAAGCTGGCGTGAAAGCTCTGTTGCAAGTGTAGGCGGTAGTAAAACGGTGAGTGGTGAAGTCTCCGCGTGCGCTCCCTTTCACTTGCGTCGGGTGTGGATCTGAAGCAATCAAAACAAGTTTCCAGAGTCATGCGGGCTCGGGCACCCGCAGTTTGTACGTACGAGAGAAGACAAACGACCGGTCAGCGGCAGATTGGCATCCTAGTGACTGGGTGCGGTATGCAAAATAATACCTAGATGCTGTTGATTTCCTAGCGGTGAGGTCGTGAGCTGCAGGATGGTTCAGTTTGGTTACCTTCCTAGATGAAGCTTATGGTACCCGAGAGATATTATTTTCTAGTGACGCTCCTCCCGCTCGGTGACAGAGTTCATCAGAAAGGCTCGGTTTGCCAGAAGTCAAGATTTGTCGAAGCTCCCTGGCCCAAAAACGTCTCATCGAAACCAAAGCCGTACGAACCGATCAAATCGTACATATTGTACTCGCTTGTGGTATCTGCGGCTTCGTAATCCGGTGCGGTAGTAGCATTGACTGAGTCGATGGGTTGTGCACTACTTGTATTAGAGACAGGAAAGCTGTGTGCGACAGAGATGGAAGGCGTTCCAATGACGCCAAGACGGTTCAAAAGGTCATTGATTCCGTGAACGATGTGCCTTATGAGGTGCTTCTCGTTCAGGTTCTCCGCAACTTTCTCTAGGAAGCTCGCAGATCGTCGCGACAGAGAAAGCACCTGGTTGATATTGAAGTTGAGTCCAAGTCCGACTGGTTCTGTCGCCAATTCTGGTGACTGTACCTGTGCCATGCCACCCCACGTCTTCGCCATCTTGAGCAAAAACGTCGCGCTAAAGGCAACCATGGTGTGTGTAAAGATCGGGACGGCGGTCATTGCTTTCCGAAGATCAGGCTCCTCAAAGATGAGAGTGAGAGTACTCGTAGCGGCGCTAATTGCGATATTGGCCGCTTCCCGACGGTCGTATGAAAGGGATTCTGAAGTTGCAGCGCTAGGCGCCGGTAGAGCGCGAAGCGCAAGTGAGTTTAGTTGGAACCGGGCGAAGTGATAATATAACACGACACCCTTAGATGGATAGGAACCTATGACTGGGCTGTCTATGGATCTTGCTTGCCACGCAAGCCTCCATTGTTCGATTGAGAAGTTGAACAGACGGAGTTGTTGGAAATCCGGTTCGGTAAGTGGCTGCTCTGGATCGCTACCGTATGCGGTGTAGGCTTCGGTAAGTATCTTGAAAAGAGTGACTTGTGCCCCCAACCTGATGTCGCCTGGTCTAGCCATTGGGCTATCAAGAAATCGGTCGATGTTCTTTATTGCGACGTCTTCGTGGATGATAGGCGGCCGCCCATACGCGATGCTGAACTGATGTTCGCAAACGTACAACGCGTACCATAACCGGGTGTTATCGCGCTGGTCTTCATGCCCCCGCATAAGCTTTTGAAAAGACTGATGCAGGTTCATCTCAACAGCACTTCTGACGGCGAGGCCAGATAGTTTCCAACTCAAATTTGAAAGATAGAACGCGGCTAGAGCCAGCGCCCGAATGTCGTCCAAATTATGTGGCCGAGCGAGACAGGCACTGTAGGTTAGCGACACAAAGATATTGTAGCACTTCTGCAACGCTTCGTCTCGGCCAGGCGTATGGAGCGCCGATATTGTGAGAACTGCCGCTGTCAGAAGCGTTGATTGGCGGCGCACTGCGTCGAGTGATTCGTAAGGGAACAGTACACCTGCCCAAAGGTACAGACGTATGTCTTGCATGTACCGCTTAAATAGCTCCTCAGCTTCCGTCAGGGTTACAATGCCTTGTGCGATAAAGTCCTCTTCCACAGAACTGGAGTTTGGCTTCCATCGGACGCTGCTTCTCAAGTTCCGGATCTTAGTGAGATCATACAAGCTTCTCATAGGCGCCATTACTAGACCAGATTCTTCGCCAGATTCGCGTTCCACTTCTACTGAGGTGTCTCGCGTCATGTCCATGGGAGGTGGCATGACCATAGTTGTGTGTCCATTCTCGGACACAACATTTGCCGGACTGATGGTCAATGTCTGCCCTGATTGTGGACGCGGTGACGACTCCCCGAGATCTTCCAATTTAGGGAGCTTGTTGTGTCTGAGCAGCATGTGTACAGCCGAACGCAGCTGGGCTAGCTGGACCGACGCATTGGCTTTCCAGCTGTGTACATTTAGAAATGGAACGGGAATGAGAAGGTTATGAATACTCACGAGGCATCCTCATCCAGGAGGCGCTGATTCATGTTATAAGGCACGCACTCGGTACCGCTTCGCAAGCACTTTGCACATTTTTCCTCATTGTCAACAGGCTCGCATTTGATTTTGTGTCTCTTGCATTCAGCACCTATTGTTGCTTCAGTTAGGCGGGCTTCGTGACTGATATGGTGGAACTTACAAGCCCTGATCCTGGGTGTGCGTGGCGGATGCGGCCGGCGCCCATCTTCGTGGTCGGCATCTTCGCTTGGACGCTTCAGTGCCGACATTTCCATGCCATCCGGCCTTCAAAGTGTCGACCGTTAGAGATCGTCGGCGCAGGGTGTATGTCGCGTCTCCAGGGGCACAAGGGAATTTTCAAAGCACATGACAGAATTTCGTTAGTGAGCAGGGTAGTCACGACGAGGCTGCCGGCGCTTCTCCACACTTCCCCAAATTGAGGTGTAGTGGGGTTTAGTTCATTGTTCGAGTCAGGGCGCGCTGAATTCATCAGCACCTTCGTCGCGCCCATCGAGCACCTTTATATTCATTGCAGGCTATCGTCTCCGATGCATCTCAGCAGCTCTGATGGAATCTTGACGCGTCGAGCTGCCTCGGAGGCTTCGTCCAACCCTGGCGCATCGTTAGCCGGGCCTCTTCGCCTAGACCTGCCGCCGCTTGGGGCGCACGAGTTCAGCTGAAAGTCGACCTCCATCGCGTTTAAAATCAAATATAGAGGATACATAACTTCACATGCCGGAGGCGGCAGTCTGACATGGTAATATCACATTGTCCCTCGTTCGGTCCTCCAACAGTAATAAGGTCTGTATGATGACAACCTATCGCGGCTCGCCGTTGAGACTCCTGGAAGCATGGAAAGACCGAGCCGTATGTCGACTTGAAAGAAGGAAATCACGTATTAGCATCGTTGAATTGATTAGGGGGCATGTTCCATACAAGAAAACGACATCTTGATCGAGGAACTCGATAGCTGGCTGGTGGAGAAGGTAAGGCTGTGCATCTGTTCCCCGAGAACAAGACTGATCTATAGACCGGAGAGCTTGATCCAATCGAAATCGACTCAAATGGCTCTTACTCCGTTCCGCAGCCGACTTTACGACTTATGTGTGTTATGTTGGGTACCTCTACCAATACCAGTCCTAACGCACTGCAGCTGTTGCAATTTTGGTGCCCTCTCCACAGGTTCAGGATTTGGAACACGTACCATTCAACGCATCTGCGATACTTTCGCCCTGCATTGGACGACAAATGAAGCTTTCGTTACTAATAATGGCACATTTGCTAGGCACTTCGCTAGGGACCCAGCATCTGGTGCCATGTCGAAAATGTGTACGCTCTTTGTTTTGATTTTTTTTGGCTGCGGCTAACTGCCTAATAGTTCTTGTTGTGAGAGTACCACACTTCGTGATCGGCTCATACGGGCTCTCCATAGTCTTCAACAACAAGACGGCGACCACACGAGCCCTGCTTTATGGGTATACAGACAACGACTACCAAGGACTCCTCGAGTATATGCACGAAAAAACGGCAATCTCGTTCTATCAAAACCCTTTGCTCCTTACAGGCCACCTGCTGCGAAGTTACCGAAAGAACGCCGAAGCATACCGAGCTAAAATCGATCACTGCATATATCGAACTGAAATATCACTCGGCTATGCTGTCCCAGGGTCATTACTGTACGAATCTGCTACCGCATCTACAGGCAAGTTGGATTTCGACCGCTTTGTGCAAAAACTGCAATCCAATCATGACGACTTCATGCGCAAACTGCACTCTTGCCAGACCGAGCTAGGCGCTCTCACGCATGCAGGCAACTTTGGTCGAGAGTTAGGTATATTCTTGCACAAGATCTCAGAAGAGTTGGATGAGTCGAGCACCGTGCCGCGGTACAGCGACAAAGATGCTTGTGCCGCTAATGAGCGCATTCTTCACGATATCGACTTTCAAACTAACTTGTGGTGGGCTTTGCTGTCGCAGATGGTTGCTCTCAAGGATCGAGCGCAGACACATATCAATCTGGTGCGATATATCCAGAGAAATGCTCTAATCAAGAGATCGTTAATTATGCATCAGGTCTTCAGCTTCATTGCGCAAGACGAGAATCGGCTGAGCCGCTCGGTTGCGGAAAAGAGCGAGATGATCGCAGCTGCAAGCAAGAAGGACAGCGCAGCTATGAAGACTCTCGCGGTACTCACCACCGTCTTTCTTCCGCCGACATTCGTTGCGGTGAGTGCGGATATTAGTAGATAGCATGTCCAAGCCTGACCGATGCATCGTAGACATTCTTTAGCATGACAATGTTTGACTGGAAATCGGATTCGCCAGGCACGCCGATCACCTCAAGATATCTTTGGGTTTATTGGGCTGTCGCGGTCCCTCTGACTGGACTTGTGTTCATCACTTGGCGTGTCTGGTGGGGTCTAGAGAAAGGGAAGTACGAGAAAGAGATACGCAAAGAGAAGTAAGCAGTCCTTTTACGTACAAAAAGGGCTAATGTAGTATCCGTACTAGTCAGGAGACGAAAGCAGAATGCTTGGCCCTTTTAGAAATGAGTCACTCTTTACAACGAACACCTTCACCATTTGGGAGGATACGGTTTCATTATTTTCGGTCTTTGTTAGATGATTTTCACAGCTTCGTACCCATCTCCTTCTCCGCCCTATCCCTCAGCAACCTCTTCAGAATCTTCCCACTCGGCGACTTGGGGATACTCTCCACAAATCTAACACCCCCATCCAAACTCTTATACTTTGCCAACTTAGCCTCAACCCACTGTTTTACTTCTCCTTCTTCCAATTCCACATCCGCCTTCCTCACTATATAAGCCCGCGGCGACTCACTATTTCCACCATGACTCTTGGCTCCGATGACAGCAACGTCAGCAACGCCCGGGTGCTCAAGCAACACGCCTTCCAACTCAGCGGGCGCGACCTGAAAGCCCCTCACTTTAATCAAATCCTTCTTCCGATCAATGATATACCACAGTCCGGTCTTGCCATGCACATACATGACATCCCCCGTCCTGAAATACCCCTCGGCATCGAAATCCTTCGCCCTCGCGACCCCAACATACCCCTTCGTGACCGTAGGGCCGCGAATCGCCAGCTCGCCCGGCTGATCCAAAGTGGTGATTTCATTCCCCTCATCATCGAGGATTTTGACGTCAATATTGGGCAAGAAGCGGCCTACAGACCCCGTGTCGTCGTCTTCAGGGTAGGGAAACAGCGAGGCGAAACAACATGTCTCCGTCATTGCCCAGATTTGCGTGAAAGGAGAGCCTGTAGGTAGGAGAGTCTGGAAATGGCTCTGTGTATGCGAGTCAAGGGGTGCACCGCCGCCGTAGACACATTTGACACTTTTCAATCTGTCTTGTTTACGAGTGACGGGTAGAGGGTGGGAGAGGAGGGATGTGACTTGTGGCGGGACGAGGATCAAATCCGTGATTTGGAACTTCTTCACATTATCTAAGAAGGCGGTGGGTTCGAAGCGCCGCATAATGAATTGTGGATGGCCTGCTCGCAGAGGGGAAATGTGCGTTGATGGAGCGGTTGCAGCGTGGAACATGGGCAGTGCGACTAGTCTTTTCAACGCATAGGGTCGTGGCTGGTGTTCGAAGACGAGGGTGTGCTGTGCGATGAGGTTGTAGTGGCTGAGTTGCGTTAACTTGGGGAGCCCTGTGGTGCCACTAGAGAAGAAGAGCAGCGCAGTGGTATTCTCGCTGGTATGCTTATCGTCAAAACGTATCCAGTCTTCCTCGCCGTGGGAGAGTAAGGTGCGCCATGAGTTAAAGCCTTTGATGCTGGATTGCGCCGGGGATGAGATTGGGGCTGAATCAAGGGCTAATATCTTCTCTGTTGGCACGCCGCAGTCTTTCGCCGCAGTGACAATTCTGTCTCCAAGCACATCGGGGTCGCAAATGATTAGCTTGGCCTGGCTGCTCCGGATCGCGTACGTCAACTCGTAGGATGTGTAGCTCGGATTGGTGCCAGTATTGATCGCGCCACAGCCAATGATGCCCAGCACGATAATCGGGTAGTAGATAGAATTGAACGAATGTATTAGCACCACATCGCCTTTCTTCAGCCCAGCATGTTGGAAACCCGCGATGAGTTGGCGGATCAAGATTTTGGCATGCGCGGCAGATATGAAGTTTGAGGGATCATTGGCATCTATATAGATCTATAGAGGATGAGTATCTGTGATAGACATAGAGGGCACAGGTATTTGGTAGTAGTTACGTACATGTTTGTTTTGATCGAAGACCGGCTCATCGTAGATCCAGGAGAGGATATCCTTTGTCGAAATGGGGACATGTTCTTTAGCGAGGAAGGGCATTCTGAGCAGAATGTTGCGAGCTTCGGTAGGAAACACACCGAGCTTATATACTAGCATTGTGAATGCGCCTTTCGCATGGATTTGACAGAATTACCCGTTTAGGGGAAGGTTGCTGACTGTGTCAATCCCCACTCACACTACCTAGGGCTTACATTAATCAACCAGGCGCCAGGCGAGCCAGTTCCCGAGTGCAAGAGTGGAATGAGTGACCCCTGTCCACAGCATATCAAGCTTCAAAGAACCTAGAAAGGAAAAGCTTACCTCAACAGCACTAGGCCTGGGTCCCTGGTAAACGACAGCTAGTAAACCACCATAACTTGTCATACGAAACGGTGTCTCCACAAGGCGGGGTTTAGAGAAGGGGTAAGAAGCGTAGATGTATTATTGAATAATCATGCACGTACCAAACCATACCATACCAGATAGGTGATACATCTGACCCAAACACTAGTACCAAGGCTCGTACTTTTTGCTAGTTAGAAATACTGCGCCCTGACGCCTTACTGTGAAAATAGTTTGTTGCGTTTCGCCATAACAACTGCTGTTCAGCCTAATTCTCGTTTGATAGTGGAATGACTCTTCCCGAATCCACGACGATCTGCTCATCGAGTCTCGTCCCAATGTCCCCATATTCCAATCTCTTCCACGTTGATATCCTAGCTTGGTTTGTGTCAATTTCGAAGACGCGCAACCGGCGGTGGTAGTTGTTGTATCCGCCATAGCCCCCGAATCCGCTTCCGCCTGCGTAGCACATCCAGATTTCAGGTTCGCCAGTTGCATTTTCTTTCGATAGTGCGCAATAGTCATTGACATGATCATGTCCACAGGAGACAGTCTTGACGTCGTATTCGACGAGAGCATCTTTGAAATGAGTGTTGAAGAGCGGTGCGGTAATAGGCTCTGTCCAGTTTCCGAGCCTTTCATTCAGCGGATCGCCATACTCAGGGAGTGGAATGTGGATGAAGGCCATATTAAGGTGTTTGAGCGCGTAGTGGCTGTGTGCATCCTTCAAACTTTCTGCAGTCGTCTTGAACCAATTGATCTGGTTTGGCTTGAGCCAGTCATAGCCCCTATAGTGAGCCTCATCTGGTGAATAGGAGTGAGTGTCAAGAAAGTATAACGTTAATGCGGAGTGTTTGTTGTTGTGAGCCTGGATCTCGACAAAGTAGTTGCCGACGCCGTCGATCGTGTTAGAGCCGGCTTCACTGAGCGAGTAGGGTAGGGATTCGTAAAGGCCCATTTGTGCATGACGGGAGAGGGTGCTTTCATCGTCGTGATTGCCAAATATGGCTGCATACGGTATCTTGCGCTCTGCAAGCGGCCCGATGATCTTGAAAAGAGCCTATGCCATTGTCAGCATTGCAGATGCGTAGCATGGGGCAAGGCGGAATCTTACACTTTGGACATCAGGCGCAGTCCCGCCGTTGACCTGATCGCCAGATAAGACGACGAGATCCGGCTTCTCTTCGTCTAGCACGCGCTCAACGAATTCCAAAGTCCTGGGGTCTGCGTCACAGTGTCCGCCATTCGCGCCCTTGGGTTCCGGGTCTCTGCACAGGCCTAGACCAGTGCTCAGATGTAGGTCTGAGATCTGCATAATCTTGAATCTGCCGTCCTTCCTGATCTTGGGTACGGGCTTCTCGAGCTTGGCTGGCGAGCCTCTCCGCACGCTGAGACGCGGGTGTTTGCTTTCCTTTCCCGCGTCCAAGTGGAGAGCTCCATTCCGGACCAACTCCCACCCCGGGCGCGGCTCTACCGCATCTGCACCGAACAAGATATCCACAGCCGTTACAGCTTTCTTCGAGTCGCTCGCGTGACGCTGTAGCGAACGCTTTATCCAAACGCCTGCTGGGCGAGACTCCCACTTCTCTGACGCTTGTGCCTTTTCTCCCATGGCCGGGTCGAGTTTGCCGGTCCGGACATCGACGACAACTTTGTCTTGGTTGGTGAGCTCCTCTTCTCGCTTGCGCTTGATATGCACATATGCTTTCGAAACCCAACCGGTGCCCAGATACAGATCTTTCTCTACACGATGCCATTTCTTCTGGTCCAGCATACATTTAGACAACGGGTTGAGGGTTGAGCATGTTTGTATGGTCAGGTCGGTGATGACGAGGCCTTCATGGTGGAGTGGCAGGTGGTTGTGGACAGACTGGGGGAGGACTCGGTAGCGGTTGTCGAGAAAGAATACGAGTACGAAGGCGACAGTGGTGAGGACTGCAAGCTGAAAGCCGGTTCGGACCTGCGACTATTAGATGTTGTCCAGTCTTTCAGGAACACCCAAGACGTACTATTCGGCGCGTCATGATGGAGGCCTACACGAGTGCGCGAGATGGGGCATGAAGCCACAACAACGTTTACGATGGGATTTGGTCGCAATAGCTCGAAGCCGTCTCCATGACAAGAGATGGTTTGTGCGAGTAGGAAGACTGTGGATACTGTTGGAGGCGCATGTGTCGTGGAAGCGTACTTGTTCACGCTGTTCTTGGCTCCCGAACCCTGGGATCTCGCCCGGATCGTCAGAGGCGTTGCAGGGATCATGGGGTTCCACCATCCGACTATTTCTAGCATAGCATGCCCTACAATCCATCACAAGATACACGGGGCGAAGAGGACGAGAATGGCCATTACAGACATAGTCCGAAATTTCCTAGGGCGTTTGTTACCGCTTCCAATCAAAGATCATATGCGTCTGCTCCTACTGTAGGTATTCGCTAAGCACTCTCGGCCGCTGTCTCGCCTCGTCCCTCGGAAGTGCCGTCTCCTCCGCATCTGCATCGCATCCCTAACGCATAGCTATGCGACATCACTGCCTACGACTGCTAAGACGTCCTGCTCTCCAGCGACCATGCACTGCGCGACCCTTTACAAGTAGTTCCTGCCTGCGCCGCGTTTACCAAGGCAAGATGCCCGCTTCCGCCCGCCCAATGTCGCTCACAACCACGTAGAAGGGGACGTTGTGCTCCTCCGCGATAAGAAAAGCTCACATGACGGTACCCTCATAAAACTGCACGCCGAAAAGAGTACAGGAACGCACAGAGGCGTCATCACGCATGCAGACATCATTGGGAAAGGGCCACGGCAGACAGTCCGGTCGAGCAAAGGCCCCGAATTCCGTATCCATGAGCCCACGTTAGCAGAATATGTCCGATTGACACCGCGTCTTGTTACTCCTGTGCGTCAAATACAATTTGTCTTCCGACTCTATTGTATACAAGGAGCATGGCGAGCTGACTGGGCCTAGATATACCCCGCCGATTCAAATCTCATAGTGTCATTGCTTGACATTCACGTCGATACCCCCTCCAGCGGACTGAACTCTGAGCCACCACTGGAGATCCTCGAAGCTGGCACAGGCCATGGGGCGCTGACGCTGCACCTCTCGCGGGCCATACACGCTGCCAACCCACCAATGCCCCGCACACCATCCTATGCCAGCACCCAAGAGGAGGAACCCGAGGACGCTATATACCTGGGAGAATCTTTGTCAGACTTACACGGGTCTGCACTTGAGACATGGAAGGCGAACCGACGTGCGGTCATACATACACTAGACATATCTGGCAAGCACTCGCACCAGGCGCGCAAGATCGTCGAAGGCTTCCGCGCCGGCATATACGCAGGCAACATCAACTTTCATGTCGGAGACGTGTCGGAGTGGATTGCTAGACAAAAGGCATCAAGGAAGACTGACGAGCCTTTCTTGACGCATGTCTTCCTAGATCTTCCCGGTGCGAACAATCACTTGGCCAACGTAGCGCCAGCACTACACGTAAACGGGCTACTCGCCGTGTTCAACCCAAGCATCACCCAAATTGCGGAATGTGTAGAAACGATCCGCGAGCAAAGGATGCCGTACCTACTGGACCAGGTTGTTGAGCTCGGCGCTGGTACCATTCGCGAATGGGACGTTCGTGCAGTCAGACCAAGGGCGACCCTCAGGAAGGCTGACATTAAGGAATCATCCGAGTCGTCGAGCGAGGACGCTATTGATCCGGTCAAAGGCCAAGAAGAAAGAGACAAGGAACTAGAGGAGGATTTGGACAAGCAGGAAGAGAAGTGGGCTATGGTGTGCCGTCCCAAGGCTGGCCAGCAAGTTGTTGGAGGAGGCTTCTTGGGGCTTTGGAGACGCATGGAGACGGCTGCAGTTAAAGAGCAGGGCGAGGAGAATAGCTAGATATTGGAGAATGTGTCTCGAATCGTTTAGCTTACATAACATATACAAATGTCTTTCACGAGAACAACGACTTCCTTAACCTGCGATCTACTGGATTTGGGGCATACCTACCAACGTGTCTGGTCAAGCCTTCTTGAAGTCTTGCTACTTCAAGGGCAGAAATGCACACATATCTAGGCTCTACCTATTGACAGCAATTTGTTGCTATTTTGAGATTCAATCCCAGCGATCCGCTTCATAATTCGAGCATCGTTCTCCTCGAGGTCGATTTCAAGCTCATCAACATGTGGTGATCTCGAAGCTGGCGCGGCAGTCAAAGATGACGCGGTCCGACGAAGCTCCGACGCTTGGCAAAAGGACAGCTATGCTTTCGACCACCGCTCGAAGCTTCGCGTCCACTTTCCAGATCAGCAACAATGAGGGTTCTGTACAGCTTGGTTTCTTCTCTTCTGCTTTCAGGCACAGCAATTGTGTCCGCAGCCTCCTCTTGGAGCTTTGAGGATGCCACGGTGTCAATTTCGAGTAAAGGTGCTGGTGTAGGCGGAGGTTCTAAGGATAAGTGAGCTGACCTTGATGTTTACTGTAATAGTATTAATCGCTAATTCTGCTTTAGACTCAGCCCTTCTACACCGCTAGGCAAATCAGCATCTTTAGGCGCAACCGACACACTGAAGCTACTTTTGACGACTGTCGATGGCAAGACGGCCAAGCGGCCGCATCAGGCTTTCCTCACTCTGACCGACCCAACTACTGGCTTGGAAGAGTCCTTTGTGCTAAACGTAAAGGAGAGCGGCAAAGGAAAGGTCGATCTGGTACGTAGCCCTCCTCAATAGTACCAGCAACGCTAACAACAGCAGTCCCATAAGGACCTACCCCACCAATTCCTCACCTCCGCGAAGCCAATTACCGCTTCCATCGTCATTGGATCTTTCGGTTCTTCCACACCATACAAAAGCAAAGTCTTCAATCTCCAAGTCGCCCGTGACCCCAACGTCCCTCTTACCATCCCCGAGCCAGCTCTCCGTTACGCCGCCGAATCCGAGATCCACCATATCTTCCGTTCCGACCCACAGTCGCCTCCCAAGCTCATAACGCTCGTATTTGCTGCTGCAGTTGCTGCAGCACTCCCGGTGCTGTTCGTTGTATGGGCTAGCTTGGGCGCAAATGCTAGCCATCTGAGCAAGGCTTTGGGCGATGCACCTGTGTCGCATGCACTCTTCTATGGTTCCATTCTAGCTATGGAGGGCGTATTCTTCCTGTACTATACCAGCTGGAATCTCTTCCAGACTCTGCCGGCGGCTGCAGTTGTAGGAGTTGTTGCGTTCCTGAGTGGAAGCAGAGCGCTTTCTGAGGTCCAAGAGCGCCGTTTGGCTGGGCTGAGATGATCCTAGTGCAGTAGTTGAAGAGATGTTCTCCGTGTACTTATATTTGGAGTCTGGAATAACAACGTAGGAAAAGTTCTCGCTACTTGTGGCAACAAGTGTACGATCGAGAAGTGCTCTGTCTCGGTATATATATAGGCTTTGATTTTGATGACGGGCACTATGATTGTTTCTGAATTGACGAATGATCGTCAATCCTATCAATGGTTCTCAGAGTGCGCTATCAGCGAGGATGATGAATTTATTTGGTCGCGAACTGTTGCAACTTTTGGTGAAACTACGTTTTTATACTCGTAGTTATTGCCTCCACCTTTATAAGTAATGGTTCTGCATGGTAGCTAAACGTTTGCGTTAGTTTTCTTCTCAAGAAGAGTAGCTGCTTGTCTACCGTGATTGGTTGTTTTGCATCCTCCGACTGCAGCCTATTCAACATAGCCACAGCCACTGCGGGCAGGAACAACTCAGCTCAGCCGCATCTCGTGCCTGCCCTCGATGACATTCGACTCCACTCATACAGTTCCTGTCTTTCTTTCTATAGTCATTGTTTCGCTCATGCTCATTCGGACATCGCAACCATTTAGTTTCGCCTGATTAAACGTTTCTTCAAGCCTAACGGGATAGTAGCTAGGCTGAACTGTGCCGTGCTAGAGACGTGATGGATAACCAAACCAACCAAGAGGCGAAAGAGCAGAATGTGAATGAGGTGCACTCGGATGTCTCTAGCGACGATAGAACCTTGGTCAACGAGGCAAATTCTCACAAGGCAATTCAATTTGCATTGAAAGATTGGTCTCAGACTAGCAGAGGCTCGCATGTGGACTTCAAAGATGAAGAGACTTTGCCATTAGAGCAAGGTACGAAAGTCCCCTTGCTAGACGTCAAGCACTAACAAGACTATCTTAGGTCGCTTCCTCGGCCGTGGCGCGGTGGGAGATGTCCATGAAACAACCATCCAAGGCTGGAAGCTAGCCCACAAGAGAATACATGTCCGACTTAAGATTGGCGACAAAGAGAAGAGAGAAATCAAAATTCTGAAACGGCTTTCGCATGTCCACATGATTCAACTTATTGGTACATACACCCAGCAGAAGGTACTCGGCCTCCTTTTGTTCCCTGTTGCAACCTGCGACTTGCACACATTTTTCGAAGATGTGGAGGCATGGACAACAACAAATTTTGAAGGTGCTACTCCTGAAACAAGATATTCAAACTTGGAGTCCTCGCACAAAGAGAGATTGAACGCGCTCGGCTACGACTTTCCAACTGAGAATTTGCACCTTAGTGCGTCACCGATTTACTTCAAGGTTGGATGTCTTATATCAGCCGTGGCATATTTGCACGAGCAGAAAATACGTCACAAGGACTTGAAACCTTCCAACATCCTGTTATCACGGGACCGCCTTTGGTTGAGTGATTTCGGAAGCGCCACAGACTTCACTCTGCTTTCTCAAAGTGCAACTGATAACGAGCGCGGCACGGCCCGGTATTTCAGCCCAGAGATGGCGAAGTGGGAACCCAGTGGACGAGCATCAGATATATTCTCTCTAGGGTGTGTGCTCTTGGAGATCTTAGTATTGCATCAAACGGGTAGTTTGGAGCATATCAGACGGAATCGATCTCTCGACTCGTCATTTCATGCCAACATCGGCAGAATCAACGCATGGCTAGACTGGCCAAACATGAAATTCTGCCCTAGGGACCACCTTCTGCGGTGGGAGGTGAGAGTCATGCTCTCGAGAGATCCAGTAGAGCGACCCACCGCTAAAGAACTTTTGACTAGTGTCACTGGTTGTGACATCGGGAGGAGGGACCAATCGTCACTTTCTATCTTTGGTGAATGCTGCAAGGGCGCATACCTCTCTCGTCAACAGCATGAAGAGCAGACTTCGGGCTTAAGAGAAGGAGTTAGATTCTTACAGAGAATGCTAGACGCCACCCGGGAGAAAGAGAAATCGTGGCAAGTCGAAAGCGAAGTGCTTAATCAACAACTTCGAGATGTAGAGCTTAAGGCGCGGGATGAGGCAGTATGTGCAATAACTAGAACAAACTCATACCTAGCGTATACTGACGTCCTGTAGAAGCAAAATGAACAATTAGAACAGGCTGTAGGAAGACTGAAGGACGAAAAAAGAGCTTGGCAAGCGCACGCAGTCAAACTCTCACAAGCACAAAGTCAATTGACAGAACAATTGAAGGACCCACAATCCACGCGCTCGAACTTGGAAAAAGAGCTCCAATCATCAAGACATTATAATGAGGGGCGCATCAAGAAGTCGCAGATTCAGCTACAGGATAAAACCGTGTCTACGGTGTCAGAGAAGCCAGACTCTGAAGGTTCAGGCTTACCTTCAAAGGGTGAGCGGTCCTTGCCGCAAAACACAGCCAGTTCCGCCGGTGGCGCCGCGCGGCAACGTAAGATGAAATACACCTACGATTACTCGACCTCAGAAGACGATGAAGACGACGAACTGCAGCGAACTTCCACACTATCGACTACCAATGACAATCCTCCCGATGTACTATCCTAAAGCTCTAGTACACTTCCAAGCAACTCTGGCGATAACAACAATGTTCGTGAATAGGTAATGCCTCCAGAAAGGTCCAAAAGTTCAAACGTGAGGAAATATTGCCTGCGTAGCCGGATAGTTGCTGCTGGTTTGGATGATACTAGTTGAATATCCAGTTGAACCACGAAAGTTGCAAGATCCAAGGTAATACGAGCGCTGAAAGGATAAATAATGAAAAGATCATAAGAGCGATAAGGAAGATTGTTCTGAGTGGCGTCTCGCAATTACTCACGGAGCCTGCAACAGGAGAGAGCAGCAAATTGTCTCTAGACCAACTTATTGATTACTGCGTCAACCTCAGCACACCTTCGACGTTCTCGCGCCCCACAATGCCTTCTTCGACCATCTGCTCCAGCGCCTTTGCCACATCCGTACCTTTCCCTTTCCAATGCTCCTTCGCCGTTGCCGAACCACTTGCCACTTCCTTCAAGATCTCCGCCACGATTGCCTTCGCATCTGTCGTCTTACGGACTTCAGCAGCACCTGCTTTCTCAGCATACGTCCTCGCTCCGCGGTAGAATACGCCAGCATTGGCAAGTAGGACAGATCCACTCTTGGTCCACGCTGGTTTCGCGATGTGGGAGAGGGAGATCCGGAAGCGGAATAGGTCGGTATCACCTCGGGCAAGAAAGACGTCTGCTAGACGAGAGGGAGTAAGGATGGATGTGTAGGGGGCGGAAGCCAGTCGAGTGAGAAGGGTTTGGGCTTGAGTGAGCGCAGTCCATTGGACCTCAATATCTGTTGAGATAGCTGGCGTTGAAGCGGCATGCTGGGCATGGTCTGCTAGTGCGGATGCAAGATCCATGAGCGCATCTGCATACGCAGACTGGATGTTGATTGATGCGAGGTCAGGACCTGAGGCATTTGCAGCGGTTTTGATCAAACTGCTGAACGTCTGCTCAACAGCTTGGGCGTATTCCGTTGAAGAGCTTTTACCACTACGATATGTCGCCTCAGCTATGCTAGCTTGGAAGTTTACGGCAGCGAGGATAGCATCGTCCTTGGGCGCCGTTTCGGCTTCCTCCACCGCTGGAGTTGAGCCAATGGAGAGCGTTGGCCCAGCCTGTTGTTCGGGCGCGGTCTTCAGGGGTGGCGAGCTGTCAACAAGATGGATCAAAGCTGGGATTCTCGTGCTCGCTGTTTCCATACCATCTTGTGCTTTCTTCTCTATGCTAGACAGGTCGGTGTTGGGATCGTATAGTCCGAGCAAGGTAGTCAAAGCGCCCAGCTGGGCTGTACACGTTTCTAGTATTGTCTCAGGAGTTACAGGCTCTTCGACAGTAGCCCAGTCGCCGGGTGATTCTGACGAGGCTGAAGTTATGTCCATATCCTCTTCCGGTTGTGTATCTGCTGGTTGCTGTCGTTCACCCTCCCAAGCTTCCTGGTACTCGCCCAAGGCCTGCGCTTGAGCTATCTCGGCTTGCATTTGCGCGTACTCTCGCTGCTGGCTCTCCAGACATGTTGTGAAAATGTCAACAGCTTCCTCGAGCAGAGGCCTCGCTTCATACTTCGCACCTGCTTGCGTGCCAGCTTCGAACAAAGCTTCAGCCAGTGAGGTGAGAACTTGCGCTGCGTTGAACAGAATGTCGGTGTTTGTTGGGTTCAAGGAGATGGCAAAGCGATGAGACTTGAGCGTTTCTTCCAGCAAAGCAGTCTTGTTTCCTAGTTGCGAGATTATGCGCTCGTCTTCCGTCATATTGTATTCGAGATTTGCCCTGCGCAGTTGTTAGTATTTGTTGCAAAGATGAAAATCATGGAGTACGCACTTGTTGTATGCTAGATCGAAGGAGCGCGGATATCGCTTCAAACCTTGATTGTACATATCAATTGCTCTGTTGAAGAATCGTGTCGCCTTTGCTGCATCGCCGGCGCGCCATTTTCCAGCTGCTTGCTCAAAGTCATCTGCAGCATCAAGGAAATCGTTCTCTGATTGCGGTTCTTGAGCCCTCGCCTTTCCCTTTGGTTTTGGCTTTGGGAAATCTTTTCTTTTAGGCGGCATGATAGCGATCGTAGACTTCTGATGTTGGGGTGGTGTTGGTGTAGAAAGGGACTGATAGAGTGGGTCAAAACTGATGTAAGGGTGGCAATTTTGCAGCCGTTTGCGTGTGGATTGCTCAGCAGAGATGATTTGCAACGCGCGCCACGTCTTCGTTATATTTGACTCTAATTTAACGCGAACTGGTGTTATTCTTGCACCTGTGAACCTTTTCGCAGAATCTAAACTTTTTGACCTCGCGACTGCCCCGCTTCGACTTGCCCCACCAGCTCAACTCTCGCGCACCGCGGCCCTCGCTCACTTCCATAACATCTCACTTCAACTTCTCGGTGTTGAAATCATCCCAAAGCTGCGACTTATCTATCAGGAATCCATTCGTATCAAATAAAACTCCCTCCTCTCTTAACAGTTGCAGTTTCGATGTTTGGTTTTGCCCGCTAGGTGCTTCCTCCCAGTCGCCCTTGTAGCCGCCAACAAACTGCTCCAATCAGCACATCTTCCATATTCTTCAGGACCGTCATACGTACCCCCGTACTAGCGATGCATCGATGGCATGGGATGTCGGGCGCAAACGGATTGACCCGCAACGCGCCCCCAACTGCTCGCGGTGAGCTGCCCAGCGCTTTCGACAAGGCAGCGTACGTGGTGATGCGGCCCTCTGGAATCTGCTGCAACGCTGCGTAGACGCGTTCCTGATATTCTGTGACTTTATGTTGCTTCGACATGATAAAAGCACGCCTCGAGATGCGGGTGGAGAAAGAGAGCATGTCAAAGAGTCGGGAACGCGGTTGATGATGGTTTCATCAAGGCTTGACGCGCGGTCACGGGACATGCTTTCAAATTGACCTTTCACAGGGTAGGTCGGCAAAAAGGTGCCCTGGAGCGGGAATAGGAATAGTGATATACGGAGGCGTAAAGCGAGTCGACTGCTGACAATGTACTAACAAGGCATTCAGCAGCTGTAGCAGCAACAAGGGACCCCGCCCCCAGGCAGTATCTTCCTGTTGTTGTATAAGGGACACTGCTATGGCACAAGTGACGCCCCGTAGCCTGAGAATGAAGCTCCGACTACGGAATCTTCGATATCACCATACAATCTCATCTCACTCTAACCACCTTCGTCAGCATGACGCGGACAATGCGGACAAGTTCTCAACAGTACCAGTCACATCGTCCTATCTCGCAAAGCAGCCCGAAAACAGCACCTCACCCCGTTAGACGGCGACTATTGCTCGACGAGGCGTCAACGACGGATATTAGACTCCATGGCTGCCAAATAGCCAGCGGCTTGGGGTCAAATAGCCCAATGACTAGACCAATTCGGCGCCCTGAAATTTCACCTGGGAGATCGTCGTCAATTTCCGGACGAGGTCTCGCTACAACTTGCTCAGTTCGCAGCGGGCCGGGCTCCACCATGATCACTAGGCTGTTCACCGTCCGGCACAGGTGATTCGCAGGCACTGGGACACTCGCGCCGTGCCGCTCCCTTCTCCGTTCGACTACGGCTAGAACCAGACGGTGAACCGGGCGATGTTGCAAAGGGCAATTCGTGACTGTGATCCTGAAGTGTCAATCGTGCATGTCATACCTCCCCGACGTCGGCGGTTATCGATGGGTAGTGTTTGGTCCGGGTATATCAATATTGACTAGGAGTCGATGGCAACTTTGAAGGTTTGAAGGGACGGGAGTGCACATGACAGTTTGAATAACGTCGGACCGTGTTGCCATAAGCATGCTTGCTCTGTCCAAGAGTTTGATTTGCGGTTCTTCCAATATACACGTCGAAAGGACGCATGGCCGCAGCACATCTTGAGGATTCGTTACACCCTCTAGAAGAACGTCTTCGTTGTCTGCCGACTCCAATGAACAGAATCAAATCCAGATTATACCGGCGTTCCACAACCTCGAGCCATGGCAGAGCATTTTTGACAGTAAGGCCACGGCCCCTGCATGTCGCCCGGGACCAGTGATCACATCCAAGGGCACTTTCTGTAGAACTGAAGAAAGGTGATCATATTAATAATATTCTATGTATAAGGGGAAACTATGTTTATATATAAAAGAAAGTAAAACTAGAATAAGCTAGTTTATATATAAACTAGCATATTAAGCACATAATAAATTATATATTAAAAATTTAAACTAATAGTTTTTTTAAATTCTAACACGGGATAAAATATAAAAAAAGAAAAAATAGCAGCTTTATAGTATTATACTATAGTAAAAGTACTTTGTATTAAAATTATAGTTTATATACTATTTACTATAGCAAGGCTATACAAAATTATAATTATACGCTTTTTTTTTATAATTATAATAATTATAAATTTTAATATAGTTAAACTATATTTTTATATAGTTTTTTATAATATTATAAATAGTATAAAGCTACTTAAGTTTTAAAATTTAAATACGCTTAGCATTTTTTTAAGCTTGCTTTTACTATAATATATATATAATAAAATACTGCTCTACTTTATAAAACTTATAGTTATAAATAATAATATTATTTATATTTATATTAAGTAAGTTAAAAATAGCGCTTATAGCAAGTATTTAATTAATAAAACTAATATTTTAGTAAACTGCTTTAAATTTAATAAAGTTTAAAGCTTTTATAAATATATTAGTAAAAATTTTTTTACTATTAATTTATTTAATTATAATAAAACTTTGTTAAATATAGTCGCGGAAAAAGTAATAATAAAAATTAATATATTTATTATATTAGTAAAATTCTAGGTTTTTAGCAAGCTTAATAACTAATTAATTATTAATATATATAGGCACTATATTAAAGTAAATACTTATATTAAAATTATTAATAAATAATTTAATTTATATAGCTTTTTTTATAGCTTTGCTAAAAGCTATATATTCTGCTTTATATATAAACTAGGCTACAACTTTTTATATAATAAATAATTATAAAATAAAACTTTTTGTTAGTATAAAAATATAGCTAGTAGTAAAATATTAAAAGTTAAAATATTTAGCCTAATTAGCGTTAATATAGCTTAAAAGCTAAAGTTTTTACTTTTTATATATAATACTAATTTTATAAATATTATTTATATAAGCGTACGCTCTAATTATTATATTTATATAATATTATATTAAATTGCTATTAAAATGTTTGTAAAAAGACGCAGTATAAGCTAAATTAATATATATTATAACTAGTAAGTAGTTAAAAAAACTAAATTTTTAAAAATATTTTTTTTTAAAAGTAAAAATAGCAATATTATTATTATTTTACTTTAATTTAATGCGATAATTATATAGAATTTTAGTAGCAGCTATATTGCTAAAGTTATAGTAATTAAAAAATTACTAAATATATTTAGCTTAGTAAATTTTTATTATATTTATGCTTTATTTAATGTGCATTTTTAAATATAAAGTATTAAAGTTTTTTAATATAATAGTAAAAGCGTTAGATAGTTTACTTTTAAATATATTAATACTATTTTAGTATAAAGCGTAAATGCAAATATTATTAATATAAACTAAAATAATTAGCTTTTATATAATATATATATAAACGTAATTATTATAAAGCAAAATGCAAAAGCTTATTTATATAAATTTTATTATAAATATTTTATATTATACGCAAGGCGCTTATATAAGCTTATAAAAAAACTTAAGCAGTAACTATATATAGCTAAAAAATAATATTACTAAAAGTAGCAGTATATAGTAGACTGTTTTTTAAAGTATAGCATTAAAAAAAGCAATAATAATATTAATTTATATACTTATTTATTTAAATAGTATATAAATAGTAAATAGCATGCGTATAAATATAAAGCAAGCTATAAAAAAAAAGTTTTAGTATAATTAATATTAAAATATTATTAAAAACTGTAAGCAACAAAGCGTGCTTTAAATTTAGTAATTTTATTAATTAGTATAAACTTAATTTTATAAATTATTTTAGTAAAAATAGTTTTTTTGCTTTTAGGTAGTAAAACTATTTTATAAATATTTTTTTTAAAAAGTAAATTAAGTTTTTTTATTATTACATTGCGCTATGCTTTTGTTTTAAGTATTATTATAGCTTTTTTATAATTATATAATATATAAATAAAAAATACTATAATAATTATAAAAGCAAGCTAGTTGTATATATCTTAAAAGTTTTTATTAAATAATATATTATTTTTTATAATAAATAAGTCCGCAAGATTACTATTAAAGCAGTTATTAATAGTAATAATTATATTTAAGGTCTGCCTAAAATTATATATAAAAAAAGCAAACTAATTAGTTTAAAAAAAATTTTTATTAAAAATATTTTTATTAAATATATTATTATTATTACTATTGTAAAGTTTTATAGGATAACTATTTTTTATAAGTACTTATAATTTAAACTTATATTTTTTATATTCTAAATTATAAGTAATAATAAATATTATATATTTATAGCTATTAGGCTTTTTGTAAACTGTATATACAGCTTTTTCTTTAGTAATAAAAATATTATTTTTTATTTTTATTATACACGTCTGTTTGTATTTATATATATATAAATATTTTATTATTATATATTATATATATAAATAATTTTTTGTATAATTTTATCTAGCAGACTTATAAGCTATGCAGATGCTAAATTTAAAATAATTAAATTTTTTATTAAAGTAGTAAGCTATCTATATAGTATTATTATTACTATAGTATTTATATAAAAAGCTATTGCTTATATAAAGTAAATATAAAATAGTTTAGTTATACTTAGATTTTATATAAGCACAGTTATTGCAGAAACTATTATTTTTATTAGTAAAAGCTATATATATATTGCTATTTATAATATATATATTATATAAATATTAATTATTATATTATAATAGTTTAAGTATTTGTGCATTTATATAGTTTTACTTTAAATAATTTTAATATATAATATATTATTGCTTTTTAAGTAGTATTTACTGCATATATATTTATACTAGTGTATAGTTTAAATATTTATTAATTGCAGTATAGTAGTTGTATAAAAATTTTATATATATAAAAATTTTTGTAATTTTTCTATATTATTTATAATAGTTTTAAATATACTGCTATTTTTCTATTATAGATAAAATGTACCTAGTATGCTTTTTAGTATACTAATTATATTTTATATTATTATTTAAAGTTAAGTATTTTTTTTATTATATAAAATAGCAAGTGCAGATATTATTAATAAGTTTAGTAATTCTAAGTAGCTTAAATAAATTAAGTTTTTTATTATTGCTACTGCTTACTAAGCTATAATTATTTTTATTTAAAAATTATTATAGTTCTAGAAATATTTTTTAAAATATAAAATTAATAGGTAGTTTGTAACTAGTTATAGCAGTATTACTATTACTAAGCTAAAGCTATAAATTAAAAATAATATTTTTAAGCAAAGTATTATTACTATTATTAAAAAAGCTAAATAAGCTATTTCTATTGCTTTTATTAGTAAAATTAATAATTGTATTTTTATTTTAAAAAGTGCTGTTATTTTTATTAGTAAAATTAATAGTTATATATATTTATATAAGTGCATTTAATAACTACGCAGTACTATTAAAGTATTATATAATTAATTATAAATTAAATATAATATTATGCGCTAATTAGTTTATAAAGTAGTTTTTAGAAGTATGTATTTTTAAAATTTAAAAAAAATTTATTTATTTATTTAAAAAATAAAATTTTACAATTTAAATAAATTTAAAATATAAATTTATATTTAGTAGCTGCTTTTTTTTTGCCTAAA